GTAAATTCTGAGAGAAATAAAAATAGTTTTTAGTCTAAATGTCTAACAAAACATTGAATATCAGACCTTATTATTTGCTACTATAATAAATGGCGTTATTTGACTTAACATTTGCAGCCAAAACTCATTATTCATTTTTAGTCGAATTAGATTTTGGGGTTTTTCTCTCTCTCTCTCTCTCTCTCTCTCTCTCTCTCTCTCTCTCTCTCTAATACTCAAAATTCATTGAATAATCAAATTAAATAACAAAATAAAATATCTGAAATTCTTGAACATTAATTCTTGTATAAAATAAACAATATGTGATCAAAAAGTTTTTCCTTTTTTATAATACATATACACAGTATATATAATATATATAAATTAAAAACAGTCTAATGTGGAGTTAAAAATGAAAAATTGTTTTAACATTTTTTATGATTTAATTATATTTAGTGCAAAATTATTTTCTCTCTTTCTCTTAAGGTTTTCATTATTCTATAATAATTTAAAACATTAAACTTCTTATCGCTCATATAATACGATATATAAATCCTTTTTTCAAAATAATAGTGTTATGATATTTTAATGATATATGAAATGCAAAAATAAAATAGAGTTTGTAATAAACAAAAAAAAACTTATATTTAACAAAAAAAACTTTATTTACATAAATATATCGTAAGCTTATAGAAGTTAAGTCCATTTTTTACTTAACTTTTTTTATGTCAAAAACTATATAATATTATATTACTGTTATATAGAAGTGTATGGAAAATATAATCGAAATTTTGAATTCTTATTTAAATTATGATTCACTACTAAAGCGCTTATCTTTAATACCAAATTCTATCAGAATATTCTGTTTTATGTAATATTCTTATATATAACTTATGTGTCTGTTTATACATATAGTATATGTGATATAAATAAATGTTATATAAAATTTAGCTCAAAATACTATTTTTTAGTTTAAATACCATATATTTTATTAATATTTAAAGGAAATATACAATAAAAATAAGTTTTAAAAATAGATAGAAAAGAGAGAAAATGGGCAAAAACTCAGTGAAGCAAAACCACAAAATTGATGTATCATTTAGTTGAACCCAAAGGCAATTTAATAGATGCACACATACTGTGAACTTATAGACACCGTCACTAATAGTAACTGTTATGACATTAAAAAACTAACAGTGCATCTGCTGTTTCACTGAAAAATTGATAAACACTAACTAATAGTGACACGTATATCATTGCATATATCATGTGAGTGCGTGTATGTGTGTGTGTGTGTGTGTGTGAGTGTGTGTGTGTGTGTGTATGTGTGTATGTGTGTGTGTTGCATATGTTGGATATTTATGAATAATTATTGGTTTATAAAATTTTCAAAAAGTTTAATTTTTGTAAATCTATTTTGAAAACCAACAAAAAAAAGTAGAGTGCAATTAATTATGTTTAATTAAATAGGGATTTGAATATATTTTAAGCATAGTATTAGTATCTCTTTCAGTCAATCTTTATAAGTTACAACATAGCTATTCCATACACTATTTATACATTATACCAGATATAATAATAATGTACAGTATATACAGTACAACATAAATACTATACTCTATATGCTATATATTATACTTTTGCGTGTTTTTTGCAGTCACTGACTGAATAGTAGCTCAGGTACTATACTCTCGATAACTCTATTGTATTTGTTGTCAATGTTTGCCAAACAGTACTTCTGACAAAAATCTATCAAAAAAAAACAAAGATTTATATATTAATGAATTGGATAATATTGTACATGGTCATTTTTATATTAAATACATATATTGTATAGTTGGTTAGACAATTGTTAGACAATTTTTTGTTTACTAAATTATTTTTTAATAAAATAATACAATATCTCGTTAACTATATGTTTCTACTAAAATAATAGCAGTTTCATTATATACATTTGACCAAATAATTAAAAATATATATACGGGTATACATGTTCTACCGGAGCTACTATTCAGTAATTGCTTTTTTGAATATATTGAACAATTAATTGTTTGGCAATTAACTATAGTCTGGGGCATAGCCCGGCAATTGTGTGCGACATTACATTACAATTCATTTATTTAAAACAAAGAGAACTTTTTGTTCATTTAAAGTTAAGTTGCGATAAATTGAGTTTATTTTTTGTGTAACTAAATAACAAATTTTCTCTTAGTTTTGTAATCACTTGAAACAAAAAACTTTATAATTAGTCTTTTTGTTGTCTCTTTTACTTACTTTTGAGATTTAATTCATATTAATTTCTCTCTCTCTCTCTCTCTCTCTCTYTCTCTCTCTCTCTCTCTCTCTCTCTCTCTCTCTCTCTCTCTCTCTCTCTCTCTCTCTCTCTCTCTCTCTGATTTACTCTTAATAGACTTTTTTAGGCTTAACATCTCTTTTCTTATATCTTTTACTTAATTTAATCAAAACTTATGTCATCTCTAAAACCAAACATTAAAATTTTGAATAATTATTTAGTAAAATATGTAGTATAATCAAACTAAATCAAAAAATATATATTTTAAATAAAAACAATTTGATTAAAAAAAATTATATTAAATATATTATTTCTATAAATAAATTAATATTATATATGAAACTTATATGTCATACAATATAAATACAGTATAATTTATAAGCAATGTTTCAATGAAAGTTATTTATAGATTTTTATTTTATTTTTCTTATTAAAAGTGTTTATATAATATATTTGATATAAACTCATGAGATAGTTGTCTCATTTTCATAAACGACTGTAATAAAAATGTACTGTAATTCAAGTATTAAATGAAAAAATATATGAAATGATATTATATGATATGGTATGGTATGAGGCATGAGATAAATGAGAGACAATCTGTCGCATAAAATATAGTGTAATTATCATTGAATATACAATAACTACTGTATAGAGTCTATAGTATAGACTATTCAAATAAAACAAAAATCAAAATCTGCTTTTATATTCTGTATATAAAATTTATAATATTTTGAATATACTGAATACATCTTTATGTATAAATTTACAATAAATATAAATATATATATTGAAAGTAAAGGCTTATTTTGTGAATAGATTTGAACACATAAATTGAGACAATCTCTCTCTCTTATGTCAATATACTAGTGAAATGAAAATAAATAATATAACAAAAACAAATAAAATCTTAGAAATATGTGAATAATACAGTGAGTGAGTGAGTGAGTGAGTGAGTGAGTGAGTGAGTGAGTGAGTGAGTGAGTGAGTGAGTGAGTGAGTGAGTGAGTGAGTGAGTGAGTGAGTGAGTGAGTGAGTGAGTGAAAAAAAGAAAGATAGTAAAAGTAATACAAACGATGAGTTTGCAAACAAATCCAATGACCAAAATTGATGATCACATCAAACATGAACTCAAAAAATTATTATTATTATACTAAATATCTATAGATTTCCTTTATATTTATATGTTTGACATACAGTATAGTAATATAGCGAACAATAAGTTAACTTTTGGTCAAAATATGTTTTGCTTTTAGTTTAGTTGAATGGTTTGGTTTATATAATAAATTTTATTTGTTCAGTAGATTCTCTTAAAAAACTTTTTATTGTTTTTATTTCGACTCAAACTAACAAAAATCGGTAAATTTTATATTTAATGTCATTTATTTTATTTGATGTAATAAAGAAAGAAAGAGATTAATAAATTTTCTGAAATTTGTTTGAAAATTGTCTCAACATTTATGAACACTTATATCTCTGCAACTAATTTGTCTATAAATGTTTATACAGTGTATGTCACTATGGATTTTAACATTACTTTATAATATAGTTTACTCTATATTATCATAAATTGACTCTTTTTTAATGAATTTAAGTCAAAAATTAATGCAATTTATTCTAATTTATGTACATTTTCTTATAGAATGTCATTAATCCTTGAAATGAGTGAACGATTCACGACATTATGAGTTACTTCTAATGTTATATAATATCTCTATATTTTTATATTATATATATATATATATAGTATATTCCATAATATTATTTTTGTTGTTGATCATGATTGAAGTGATGAGTAAAAATATTAGACAGTATAACAACAACAAAATTATTTATTTATATAATGATATGCAATGTATACAGAATATTCAGTATATTAAAACTGTATATACAGTACTAGAATATAGTCTACTACTTATAGTTTACTATTTTATAATCTCGGTCTTTGACATGAATATATATATATATATAGTACTGTATATAAAGTTTTTTATACATTTTTGTGTCACTTTATATTGTTGACAGAAAAGAATGATAAATAAAAATAAAATTGATTGCAATGAATAGTAAAGAGATGCTCAGATTTTTATAAGTTATAAAAAACAGTTACTGCAAAATGTATTGTAAAGTAGTATTTTAGAAACTTTTTACTTTTAGTTTTTTTATAAGTTTTATTTTCACACAATATTTTAAAAACTATAGATTATAATGCATAGACAGAGAGACAGATACAAACACAAACACAAAGAGTAACAAACAAATAAATAGACAAATAGATAGTCGTATAAAAAGAGAGACAGAGAAGTGATATATACTGTAAATACTATTTTTCTTCAAAGAAAAATATATTTAAAATATATAATTTTTAGTTAAACATAAATAACAAAATTTATAGAGTTTATATTTATATAAAAATCATGATTTTTAAAAACTCATTTTTAATAATTTACTTTATATTATATTAATCTAATATTGTAAACAGATATCTTTATTTTTAATAATAAATATAATAATAAATACTGTATATATATATATATATATTGTATATTTGAAAAAATCTTAAACATATTTTTAAATCAGATATGAAAATGTTTTGTAAAAAACATTTTAAAATATACAAACGAAAAATAAATCTTATATAAATAAGTTATATATTATTACATACGGTATATAAATTTTGTTCACATTTTTCTTATTCAATGTTTATTTATTTTTTGGGTAACAATAGGATTACAGAAAAAGACATTTGAAATCATAATGATTTCCAGCGAAAGTCTGTCATTTCTGAGAGTCATTGGAGATGAAGATTACGAGAGAGAGGCTGAACGCCGGTGTCTTCAATCGCGACGTCAATCAGAAAATACAAATAATACAAAAAGTTTGCGACTCGTCGTCAACGGTATATTATGGTCACGAAAGTGGTCTCGCGTTGCACTGTTGACCGCAGGACTTGTATTACTCACGATTGTTGTCTGTCCGCTAACTTTTCTCATTATCCACAACTCAACTGATAGACTCAATTCACAAAATTCAGACAAACTTAATAAACTTTCTGACATTTTAACCGATGATTTATTAGACGAAACTCCTTTGTCGCCCTTCGAAGAGGCCGTTATGGTGGACACCAACTGTGGACAGATTATCGGTACAGTAGAGGACGGGGCATTTGCTTTTAAGGTAATCAAAAATTATAATTAAATTATTTTATTTTTTGATTAAAATGATTTTTTTTAAATTTCTTATTCAATTAATAGTAATATTAAAATTTAATATAAAAATTATTATTTACATTTATACTGTGCTATATAATTATATATTTTATTTGTTAACATTTTATCTTATTTACATATTTGTGTAAATGTTGTTCCAAATTATCAAATATATTACAATATCTAACATTACAATTATTAATATTTGTATACAAATATATTCAGTAAAACTTTCCAAATTTTTTTTAAATATTTCATTTATATAAATATTGTTTTTATAATGTATTTATTTAATCTAAAAGTAATCAACAAGAAGGCAGTGTTGAATAATGGAAAATAAAACGATATTTTAGTTTAAATAGATATAAATAATGTAAAACTTTCTCAAAAATATATAATATAATAAATGTATTGCGAAAAAATATGAAACAAAAAATAAATTGAAAAAATTAAAAGAAAATACAGTTAAAGTTTTTTGTAAATAAATAAATAAACTAAAATGAAATTGAAAAGAAAATAAAAAGTTATTGTAAAGGGAGGTTTCAAAATAGGGGTAAATATATTGTATAAAAAATTCAATTTAACAATTGAATCGACAAAAAGTGTTAAAAAATAGTGAGAGTGAGAGTACTATAAGTACTGTAATTGATTAATGTTTTTGTTGCAAATATTATATATAGTAAAAGAAACAAAACAACAACAAAAAAAAGAGAGAGAGAGAGAGAGAGAGAGAGAGAGAGAGAGAGAGAGAATGAAGTTTACAAATAATGTTTGAAATGATTAGACTTTTGTTTGTGTTGTCCTTAATCGGCGGTCTTTCTCTTCATTCACTATAAAAATGTTTGTATTATTTTACTATTACTTCTAAAAATTACAATTGCTTTTAGTGGACATTCATTACGATTAGTGAGTGTTTTAATGTGTATTTTCATTGAGACTATTATCTTATTGTTACTCTAATATAAATGAACACTCAATTTATTAGGAGAGCCATCAAAATACTTATAAAAGAAAAACAATTGTCTTTTGCATTGGTTTTTAGGGCATTCCATACGCATTGCCACCGACTGGTCAAAGGCGATGGTCGCGACCAATACCTCTGTGGGCGGACAGTCAGGAGTGCGGTCGGCGTCGGTCGCGACACAAAAGAGTCAAAAAGTTTGGTTCAAAATGCGTTCAGTTTAACCCACTGTCCAAACAAATTGAAGGCAAAGAGGACTGTCTTTATTTGAATGTATGGACGCCAAGACTCGATGATTCGGTAATGACTTACTATATATCATAGATATTGTGACACATCATACCATACCATACCATACCATACCATACCATACCATACCATATGTACCATAAAATATAATAAATATAACACTAAAACACCATTAAATGCCATTTTATACTTTCAATTCTTTTATGTATTTTATTGACTTTTTTGAAAATTTTTGCTTTTATCTAACAAAATAATACAATATATGATAGACAATGAAAACTTTATATACCTCTTATTTAATATCTTTTTATCGTAATTGCTTTCAAAATATTGCTCAAACACACACACATACATATACTCACTCACTCCTGTCTTTTGTTTTATATATTTTTTTGTTGATCTTATATTTTAAAACTTGAAGTTTTTATATGTCTATAACGAAAATATATTTATCATTTAATAGCAGAATACTGTATATATATATATATATTTATATTTATATTTATATATAGTTACATCCAATGTTTTTATGGCAAACAAAACCAATATGAAAAGTACTAAACAAACAAACACAAAAACTGTATAATATTGAGTTTGAAAGCATTTAAAATGCTAAAAGCATTATATATAAATAATATACCATAAATAATTTAATCAATTGTTATTTTTATTTAATTTGAAATTCTATAACTTAAAATAATATAAAATTTTTTAATTTATTTTATTAAAATTTAGAAAATTTATTTATAAAACATAATCTTAAAATTTAGTAAAATTACGTTAAAATTGAAAAATTCATAGATTATCTATATTAGTTTTATTAAATTATATACAATATTATAATATTTTTAAAATACAGCAAATATATATAAGTTTATAGAAATCTATATTTATTGTTGAAAAAGATTTCTCTATTTATGTTATTATTATTATATATTACATATTTATATCTGTTATTCGTTATAAATGTGAGACCAATTTGTATGGATATTATAGTAATCTTATACCAAAATTACAATCATTTATATCTTTTCTATTGAAACTATAGTATGAATTGAATTACTTATGTTATATAACGAGCAGTAAATATAATAGATATTTACACACATTTATAGCATTGATTTGCAGAAACATTATAGTTTTGTTATTATATTATATAAACAGAACTTTTTAAAAGCATTTTATCGGAAAATTTAATACATTTTATTGGAATTAATTAAAATTTTAATTAATTTTACGTGACTAACACAAACAAAATGCATACCAATGCTAGCAATTAGCAATACACATGACATGACTTACTTTTTCGTATTATTTGATTTTATTTAAATTAATAAAATTAAATGACAAATGTGGTAAAAAGTTTAATAAAATTATACGCTTTTAAAATGACTATTTTTTACTTTTATAATTAAAGTTTTCATATTAAATAAATCTGTCAAATATATTTATTGCATATATAATTTTTATTGCGTTAATTTCTTAATTCATTTATTTTTATTATGACTATTATGATAAACAATTAAAAATTATGTATTTTTGTCGGAAAAAAGTTTCAAAATTTAAGCCAACACATAGTATTAACCACAAAATTGCCAAAACAAGAGGCAACACATATATCATAAGTATATTATTAGTAAAATATAGTTATTTTAATTAGTGGGTCATTAGCTGTAAATATTGCCTTTTGTTTTCAATTTTAATTATTGTTTATTTAAATTGTGTGTTGTATTTGACTTATTCATAGATTAATATATATATATATATATATATATATATATATCAGAAATAAATTTTATTATATTAAAAGTTATTAACGAGTTTTGTTGTGTTGCGAGCCATTAATTGCTGGTATATATCTGTTTATGACTTTAATTATAAATATGCTATTTTTATTTATCTCTTTATTCACTATAATAATAATTATTATATAGTACTGTATTATATAACAAACCTTTTCTGTGAAATATTTTTGATGCCATAAATTCATTGAACATAACTTTAGGGTCTATATATATTTTTAATAAATTGCACTAAACTTTGTCTATTGATTACAGTCTTGTGTAATGCTATTAAAACTATAAGACAACAACAAAAACAACAATAATAATAATATAAATACTAATAAAACTATTGTTAAAAGCAAAAGAAAATCTTTTGAAAGTGAGAATCAGATTCTTTACAACAATTGTTTAATTGTCTTAATTGAAGTTTATTCATACAAAAACTTATTGAATGAATGGATCGTATTTTTTATTTCATGTTTTTTTGTTGTTACAAATAAAAGCTTTCAATTAAATATATAATATAAGTATATTCTTTGAAATTAGTGATTCATTGCCACCAAAATGTTTAGATATTCTGTGATAAAAAGCACTCAAGAATTTTTACCTAATTTTGCTATTCTTGTTGTATATACAAAACCCAGTGATTAAAACTATCTCTTTTTTAATTGTACTCTCAAACAGACAAATAGGTATTAAAATAATAGAGAAAACTAACAAAAGTTAGACCTCTTATATGTATGTTTCTAGTATTTGACGAGAAGGAAAAAACCATCGGTTGTATTGTCGTTGTAATGAAGTGACAATTGGGCCGCAAATTATTGAGTTTAATTGTCTCTACCAGTGCTAGACTACTAGTGCTCTATTAACAGATACATACACAAAAACTAACAGATGCCATACATTCTCCAATGGATAGCTTATGTACTGTAGTAGTAGTCTTTGACCATTGAAATGTGTTATCGGAAGCCATTCCACTACATTGTCCGCTAAATTATTATTATTACTATTATTATCTTCAGACCTATTGTTTCGTGTTGTGTCCGAACATCACTATATCTCTAGTATTTTTTGTTGATTATAAGCTATTAATTTACTATTTGTTCATTTCATTTACTCTATATTTTTTCACTTTCCTTATTAATGTACATAACTTATATATATAAGTAATATCGGTATATAATGTATATATATATATATATATATACAGTATATACAATACAATTTAGTGGAAGCTATCAATTAATGTCAACAACACATTGTGTCTTAAGTTGGCAAACAAATATGAGGACTATTTTATATTATATAAGACAATTGATTGCCAAATACTTCGCACAATCACACATAAACAGTACTATACAGTACTATATTGTATAATATACCAGTATATAACACATATAAACAAATGACAAGAAATAGCTATTACTTATATTTTTTGGTATTATCTCAATATCCGGAGCTTTTTTGTTACACACATTAGTCAATAACTCAAACATATGTTATTTGTTTTAAATGTCAACCAAATTAATGATAAATTATAACATAAATCACAACAATTAAATGTGCAATTGTTATAATAAATTTTGATTATAGTTAAGTTTATAATGTAATTTTTGATGCCATTTTATGACTCTGTAATTAAATATTATATTATATTTAAAAAATATTTTCAAATGAATTAAAATTATAATGACATTTTTACACACATAATTAGTATTTTATATTTTTTGCTAAATATATTTTTAAGTTATAAAATAATAAATCTATTTATTCTTTTATATAACTTACAAAAACATGTCTACAGTATTTTTTTATATAAACTTATAGTACAAATAATATTATTTGCATTATTATTATTTATGTTTGAGTTAACGATTGTTAATTTTTTAGTCCATTTATAATACCATTAGTTTAACTATTATATTATTACGCTATAAAATGTTTTTTCCATCCATTTAGTTAAAAAAATACATTTTAATCGATTAACAAATAATGTTTTTGTTTTAATTAGTTGTAATGTTTTTCTTTAAATATAAAAATATAGTCAAACCTTGAGGTGATGGTATGGTTTCACGGGGGTTTTCTGCAGTACGGCTGCGGCCATACCGACCGCTTGCGGCCAAACGGCAAGTTGTCCCGTGACTCCAACTTTGTATTCGTTTCATTCAATTATCGACTCCAAGCTCTTGGGTTTTTGGCATTGGATTTGTTGGCTAATTCCGGTGCAAACTCTTCATTTGGTAACTACGGTCTGTGGGATTCAATGGTTGTCTTGGAGTGGATTCAGAGAAATATTCACGCCTTCGGTGGTGATCCACGAAGAGTAACGTTGTTTGGCAGCGATGGCGGCGCCGCTATGATAATGGCCTTAATGACAAATCCTGATTCGAGATCACTATTCCGATCCGTTTGGCTAATAGATCCGGCTCTCTATTTCAACCGTACATTCAGTGAGACATCAAATTATAATCACAATAATTTTTTGTCGCGAACCGATTGCCATCACATCGACTGTCTTTATAAACTGACCGCCGAAGATGTGCTGAAGACATTTATTGGTGACGACGACCCGTCGTATGCCATTAAAGATCAGAACGATTTGCCGATTCAGGGAATGTTAAACAAACAGCTTATAGTCATCGATGGTATGTATCGTTGAATAAAACATTTTTTGTTTTTTGTGAGATTTATGTTTTACTGCCAAAATATATATATAAATATGTAAAAAGTCATCGATTTTATTTGTAAAGCACACAACCTGTGATATAATGTTAATATAATCTATAGAGTTATGAAATAAAGAAATATATGTTTTATTTATTGAAATCAGTTAATAAATTTACATACAATTTGATTTCTATAAAATAGTCTAATATATTCAATTGAAATATTTACAAATTTTATATTTACTTTTAAATAAAATATAGATGAATTAGTGACGGCTCCGATACCATTTCCAGCGGACACATCAGTCGATATACCCATATTAATAGGCTCTACAGCTCAGAGCATTGAGTACTGGCCCGGACCCAGGGAGCTGTTAAAGTGGACGTGGAATGACTATAATAAATACGTGACCACTTCACTGGATTCATTTGGTCCCCGACTCACACAATTAGCACTACAACACTATCCTCCCTCACCAATGATGACACCTGCACTACAATACCTAACTATGGTGACTGACTTGAGGCAGATATGTCCCGTTAATTTGATTGCCGCCAATCTGTCCTCACTATTAGTGTCACCAATCTTTAGATATCTGGTAACATCTCGACCATCCCAACCAATTAAATTATTTGATATCAAATCAAACAATTCATTTCATTTTTGGGATTTGATCGCATTTTTCGGTACTATTGATTGGTTTATCAAAAAGCCATCCGATTTTGATAAACAATTTGCAGAACAGATTCGTGAAATTGTCTTTAATTTTGTTAGGGATGGCAAACCTGATTGTCATCCCAATCAGGTATCCATATCGTTGCCATCCAAATGGGATCAATCATTTCCACATCAAATGGCTATCATTGGCTTAAACGAGACAATTATTGTTGACAATTATGTTATCAGTGATAGGTGTGAGTTTTGGGACAATCAAGGATTAACTAAATACGCGTGGATTAGTTAAATACATCATAACATTGACTACAGACACATATAAATACACACACATTATTTAATCCTATTTGTTATCTGTTTATATAAATATTTATCATTTTTCTATTAAATAATAAATTTTATATATCATTGAATTAACAGAATATTCTATAATTCATAATCTGGAAAAGTTTTTAATTTATTTTAGTGTATATTTATTTTATGTTTCAATATGTATGTAAATAATAAATTAAATTTTATTGTACATAAAAGTAAACATAGATATAAATTTTTGAGATATAAATAAATATTGTATTTAATATTTACTATATATCGAGTTTAGAAATGAAATATATATTTATACATTATTGTACAAAAATATTTTAATGAAAATTATGTTTATATATTATATTGTTTTATAAATTATGTAAATATGATTTAATTTTTGCTTATTTTCTTTTTTCTTATAGACAAATAAATTATAATAATTATATATATATAAACATTTTTAGATTATAATTTGAATATAACTTAAAACTTGATATGTAATTATAAACTTTTGTAAATTAATAAAAAATATATAAATTACTTCAAAATTATTATGATATCTATTTATATACTTAAATATGCAGTTAATATGTATAGTATTAAATTTATAATATCTACATTTATTTAAATATCATATTTATAGTGAATGCAATTTATAAAAATTTACAAGAATTTTGAGATATAATAAAAAACAAAATCAATAGATTACTTGAATTACATTTTTTTAGAATAACGTATAAATTATATCAATATATAAATTGTTGGATAGACTCAAACTAATAATAATAATAATAATATGATATCACATACACTAATATATTATACAAAATATAATAGAAATTAATAGAAAAGAAATGTTAAACACAATGAAAGTGAGATTAAGTCACATAAAACTCATTTGGAGAACACATATGGCGTAGAATACGGTTTGAGTTAATCAATGCTTTTCTCATTAAACCATATATACTGTACTCTATGACTGAATGTACGATATATACTGTACTATAAATAAGTGCAACAAAAAAACTTATTACAAAACGTCTAATAATTGAATGATAAGAACAATAATGTTATTTCCATTTATTCAATAAGTTCTCACTTTTCATAAAATAAAAGACAAAAAAGTACATATTTTTTTAAATATTATATTACATACACACTAAATACATATAAACACATATATAATACATTCACGAAATTGTAAAATATATATATTATAATAAAATTGTATTATTATCTAATGTTAATAATAATACCAGTATTATCTATTGAATTAAATTGTGAGTGAGTTTTAAAATTATGGAAATGTTATTATATTTATATTTTCAATAAAAAATTTTGAAATGAATAATAATAATAATAATAATAATAATAATAATATCTTAAATTTTTACTTTATTAACAAATCAAGATACTGTAATAATATAAATAATAAATACAAAAATATAAAGTCTAATACAATATATTTAAATCTAATTAATAAGTAATTAGTCATGCACTTTAATGTTAAAACTTATAATTATTTTATGAAAAATATAAGCAAAAATATAATATAAATAAAATATATTTTGTATTTTCATTTATAAATTCTAATTCTAATAAATTTAGTATTAAATTCTTTATTTTAATTTTAAAAATGTAGTATTTGTCGAAACAATTTTGAGGTCAATAAATAACAAAATAAAATATTATATCAAAAATAAAAATACTTTTTAATATCAAAAATAAAAGAACAAAAAAGTTTTACATTTTTTGCAAAATAAAAGTTTGCGACAGATTTTTCATTTAGTGCTGTTTGACAATAACAATATACTGTATATCAGGGGTAACCAAACAATACATTTTTAATAAAAAGTCGCCTTTTTGTTTGATATTAAAAATAAATTTACAAACACAAGAATTTTTTAAAAATTAAATTTAAACATTATATAAAATGTTAAATAACTTTATAATTTATTAAACAAGTATTAAACATTTAACCATCGTATGACATAGAAATCATAATAAACTATATTGATATTGTTAATTGCTAAACGAATATTAATACTATTAAATATTTTAGACTAAATTTATTCAAGATTTTTAGCTTAATCTTAAAAATTTAAACAAATAATTTTTATATTTATCTTATAATTATTGTATATTTAGTTAATAATACAAGGTATAACTTGTTTTAATTAACCAAATACATTATATATTTATATTATAAAATTCAATTAACTTTATGACATTATTGCAAACATTTTGATGATATACCCTCTATGACCCCCTGAAGATCATAACATAAGATTAAAGATAGGTCGCAAATATACAGACAAATACATAATTTGACAGAAAATCAATAATTTTTTGTTTCATAGTTTCATAGAATATTCTATAGTTTTATTATAATGCAATCCATAGTCCAAAAAATACAATATATCGATAAAAATATATCATATATTCACTTTCACTATTGTCTTGAATTTAATGAGATGACCAGCACTGCAAAAAAATGTTTTTGACATTATATTTTAGATTAAATATAATAAAATTGTATATTAATAGTAATTTTATTACCAATTATATAAACCTTTATCTATTTTACATTGATAATATTTTATACTTAGCCTATATATGCAATAAATACTGTACTTTTAAATACTATTTTTTCAATAAATAAACATTTATATTAATATCCATGGTCATTTTACAAGTTATGTCATGAAAATTTAAATTTTCAATATATCTAAAAACCTTATGAAAAATTTCATTTTTAATATTTTATTTTTGAAAAATATTTATATTCAATATACTGTACTAACATATGTATGATGTTTACAACTTTGTTATCATTATTTATATATACAGATAGTTATATGAAATGAAAATATTATATCAAATTTATGGTAAAACATTATTTTTAAACTATATGTCTATTTGTTTATATACTTTTTTAGCATATAAAACAACATTTTTATTTAAATTATAATTTTTATATTAAATTTGCAAATAGGATGTCAGTTGTTAAATAAAAATTGTATTTTCTTTCCTGTTTTTAAAAGTTTATCATCTTTTTATTATATCAAACAGTTTTATCAAATAAATAATATTTCAACTTTTCATTATAATTTAAAATTAAAATATTATGAAATAATTATAGTTAAGCTTAAAATGTTAAGCGTTTATTTACAGTAAGATTTGAAAAAGTATTAATATATTAAAATTTACAAATGTTGTGACATTTACATAATCTAATGTATTAAATGTTTTGTTTTTATTTATATTGTTTCAGCAATTTAACAAATAAATTGCTTTTTATATAATATTATAACTATAATTATAAATCATTTAATATAATATAATTAAATAAACTTTGTATATTTTAAAATAAATATCAAAAATAAAAATAATTATTATTTTAAAAATAGTTATATTGTATATTAAATTATTTATTAATATACTCATTATATATAAAGTATGCATTAATTTATTTTTTAAAATATAAATAATTGACATAATTTATTGCTAATATTGTATTAATTATTAAATTGATTAAAATAATTGTTATCATAAATTATTAATAATAATAATAAGTAATAAAATATTAATACTAAATATACCAAATACTGTATTACATATCAAATATAATAGACGTCAATACGTCAGTCAAAAGATTAATCTATTTTTCTCATACAAAGGATATTATGTATCAATGATTTATTTAATATATTTAATCTAATATTAAATAATAAATAAATGAAATTATTGTAAATTACTAATAGATATAATGTCGTAAATTTACACAGGTTTAGCAAACATATTGCTGAGTCATAATACAGTAGTTAATTATGATAAAAATGTTTTTATTATTGCTATTTAATTTCGATATTTACCTGTATTTGTTAAAATAAATACATTTATAAATTATTACTTTAATATAATAAAAATTATTAATAATAATTAATAATGTTTTTTAATTTTATATTTATCTATATTTATATAATTTTCATTATTAATGCAAAAGCGTTAGAAGATATTAATTCAATGTGTAATACATGTATAGATAAGTCAAATACAAGTTCTGAAACCTCCCAATGCTTTAGTAAGTAATGTTAAAATATTCATGTAATTCAATATATTGTATAATATATTGGTATTAATCAAATAATTAATTATTATTATTATATAATGTAATTTTACAAGACTTTACAAAAGTGTGTGAATTTAAACAATTGATACAAAGTGTTGGCCAGAGATTAATAATTGGTCATAAAGTGGCGATCGCTAAATGGGACACAAAGTTACCGATTAAAGATAAGAAAAGAGAGGATCAGGTAATTGAATCAATGATCAAACTGTCAAAAGAGAAGTATGATTTGGACAACTCGTGGGTCAAACAATTTTTTCGCGACCAAATAGATGCCAGTGTTAGTCTTCAATTGAATTTACATCACGATTGGAAACAAGTTGGCCACAGACCCGATGGACCCACTGTTGATCTTAAACATGAAGTCAGACCTGTTATCGACAAACTTAATACAAAATTAATTCAATACTCAAACCAAACCAAAGAGCTTCGGGCGAGTGATGAATGTCTTCAATTGAGGGATACTTTGGCCAAAGTGGTGGCCAATGAACTGTTGATGCAAACCATTGATTTGAGATACTTTAACACAACATTAAAGCACATTTGCAAACCAATTACCAAACAATTACAGGTTTTTAATAATGCTTTTATGTTTTCTGTCGCTTATAATAATTGTTTTGTATATTATTTTCTACTGTATATTATGTTTTGTATTGTTATGCATAAAAATTGTTTATAAATTATATTAATTAATAGTTTTTTAATTTTTTAATTATTACAGAAAAACGACTAATAATATAATGAATTATATTAATGTGATAAAATTAATAGTGATTTTTTAATTTATTTTTTGGTACCGGTAATTATATTATTAATAATAGTCTCTTAATAACAACTATACTAATAACAATTATTATCTTTATTAAAATAAATTAATATTTTCTATACATTTAAAATTTATGTAAATTTATTTTTAATAAAAATATAGTAATAGTGAATATTAATTTTGTAATTTATTATTTTGTAAGAAATATCGTATTTGTTTGTATTGTAAATATTATTTTTTATATTAAGTTTGATTGCCTTTTAAAAATAAATAATTTTATTATAATATAATATGGTATATCTCAATTATAATATTGCTATAATATTATATAAATATTAATAAATTTAGATTATTTAGATAATTAAATATGACATTTTATAATTAACATGAAAAAGATTATATCAAAACTGATTAAATTTATTTATTGAATAGAAATCTTGATTACAAAAAATTTGTCTAAATATTTAATTATATAGATTTAATTAAATTAAATAAGAAGTATTTAATTATATTAAGTCATATTAATTCTATAAATATTTAATATGTTTTATATAATTATAAGTTTATATATTATATATTATGAATTAATTTTTAATAAAACTCTATTTATTTACTCTAAAGTAATAAATATTTTTTTTTATTCAAAATATTATACTTAAATATATTTACAAAATTTTGTTTTCAAAAAATTATGTTGTGAGATTATTTTATAAAAATTGTTATCATTATAGCATTCATCTGTATCATTGGTCAGTCTACTAAATATAAGACAATTATATTCAGTATATATATACTGTATATATATATATAAATATTTTATCCGCTTTTCCTGCCATTAGAAATTACGACATAAAAAATATCTGAATTTTGTTGTCAGTTATTTTAGTTTATTTTGTTGTTGAGATAATAGCATTACTGGCCAAGTGATGAGCAGTTGTCTACATAGGTAGTGATGGCATTAACTTTTAGTACATATTTGACCGATACATCAAATTGCATCCTCTAGAGAAATAACGGACCAAAAAATATGATAGCATTACATAATATGTCAAATATTTTCTCATTTTTTGCCACTAAATGGAGGCAATGAATAAGTTTAACTTTCGTTTATTATATACAGTTAAGGCATTATTATATGCCTTTAAAAAATCAGTCATTACATTGAATTACTTACTTCCAGTGCAACCAAAGGACTTAAACACACAATTGTATAAATCTATTAATAGATAAAATTCTCTATTGATTATTGAGTTTAAAACTATGCGGTCATTGATTTTTTCCACATTTAAAAGTGGTGTTCAAACTACTTGTGATAAGATTATTAAAGACTAGTATTTTGTATCGTTTGGCTAAACCTTAATGTGTTGGCATTGCCTTACAGGTCACGAACCATATGTTAGGGTTATAGCGAACCTATCATTTAACACACTATTTATATGTCACATCTCTTTCTAATCATATTGTGAGCCATAATATTGATATTAAATCGATTTTGCAAAAAAAGTTTATTTTTTACATAACGTGAGTTGAATTTAAGTTAATAATAACAAACTTAATTTAACCAATAAATCAATGACTATTTAGTTAATTATCAGTTATGCTAATAAAAAAAATTATTTAGATTTATAAAAAAACTGAAAAAGTTGTTTTTTATGTAAGTAAATGAGTAAACAATATTTTTAAATATTTTTTTTTATTATTTTATAATATCTATATTATGATTTTAATTGTCCAATTATAATTAGACATATTTTTTTATTTTATATATTTATTAAATGACAAATTTTAGTCAAAATTTTTTATGTATATAGTCTTATATATGTTTGTGAATTTATACCAAAAATAAAATAAAATTAGAAACTCAAAGTACAATATAATATAAGTATTTATTGTTGACTTAGACTGACAACTATTGAATGCTAAACTTGAAGTATAAAAATAATAGTAAAAACATTAAAAAGCAGTTTTTTGTTGAAATTTTTTTTGTCTCAAAATCAATGTAACCTAACGTAAGGCACACAAAGTTGTTTGTATGGATTGTATGAAAGGGTCATTCAAACTAAATCGGAGAGATTTTTATTTATTGTTTCGATACCTCTGGAGATGAGTAGTGGCCATATAACTGGTTCAATGCATCGCTGGACTTCACAACTTGGCGTTTACATCATCAAGTGGTTCATCAATCACTTTCCCATATATTTATTGGCCGTTAGTTAAATGCAAACAATACTTTGCACTACAATTGTTTAAGTTCTCAAAGAAAAAAAATTAGGCAATAAATCAAACGGATTAAAGCCTTTTGATGTCTATCTATCACAACATTTCAACAAAAGAGTCCCTAAAAATCGGTCGTCAAAATCAACCTATTTATAAGCTCTACTCTATTGTATCGATTCATTTAATTCATAAATTATATAACTAAAAGCAAATAACTATCGTTTACAATGTTTTTGTTTTCTCACAAACAGTTTTGTCAAATCCATGATAAACATAGTCAAAGAAAAATCTCGTATTTTATTCATTTCATAGCTAACTAACAAATTTCAAATCAATATATTATTAGCTTAGCTTATAAACATTGATCCTCTCTCTTACTGAATCACTCACTCACTACTTATTAAATAAAACCATTATTTTGATTGTAAGCCAAAAAATAAATATATTTTGTTTTATTCATTCTTTTAAAAAATCCGTAACTGTATTAAAGATACAAAAAATAGTAATTTTTATTACTGTACTTAAAAATTATTACTATATATTTATAAAAACATTTTTTCTTTTATAGTATCTAAAATTAATCATAAAAAACTAAAATACTGTATTTGTCATAAATAGATATAATTCACATAAATATAGTGGTATATACAGTAGTATTTAATAATGAATTCATATTATAGTAAAGAATAGATACATATTTCTTATTTATATTTTTACATTAAATTAAGTAAAGACAAGACTTTAAAAATGTTATGTAATGTTTATAAGTTTGTCTAACATTTATCTTTTATTTACAATAGTTTTTACTTTATTTTTGTAAATAAAGTATACCTACTATTGTCTAAAATATTATAAATAGTAACAAAATTATGAGGATCATAAAATTTGTTTATCCTATAAAAAATTACCAGTATAATGTTAAATATAATTTATTATACATATAAAAAATTCTAGTACATATATTTTTATGTTATCTAATGTATAACATTACTTATACAGTATTATTAATATTTATAATTCTTATATTTGAATAAACAATAATAATAACAATATTCAAGCATATAATACAGTATTTAATATCAAAGTTATAAAATATATGTCAGATTAGACTGTAGTTTATTTATTTTGAATAGTTATCATTAATTTATTAAAACTTATTTGAATTAAAAAACATTTATTTTATTTAGTAAAAACTTTTAAAAACAAAATACAGTATAATGTGTGTACAGTATATGTGATACACAATATCTGGAGTTATACGAGAGGTACCGATAACTAGTTGTCCTCTCATTTATATACAAAAATAGTAGTCAATTGGTTAACATATAGTGGGGTCAGTTTGACCTAAATTATTATTTATTGTTTGATTTTGTATTGTATTGATATATGTATGTATGTGTGTTTGCATTATAAGTTTTGTAAATGTATTTAATTGTAAATTGTTATAAACAAAAATAGATATAATAAAARTTAATATACAGTATATTTATGGATATACTGTCGGTGTATTTGACATACAATTAGAAATAGTGGGATAAAAGTATCGGCATATTTGTGTTCAAAGTTTAGTACAGATATTTAAAACTATTTCTAAAATTATAGCTAAATTGAAATATCAATTGTTAACTTAATATAACTTAAATTCATAGAAATGTTAATATAATTTATTTAAAATATTGAATTAATAATAATCATAAAAATAATGTTAACTTAAATGTCTATATATCTGACATATATTTTATATATTAATTGTAATTATTATATTTTAAATTGCAACACTTTTAATATTTAGTAAATTAATTTAATTATTAGAAAAAATAATACTTAGATAAATGCCTTTATTACAAACATTATAATATATAGTATGAATTCATACGCTATGATACATTGAAATGTGGAAATCATTCAATACTATTATAATTTATTATTTATTATAATTATAAGCTAATTAAGTTAGATATTATTTAAGTTTAATTACAATTTGGAAATATAAATACAATTTGTATTATACAAAATTTTAATTTTATATCAATTAACTTTATATTAAAAACTTTTAAAAATTAAAAAATTACAATTTAATACGTATTAAAACTTTAAATATTTGAATTTACAAAATCTTTATCATAGATAAACTAAAATTAACAATTATAAATATTATTATTCAGAAATAAATTATAATAAATAAATTATTAATATTAATCCTAAATTTAGTTTGTAATAATATTACTACAAAATGTAATAAATATTACTCATTCAATTTATTATAATAATATTTTAAAATGTATAAAATAAAATCATATAAGCTTTTTTAAATTAATATTTTATAAATAAATGTATATTTTTCAAAAAGCAAATTATATGTTGCAATATGTAATACAAAATTATATATTTCTTGCATAAATGCGTTGCGTTTTGTATAATATTTTATATTTAAGCAATATTTTAAATTTTCAAATAAAATATTTTTAAGAAATTACACGTTAAGGTTAAAACAACTCTACTATATATCATTTTAATATTTTTCTCATACATTATAAAAAAATGTAATAATTTATTGTCTTATATAATACATGATATAATGTATAAATATAAGTAATCAAATTTATTTAAACTGGCACAACTCATATAATTTTATTTAACTTATTTGTTAATTTAAATCATATCATATCTTAGTTTATTAATTAACAAATTTTTATGTATTAATAAGTTATCATTTAAAATGTTTAGCCAAATTAACTAAAATATTATACAATAATTTTTAAATTGCAAAAATACAGTAACTAATGATACTTGAAATTGATATTAAAACATATTTTTGTATTAAAAGATTTAAATTGAATTATGATATTAAGAAAACTTTTCAAATATAAAAATCCATTTTTAGAAAACACTAAAAGTAGACAATATTTGATATACAAAATTATAAGAAGATGTCATCAATTATAATCAAAAAACACATAATAATAGACTTTTGGTAAACATCTGCTTTTGAATAGCAATCAGTTCTTCAAATTTATGTAATAAAGTATATAAAAAACTTAAGCAACACTTTAAATAATAGCACTACCAGTGCTTACAATTCATTATTATTATCACTCATTATAATGAGTGAGGAGTGAGGGGTTGGGATGATATGCAAAACACATTTAATATAATAGTGTGCTCACAGATCTTGGGATTAATTTGAATACATTATAAAAACATAATTTGCTTTTAAATTAGGAGAAACAAACATTTTTTGATAAAAAAAAACAGAAAACTACAATTCTAGTCATTTTATACATCAGTTTTATGCTAAATATATACACAGTATATACAGAACACTGTATTATAAAATATAGAAATCTATTTACAGTATCTTTTAGAATACTATATACAGTATATATAATATCTATTTAGTAAATAGAAAATACTATTTATATATTGTGTACATAAACTGAGAAAAAAATCTAATAAAACAAATGGCTTTCAATACAAATAGATTTTTACCATAACTGTATAGTCTATCGTCGTTTAACAATAAAATTCTTGCCATACTATAGTACCGGTATATACACAATAATAATAATAATAATAATAATAATAATAATAATAATAATAATAATAATAATAATAATAATAATAATAATAATAATAATAATAATAATAATAATAATAATAATAATAATAATAATAATAATAATAATAATAGACAACAAACAAACAAATAAATGAAAAAATCTTATCTCAATTTTTTTGATATATATCATTGGAATTCAATAGTAGTATTCTTCACAATTCAATGATTACAAACTCTATCTTTTAAGATATTAATAACATAAAAACGATTTTTGTTACTGACATTAAATTATACACTGTATAATAAAAAGCATACAAACATATTATACTGTTTTGAAAATCTCAAATTTAAATTATTATATTATATTAAAAGTTTTTGTTTAGTAGTTAAAAACTATATTTTCTTTAAAGTCAATCGATTTAAATGCCTTATTGTTATGAAATTTTAGTCTCCAATACAATTGATTGAATATAATATCAATTTTGAATTTTTTAGAATACTGTATAAAAAAATTTATAAACTTATATATAATATAATATGTGTTGTTGTTATTATTGTCAAAGTTAGCTGTCATTTACCAAAACTATACAATAATGTTGTTTATCATCAACGAAATCGATTTACATTTTACAGAAGCTTTTTTGTTGTTAAATCAATAAATTTTTAATGTATGAAAATTAATGCCTAAATGATAACATAACATATAAAAGTTGTGCATTTTTGTTGTCATCTTATCTCAAAACAATATCTCGTATGCCATCCCTTGTGAGTCAGAAGAAAAAGCAAATAATATTATATTATTTAAAAATGTCTTTTAAAACTAATATATAATATTAAATATCAGAGATATTAAGTCGACACTAATAATACAGAGCAAAGACCATTGACAATGTGTCACACATTTTGTAAAATACATAAATCATTCAAATGGTTAGTAATATCATTGTTTTAAATCAGAAAGTCATTAATTATTTAGTAGTCAAAGTAATTAAAATTTTAAATACTTTAAAATTAAATATTTAAATCATTGGCAAATTGTTCTATAGATTCAGTTTATGATTTTATATCATAATATTTATTTAAATATTTTATTTAAAAGATTTAATAAAGTATAATTTATAATAATAATTTTATTAATAAAAACATTATAAATAAAATTTTATTAAAAACACTTTTTATTACTAAATCAAAAATTCAGTTAAACATAACAATAAAAATGTTTATAAATTATTTCATTTTTAGCCAAAAAATATAATGTTTGAATCATTAAAATTTATATAAACATCTCGATCTTGTTATATGTAGTGAGAAGATTGTAAGCAAAGTATAAAATACGATAAATGTATGCTAAAAGCATCTCATATTGTCTTCAAATATATATATTTAGTTGATTTGTATGTATTATATGTCTCGCAGGTGGAACTCATGTGTCGGTGTAAACCATATCTTACATATAATATATGGTACAATACATTATACAATATGTCTCACAAAAAAATAAAACATTTTACTATAATTTATATAAGTTTTTATGTATTTGTATTTTTGTTTTAGTAGTGACACACACACACACACACACACACACACACACACACACACACACACACACATACATACAGTACTATACATACACTTCTAATCCTTGATTTACATAAAGTATTACTAAACATAACACAAGAAACGGTAAAAATTGTTTTTTGTGAACTATTATAATATACGAGTAATGCTAATGTTATGTAAGTTTTAAAATGCATACTCTTTGAGATGAATGAGAATAAAAGAAAAATTATTTTGATTTACAATAACATGTATTTTAAATCAATATTGTTTTCGTTAACATTAAAATTGTAGTATTTATTAATAATATGCAATATTATCAATATAGTTTATTAATTGACATATGTGAACATAATTATTTTTTAGAAAAATTATTAATACTTTAATACTAAAATAAACAATTTTGTCATATAAATTGTTAATATACAATAATTAGCTATTAAACATTTTTATGCATATTATACATTTAAATGACTAATTTGTTAAATTGGTTAATAAGATACAAAAAATAATTGTTATATCAATTGCTTGCTATTGATTAAACATTTTAATTATCATATTATAACTGACTTTACATCTATACTAGTGTTTAGAACATTACAACAAATATGATATCAAATTTCATGTATATATTGAATATGTATAGATTGGAAATTTTACAGTTGCAGTTACAGTTGCTGTTAGCAAGTTGTAGACATAGTATATCAATAAACAACAGTTATAAGCAACAAATATTGCATATCTGTATGTACAGTATAATAGTAGACTGTATTATACTATTGTATGAAAACTATTAACTATTAATATATATAACAATTTAATTAATTTGTATCATTCAAAACAATTTTAATTAATATATATATATAAAACATTAATAATAAAATTAGATTATAAACAATAATTATTGTATAACTTTAAACAACTTATGATTATTATAATAAAAATTGCTTAAACTATAGTATAGCAACTGTTATAACACAATAGGTTGTATATGAGGGCATAGGTGTTGGTGTATATTAAAAAGCATACTTACCTGGCGCCGGATCAGCCATGATCAACAAGGTGGCGGTCCCGGGTCGAGTCGGACCCATTGCACTATTGGGTCATGATGAATCCCGCCACTATTCCAAAACGGAACAGATGGGGCGTGTAATTTTTGGTAGCGGGGGGAGCGTTCGCGCTTTTACCCCCTTTTATTTTTATTAAATCAAAAAATAGACTCACATTTAAAAAAAATAAATACATTTTAATTATACATTCAATGATAATAATTAGTATATTTATTACAATTAGTTGAATCATATAAAACATGGTTTTAATTTTGATTACAAAAATATTGTTTTGTTTTTCATTGAAATTTACAATTTTGTTTGTAATGTCTTTTTTTAACAGTTTTTGTCACTTATTTAGCCAAAAGGCTTCACTTTTATGACTCCATTCGCCATAAGAAGTAGTAGTTTGTTGTTGTTGTCGATGACTGTTGTGATCGCTGTCCTCGTAATAATCGATGCGCTTCCAGATGGGAACCGACCGTTTGATATCATTGAGTACATCCATAACCAGTTGGTGTCCGTGTGTGCGATGCGGTGACGAACAGGCGATTGCTATGGATGTCTGGCCAACCAAAACCTGACCCAATCGGTGGACAACAACACACTTGTGTACGGCATTGACCTCATGTTTGCCGATATGTCGTTCAACTATTGCTTGCATTTCTTTGAGTGCCATTGAATGATACGCTTCGTAGACAAGACTTTCTACTCGTCGGTCCGTTTGGTCGTCCGATTCGGTACGTCGTGTTTGTCCTAAAAATAGTGAAATGGCTCCACACGTCGGGTCGGACACAGTGGCCAACACTTGGTTAACATCTATATCGGTTTCGACGAGTTTGACCACATATTTATCGGTTACGATCTCGTGATCCGACATTACATCTATTGTGACCACAAATGCTAAGAAATAATGTAAACAAACATTTAATTCAATGATTTTCTACAACAATACACGTGTTATTCAATATTATTATTATTTTAATGATATTTTGTTTGCTATTAATATTGTCATTGAAGTGATGATTGAAACCAAATAATTGTTTGACATAACATTTATCACTAAACTTTGAACTCATTATTGATTATAAATTATAATATAGTTGTAATTATAAATTTGTTTTTTAATTTTATTAAATGATATTTTTTCTTAAAAATTGTGTTTACATTTATATACGATATTTATTTTTGTATTTTTTATTGTCAATCATCTATTAATGTTTTTTTAAAAGTCATTCAAATGTTTTTTAAATACAAATATACTGTATTTGAAGGATAAATTTACCATTATTTTAAATATATATATCTTTAAGAAAATATTTATATGAAATTTTTATTTATTTATAAATTATATTTAAAGTATTTTATTAAAAAAATAATATAATTTACGGTAATATTTAAATTATTTTAGATATTTAAAAAAATAATTTAATTTATTTCCTGGTATTAGAAAAATATTATTCGTGAATAATATTTTATGAAATTAGATATTATTTTTTTTCAATATTATTATTAGTAGTAATTTTTTAAACACAACAAAATTTAAAAATAAAATTTTATATCCTTTTTTAATGTTTTATAGTTTATAGCAACCAAATGAAAATTTTTATTAGTAATTAAATGATTTGTTATAAAATTATACAAATAGTACTAAATAGCTTATAAATGCAATAAAGTTTAGACAAATAATTAGATATTTATTTAAAACTAAAATTCAAATATTAATACTAATCGATGGCATTGAAAGCCATGTAAATGTACTGTAAATAATACAATAATACTAATACATTACATAGTGTTGTATGGATAACACTTTAAATGACATTTTTTATATAATTGAAAAAATAATATTAGTTAGTATTTAATTGATAAACTGGGTTAATAATTACAGTAAATTATCCTTGATCAATTCAAATGATCACACAGTTTGTGTAAATTGTGTAAAAGTATGTAATTTCTAATACATTGAATGAAACACTAGTTTGTGTATAATTTTGAACGTCAAATACAGTACATTATTAATGTAATCGTATATTAATAACACAATTATTATTATTTAACTGAATGTCTCTAATGTTTTAGTTATTAATTATTTGATATTAACCTAAAAATAATTAAACAATTTATAGGAAACGTGTTTTCAAATGATTGATATTTAATGAATTTTTATTAATTAATTAAATTATTTATTTATTGACTATTATTAACGTAATATTTATATTTATTACTGTAAATAATTGATTGAAAGAAATACAAACAAATAAACAAATCCATGGATTTTGTAAGTATTTTGTGAACCATTTGATTGTTTGATAATTTAATGATTGAATATATGGTATAACAGAACAACAGTCCAGTAGTGGTGTCTGTGTTGGCCATCACTGGGACCACACTATTCATTGTCTATAAACTATTGTCGAAGAAGTCGGCGCCCAAACTATTGATAAATCCTGAAGAAAAATATTGGGTGCCATTGATTGAAAGGGAGGACATCTCACACGACACCCGACGCTTTCGGTTTGGTCTACCAACCGATGAACACGTACTCGGACTGCCAGTCGGACAACACATCTATTTGTCGGCTCAGGTCAACAATCAATTGGTTATCAGACCGTATACACCGGTTTCCAGCGATGACGACAAGGGTTACATTGATTTAGTGGTCAAAGTTAGTCGTTTCTCATATAATATACTTATTAGTGATATAAAAATGTTTTGCTTTTATTTTGAAGACTTATTACTATTTATATAATCTATGCTATCATTTATGCCTAATTTAAGTCTTGATTTATCTTTAATTTTTTTAATTTCCGCGTTTCTGATTGTGAGTTATTTTGTTGATAATTGAAGATTAATATCAAATTCATAATTTAATTGTTAGGTTTACTTCGCCAACTCTCACCCGAAGTTCCCCGAAGGCGGCAAAATGTCTCAATATATGGAGCGCATGAAGATTGGCGATAAAATTCAAATCCGTGGACCCAATGGTTTACTTGAGTACAAAGGCAGAGGAAAGTTGGCCATAAAACCGGACAAAAAGAAGCCGCCAGTGCTTCAGGACTTCAAAAGAATCGGAATGATTGCCGGCGGGACCGGTATTACTCCATGTCTTCAATTGGTTCGACAAGTGTTCAAAGATCAGAGCGACAAAACCAATTTATGGCTTATTTATGCCAATCAGACTGAAGACGATATTTTGTTGCGCAAAGAACTGGAAGAAGTGGCCGACGAACACACCGATCGTTTTCATCTTTGGTATACTGTTGACAGACCTAAAGATAATTGGAAATACAGGTCTGATATATTATTATCAATGATTTTCAATAGTCTAAACTAATTGATTGTTTGATCTTAAAAATAGTGCCGGTTTTGTCAGCTCAGAGATGATTAGCGACCATTTGCCGACTCCCGGTGAAGACGCGTGTATCCTAATGTGTGGACCGCCGCCAATGATCAACTTTGCCTGTATTCCCAATCTCGACAAATTAGGTCATTCCCCAAATAGAAGATTTGTTTACTAAATAAGTTAACAATTGCCGGTAGTTGTGATTATCACAACTATTAATTACATACTCTTATATTGTATTTGATAAATCAAATACCGATATATTTTTTTAGACAAATTTTATTTATCGGTAAATCTAAACTTAAAATTTGATAAAATTGTTTATTAATAATTTTTTATTAAAATTTGTTTTATTAATTAGAGTTTAAATTTTCAAATACATTTAAAATTGCAGTTTTTTGTTATGTTTATTATTTTTTTATATTTTGATTTGCATTTTAGTGTTTTGGATATAAAATATTAGTATAAAATAAACTAAATATTTCAAATTTAGACTTCAATAGTTGATTGAAGTGAAACAATTTATTCAATTATTTGTGAATGTAATGTACTATAAAAAAATAGTTATTTTAAAAAACAAATTATATTTTGTATAAATTGTTAGCAAATATAAAATTATTATATAGTTACCGTAATTACAATAAAAAAGTGTATAAATGCATATCAATTAATAATATAATAAAAACTTTATATAATTACAACAAAATATTGTGAGATTTATTTATGAGATTTATTTGTATGTGTGTGTCATTTAAGTAACAATCTTTAGTGATATAAAAGCACTGACTAAGGCTATGGTTAGTACCAGAAGCAAACCCGATGCTTGACATCTAGTACTGTGATTACACCACTCGTCAAACTCGCAAAAACAATAAGTGGTTTTATCGAAGTAGTCCTTTTTGAGGTCCAACTGGTCGACCGAATTCTCTACAAATACGGCCAGTTTTGGCTGAGTGGCCGCCGGTCGGCAGCCCTCAAAACGGTCGGCCGGTATGTCACGTCTGTAGGGAATGATATTTGATAGACAATCTCTGGTGACCAACAAATCGGCTAAATATAAAAAATATTTATTTATTATTATGAAATGCAGATTAATTGTTGACTTCAATGATAACATACATCCTTTTTGATCAATAATTTTTACACATTTGTCATCACTTCGGGGACAACTGATGGCCGAGTGTATCAACCAGTCAACCTTATTTAGGGTACAACCCGGCTCACTGGATACACACGAATAACACCATAGATTGCACCGAACTGTCCAAACGGTCCAATTGTTTATATTAAATGGGAATATAAATTAATTAATAGTAATTTTATGAAAACAAATAATGAAAACAATTTACCATTTGTTACAAATACACTAAATATTGTGACAAATATGAAAATTATATGATTATTGCAATTCTTGTATATATTGTATGTTTGGATCATCTTTGGCTTATTAATTGCTATATTATATATTAATGATTTGTAATGATAATTATCAACTTTCAAAAATATTTTTAGCCATAATATTGGCAAAAAGTATTGATATAAATAAACAGACACTGGTAAGTTTTGTTTTCAAGGCACAGGTATGTCAGCCACGCCTATCGTATCATTTTGTTTATAAAGATTGAATTACAGGTAACCGTTTGTATTACATAAAGTATGGCTAATATATTGTATAAAAGTCTAATATATGATATTATAACAGCACTTATGTCACACTAGATTAAAGATAAAAATATCAATTAATAGATTTTAGTTTAGTATGTAGTTTAATACTGTATAGTAATAAATTTAAACAGTATATATTTGAATAGTAATTTATGTAAAAGTAATTTTAATATTTGAGTTTTTTCACAATTTTAATAAAATTTACAATAAGTTTTATTTTTTGGTTTTAAACATTTGTAAATCACGAAACTAGTGATAATGTGTCTGATAGGCCATCGTTTCCCTTATATCACTGATAAGCGTAGGTCACCACATAAGCACAGATACCAGTGCTGTAAGCGATACTCGAGGTCAACAGGGATTGATGTGACATATGTTATAGTTAGTGAACTTTTTTAGTACTGATTTAGTAATACTGAATTCACATATGAATGTAATTTGTTTAAATTGCTACAAATTGTTAAATGTCTAATGTTTTTTAATATGTTGGTTAAAATGCAGTATTATATGAATTCAGTAATAAAAAAGTTTAGAAACTATAACACTATAACATATGTCCCCCTAAACACATGCCTATCTTACGTATCTCTTACAGCACTAGTATCTAAAATTTTAAAAAAAATCAGTGCAAATGTGGTGTGACCAACGCTAATCAGTGGTATCAGCAAAATGATGGCCTTTCGTTCATATTATCATTAGTTTAGTTAACTGTTTTAACCAAAAAATTTATATTAAACTTTTATTATTTTAATATATTATATAAATTGATTTTTATTCATTTAAAATTTAATGATTAAATTATATTTGACATTCATATGTAGATAACTATATATTGTACATGAATTTTATAATTTATATTTCAGTTTTTTCATTTTAAGTTATAAAATACCGGTGTATATATATATATATACAGTATATACACTAAATATTGTAAAAAATATAATTTTTAATTAATTTATTAATATTTTGATTTACGATACAGAAAAGTATATATATATTAATATAGTATTTTTTGAAGGTGTAGTGATTTATACATTAAGTTTTAATATGAAATTTTGATTTTAACAAATCGATAACATATTTTACATCATATATTTTTAACATCAAATATATTTACCGATAACACATTTATTTTATATGACTGGCTCTTATAAAAACCCACTATAAGATAAATATTTGTCGAAAAATACGTTTAGTTAAATAAACCAAACATTTCTCATATAATATATGCTTTAACTAATGAACTAACGAACGGTTCAATTATATACTATATGTTAGCATAATATTTTTGGCACAAAAATATATACTCTCTGTTAGTTAATGAGTAGAAAGTTGAGTACATCTCTGATTATCTTTCAAACAGATCTACAAAAATGATGTAAATTAATATTTTTCAATTATATAAAATTAAATGCTTTACTTTAACAACCGTTTGTGTTTTTTAATGATATCTATATTTAGTCATAAAATAAATCGATAGCTGGTTTTGCATAAATTTATGCAACAATGTTGCCAATGTTGCTTAAAGTTGTTGTATTGTTTAACAATTAAATTTTCCAAAAATAGCAATTTTTCAACAGTTTTGAATCATTTATAAGTTACTGCTGAACATTATTTATTATTATTATGTAAACAAAATATTTAGACAAAAAAAGTTAGTTATTATAAAATAAATAAATATTTTATATATAAGGAATTTTTGTGTTGAAAATTGAAAGAGACCTCTGAGATGAACTCAGCGATGAATTTATTTATAGTTTTTCATTTCAATTACCGTAAACTCTGAAAGATTTTTCAGTTTATTTTTATAGTTTTGTGATCAGAGAAGTTCGGTCACAATAATGTTATATAGAAATATTGTATACGAGAACTATAATATCAACAACAATAATAAATTATAAGTATTAATAATATAAATATTTTTATTTTATAGTTTTTTTTTGTAAAAGTAAACCCAACTAAAAAAAGTTAGTCAAACAACAATTTAAATGTTTATTGAGTTTATGTACTCTTTTTTTAAGTAATAACTATAATGTTATCACACAATATTGTGAATGAAAAAATGTATTGAAAAAAGTTTTCCTCTTAAAAGTACTTTAATTTTCATTGAAATGTAAAAAAGTTAGTTAGTTGTGAAACAAATGTTTTTATATAACTGTTTTATTGTAATATTTTCAATTTCTATGCTATTATTTTATACACAAATCGGTGCCGATATCAGTGAATTTGGTTTGCATGAACTCGAAGAATACAATGATATGATAAAATGTTTGTCTACTTTTAAAGAAGATTTTATACAATGCAATCGTAATGTTAGACAATTGGCAGATAAAGTGTACGATTTGTTTGCCGAGAACTCGACTTTAGGAAAGGCTGTCAAATGTTGCGGCATTTGGATGCTTAGGTTAGTAGTAGTTTCATATAATATTAAATATTTTTTTTGCTTAAAACTTGATTTCATAGGGATTGCTGGTATAAGAGGGCAGAAGAACAACAATGTGCCAAAAATCAGTTGCATTTGATCCGCAAAATGCCACACAAATTGTTACCAATGCTTCACATTTGGTGCGATGACTATAAAGAAGATTCATTTATTTGCAGAGTTCCTCACTTTTGGCCATTATTTTTGATTATCTTTATTGTGATTATAATTATTATCATTATATCATGTGTTTTATGTTGTGTTCGTCGCCGAAGAAGATGTCAGTCAAAAGATATTGAAACCCAAAGTAGTATTAATGACTATAAAGCGGATGAAAATAATGCAATTGTTGTAAATAACAATGATTTCAATGAGATATCTTAGTGCTGTATAATAAAGTTTATATTATAAGTTATTTAAATATTTTTCTTTAAGCAACTTTAAATTATCGGAATTTATAATTGTCAAATATTTTATAAAAAATAATTTATTATAATCAAATTGCACAATGATTATATAAAATTGTTAATAAATATTGTTAACCTATTAAATTATCTATGACATCAATTTTAATATAAAATAAAATCTACATGTAAAATTATTCAAAAAATATATCATATATTTTATGTTATCAATACTATAGAAATACTTATATTGCAAACATGTTTTAATAATTTAAGAAACTTGTTTTATTATAATTTATAACTTATAATTAAAGACATAACTTTCTAGTATTTAAAACTACCAAAAATAGGACTAAAAAATTGATTTAAAAATGTTATATTTATATAGTATATACAGTAGAATATAGTATTCACTATTATTGAATGATATACGCAATGCTATAACCAATATATCGCTACAGAGAAACATAGTTAGAGTTATCAAATTATGTAAAAACATAAGTAAATACAAATTATAGATTGATTTTATATATATTGAAATTTGTCTTTAAAAAAATCCTGATAACTCACACTCCAAAATCAAAGTGGATTTTATTAGAAAGTTGTGTCTCTGCTTATAATCTCAAATATATGTAATTTAATAATAATTTTATACATTATCATAGATTTTTAATATACACTATAAGTCTAACCAGTGGTTAATTGATTTTCTATTACTGTCACTTTTTATAATTTATAAGTTATAATAAATATGTTACTTTTAATATTATTAACAAAAGCATTTATTACTTGAAGTATCAAAGAAAATATATAAATTAAAAATTTATTAAATAATTTTATACATTGTAATAAATATAAATTTTAAATAACAAAATATAAATAAAGTATAATTTGTGTTATTATAATTATTTTATAGTATCAAATTGATACTATAAATATAAACTTATCAAATGAGCTTATTTTGAATGACTTCAGGTATATTCTAATAAGCTTATAGTTAACTACAATATTATTTTTTAATAAAAATCAATTTTAAATTTTTTAATACGACTATATAAATTGTATACTATAGAAACCTAACAATGGTATTATATAAATTTATGATAATGTTTAGTATATAATCCTTATTTAATAAGCATTTTTTATTAAAAACAAAAATAATAATTTTTTAATTATATGATTTGAAATTAAATATTTGATTAAAATACAATTATATTCATTATAAGTTGCCATGTAATTATGATTTTAAATAAAAAGTGTAGTATTTTATAATTATTTACAATATTATCAAATCAATTTTTATATTAATAGTTATTATTAATAAATAAATGACAATAATTGCTATTATTATAATTATTATTATCAATATTAATTTTAAAAACTAACATATTTACTGTATTTATAATTATCTGTCATAAAATCAAATAAAAGATTAATCTAATAAAATAAATTATATAAATTTAAATACAATGTTAAAGACATGTTAATAATGTGTTAAATTTAAGTAAAAGTAGTTTTTATGCAAAAAACAATTATTAAAAATAAGAATTTAGTTTTTGAATCTATAAATTATTTGTTAACTTCTCAGTTGATTAATACTTAAGTTTCAGTTGATTAATGTTATTAATTACCACTCAATTACTATTAATTAGGTATTTTTCCTAATCATCTTTAAAAATGTTGTTTACTACTATGTTTTAATTATGTTATTCAGTGTATAATCTATACAATTTCTAACACTAAAAGTTGCATTTTTAGCCAATTATAGCCATAACTATTGCCAATAGTCTATTGGTTAGTCCTATTTTAGACTAAAAGTTTTGGTATTACGTAGTCTACGATAAAACTATTTGTTAAAACCAGTCCCTAAACCCTACTTAGTTTTTAAAACAAGTCGTAATAGACATTATAATACAAATGTACCTTGAACATATTTTTAATAAAAACGTAAAGTTATTTAGCATTTTATTAATTAAAATCTGTAATTAAAAAAATATCAAAATATAAGTATAAAGCGAACAAGTTATTATAAAATTGAGTCTATTAACATTTTAAGATTATAATTTATAAACATTTTCAACTATTAATTTTATTTAAAATACTAATTAAATGTATAATAAACTAATTGTATCAATATAAGTATTTTATGTAGAAATTTGTATAAATCAAAACATTTTTGATAAAAAAAAATAATTTTACCTTATTTATAATAATTGATTGAAATTGAACCATCAATTGAAATATTATATTATTTTTATAGTATATAATTTATAAAGAAGCATTTATTTGTATCTATAATATATTAAATAAAATAAGTATAAATAAATTTATATTTAGCATAATTGTTATCACTTTGTAACGCTTATGTTGCTAAATACAATGTACTACACCTATTATATTTAATATGTGTTTAATTGTTACACTTAATACATCATATATTTATTTGCAAAATTTGCATTTTATCATATTATTCTTGCAAGTATTATATAACTTTACATACTATACAATATACACTGTAAATAATTGTACAGTACATACAGTATATACAATACATTACATTAAATAGTCGCTGAATAATCAACTTACAAGTACTGTACTAATAACTTAATATTTATATTTATTGTAATTAACAAATACTTATATAATACAAAATTAGGTATTTTTAAATAGTAAATTATCTGTAGTTATACAGTTATACAGTACAACTATTATACAGTAGTTTGCAAATTATTTTATTAAATATTTATATTAAAATAAATAGTGTTATAAAATGACACTTTGATGGATCATTTAACAACTGGTGAACAACTATTATATTTTATAATTATTGCATAATATCTTTTAATAAAAACAAAAACAAAAATTGTTGAATAAAAAAATAAAGTAAAGTAATTAAGTTAAAAGCTATAATATTTCTAATCTATTATTTTTGACATTTTAAAAATAAAAATTTTTATATTTCATTTTATAAATTTTTATTAATATACAAAATCAATAAAATAAACACTTAAAATCAATTTTGTCAGTTTCGTTAACAATTCATTATAATAGCTGCTTTAGTTACAAAAATATTAAGTTTAAAACATATCGCTTATATATAGTACAAGTTGTAATTAATTCAAAAGTAACTCTATATTGGTATTGATAATTAAATTTAATTAAGTTTACTATTTTAAATTAGTATTTCTAGTTTATTATAATATTAACAAATAAAATGTATTTAATATTAAAATACTAATTAGACTGTATATTTAAAAAATGTTTATTTTCATATTACTTTGTAATTTATTTTATCTTAATTTTAAATATATTTTGATTTATTGTGTGTTTTTTGTTTTTTGTTATGTACACAAATATACAGCATTAAAGTTATTATATAAAAATTATATAACTTATAATTTATTTGCACTCAAACTAATCAAGTAATGCATAGACTAGAAGTCCGGATTCTAATTGCATTTTATGAAAACATTAATATAAAATATATAATATATATATATAATAAATAAATATAATTATAATATAATATAAAATATATAATAATGTAGTAATTATATAACATTACTGTATATAATATGATTTTGATTTTAATATATAATATTAAAACTTATAAATAAATAGCTGTATTATAATTAAAAATTTGAATTATATTGCAATTATTTTTATTATCATACTTAAGATTTTAGATTTATTTAATTTAAAACAGAATCCAGAATTTTTTATACAGAATATATTATTTGAGTAAATTTTATTTATTTTATATTTTATTAACATAAATATTACTGTTTTAGTGATATAAGTCAGTGATTATATGAAGATGTCAACATGTATCATATAATATACATTAAATTTAATGTATCACATTATACTCTACTATAGTATTATATATATATATATATATATATATATATATATATATATTAAAATAAAACTCACGTTACATATCTCGGTGATGACTGAAATGATAAAAAAAATATTTTGTAATATTATGTATATTATCGCACTTTAAACACTAAATTATGCAAAAACTTCAACGAATTAGTTATCATCAGAATATGATGTCATTGATTCAAATAAATGTTATTTCATATATATATATATTTAATCACTACTGAGTCATATATAAACAAATACATTAAAATTTATTTATATATTAGATTTATTTTTATTTATATGTTTGTTTGTGATTTTATCACCAAAAAAATTTAATAATGATGTTAAATTAATATTGATTTTTACAACAATTTTCTATTTTTATTATAATAAATATTATATACTGATATATTACTCTTATCATATTAATATATATTAATATTAAATATAATATTGTTGACATCACTAAATTGAATTAATATTATTATTATTATTATACCTTATGTTAGTAAATATAATTACAAATATAACAATATTTCATTAGTTGACCACTAATGTCATACATGCGAAATGAAATACTGAAATGTCAATTGTCTAACTATGGGATAACAAATAACAATAATAACTTATAGTATTATATTTTCAATACAGTATATGCTTTAAATTAATTTTGTTACACAATTTTTGTTCAATTTAATACATTTTATGTCAGTATTGTTGGTGAGATGTCATTAAATATATTCCAGACTTTTATTAATGAAATTTACGGCCATTGTGTATGTGTTTTATATAAATTAGTTTTTATTTATCTCTAAACTTGAAATGTGAAAATTTAATTTAGCTTAAATAATACAATTCTAATGAATCCAAAAATAAAAAAATAGTAATAAATTTATTAAATAATCTATATTATATCTGTATAAAAATAAATGTTTAAATTGTATTATCTATATATAATATGTAAGTAATAATGTAATTTACTATAATAAATGCTAGTTATATATATATATATATTTCTTAAACTATTTTTAATAAATATTTGTAATAAAATAATTCATACAAAAAATATATATTTACTCAATTTAACATCACTGAGTTTACTGTTTTAGCTATTTATATATAATATTAGATATTAAATAAATGTAGTAATCAAATTGGTAAATAAATTACTATACAGTAGTTTATAGTATAAACTTTATACAAATAGATTTTTAATTACTAATAACTTGTATATTTAAAAAAAATATTATATTTTGTAATTACAGTAAATTAATGGTATTATATTAATTAATATACAACTCAATTACGATAAAGCAATTAAAATTTATTTAAAAATATGATATAATAATAATATCGTATAATATAGAATCAAATGATTGTCAAAATCAATAAAAAAAAATACATTACATTCAAAGTAATGTTACGATAGGTGTCGTGACTATAGTGTGTTTGTGTCAGTGACTGACTATTGAATGCATTAAATGTGAAATACTAGTTGTGTTTACAGTCTGTATATAATAATATCAATAATACTATTAGAGTATAAAATTTATGTTTAATAATAATAGCCTCTCATCTGATTTTTATATCAATTGATCACAATTTAGGCTAATATTTTAATGCAATAATTATCATATTATTTAATTTATATTAATATTAGATTTTTTTTCAATAGTTTTTATCATTAAATTTCATTTAAATTTGATTAACGTTTTATTAAGCGATACGACATGTGATGGCTATTGAGTGGACACACATTAGTATAATTCATATGTGTTTTATTTAACTGTTATGTAATTATAGTATTATTATTATAATCAGTGAATGACTAAAAAAAATATTTAAGTATTTGTTTAAAATAAATAAATGAAAAAATGTCTAAACTTTACGTTTAAACAGATTTTTGTTTTTTAACAAATCTTTTAATTGAAACAGCAATATATTTATATAGCAAATGATTTTTTTATATGTCATATATTATAAATAATGTGTTATTATTTATCACCAAATAAAAGGTGATTTCAAAAATAATAAATAATAATAAAATAAATGTGAAAATAATGCAAAAAACACTTCAAATACTTCAATGATTATACGTTGAATGCAATAATCAATTTACAATTGAATACAATATATAACACAATATGACTTCATTTGTGGATCTCATTGATGACATCAATTGGCACCGAAATCGGGAAATGAGGACATACTCTGAAGGTTTGATAATTTAATTAATTAATTAATACTAATAGTAGTAATAGTAAGTTAAGAAAATTACTAAATATTTTTTTGTAGCGATTTTGTTATTATTAATTGAATCTAAAAATAATTTCAATTCTATACAGAATATTCTGGTGAAGGTATTGTGTAAAGAATTTATATATATATTATAAAGCTTTGAATAATAATAAAGTCAATGTTTGCTTAAAAAATAAAATATTTGTAATTTTTAATGAATTTAATATTTGCTTTCGTTTTCAAAGCAATATTATTTTATTTATTTATCATTTTAGATACAATTTTTTAAACACATTTTTTAGATTATATTAAATATAAATAAAATTCATTTTTGATAACACATGTATGAAATATGATATGAAAAAAACAAAAAATTTAAAATCTATTTAATGTATTTTTTGTATGCTTTAGCGTAAATGTTAGCAAAAAATATTTTTTATTTATATATACAGTATTACTGTATACACAGAGTATATCATATAAAAATTGTCAGCAAACATAATTATTTTTATTATTATTTGCTATTATTTTTAAGATATAACTTAGTTTAACACACATATTATTTTTTATAATATAAAATACATACATTACATACATGTGTATATAGTGGAGTGAATTTTTATATATAAGTTTACATTAAATTTTTTTTATAAAATTTAAAATCATAAATTCTGATTTTCAAACTAATAATTTAAATGTCAAAATCATTATTTTAATGAATCTTTAGTCAACTTTTGTTAATTCATTTTATTTTAATCATAATTTATGCTTAAAAGTAGATAATTTTATTATTATATAACTAGTAATTATTTAATGAATAAATTATTTAACAATAATGTCTTTAAACTTAATTATATATATTAATGAACTTTAATGAACTTATATTGTTATCATTATTATACTAAATACTTTAAATTATTGACTATAAATAAAAATTAATTTACATTACCATATATCATTAATTATAACTTGTTTATAAATATACTATATATATATATATAATTGACTTACAATTTAGTATATTTTTGTGATATATTAACCTAATATTAAGTTATTATATGATTATAGTTTAATTTATTAAGTTGTTATTAAGTATATCATTAAATTTGAAATTGTTATTGTAATAATGTAATTTTTGTTTAATTTCAACAAACATGAGTTTAAAAAATTATTGTTAGTATTATATTTTTTAGTGTCATAAATAATAGTACTACAAACTTTCAAAAATATAATTTAATAAAATTATATTATAAATAAATTTTACTTATAATAATTGAATTTATCATCATAGAATTAAATTTAATTTATCTTATATTTGATTATTATTTAAATTTATATAATTTTAATATTTAAATATTATATTAAAATGTTTTGTAATTGAATTTTTTACTTAAACTGAGTATTAAATTAATTTTAATTAAATTAAATCACATTTAGTTTATAGGTTTCTAAATATTTTTATTTGTTTTATCGAATTTGTTATTTTATTAAATGATTTAAATTTATATATAAATTATTATATTTATATTATAATAGAGACGGGTTTTGTAATTGTTTCGGCGGAAGTCTTTTGGACGGATCTGTTTGTCCGACACTTTATAAAGGCTAAGGATGTCTCTCACGACGACATGTTATTCTTTGTTAGGAAACAACAGAAGAAAAAATCAAAATTTGAAGTATTTATTAAATAATTTAATTTTAAGTATAATTTTATTAATTTTGTTTGGTTTAAAAAATTTAGACCCGTATTGAGGTGTTTCGTAAGGACTCGAAACGGTTGCCAATCGGTGAGCCAGACATCGATTGGGAAGAGACTCTATATCTGAATGTAATTATGCAAAAGTTTGAATACACTATCACTTGTGCTGTCTGTACCCGAACCAGTCCTAAGGAGTTACAGATACTTAAAAAGTATACACAAAAAGTGTTTGCATCGCCCAGTCATCGGGCAATGGACTGCAAAGGTGTTACCGAAGAGATCTCATATCCCGATATATTTTTTACTGTCGATAACTACGATGAGGTTTCTTAAGATATTTTTATTTTTTTCTGTTTTTTAACTTTATTTTATTTAATAGCTTTTATCAGAAGTACTGGTTAGAGACGGTGAGATGGTTTGCGTTGAACTATTGGCCACCGATAAGACTGGTGATGCCAAAGGTGTCATATTTCTTGGATCCATTCAATATCAGACACTTAAACGTATTCACGATCTAAGGGTATAATGTTTTGCAATAATAATTTTATAGCACATAATATTATATTTTAATAAAATTTTTATCTAATTCTCGTTTCTATTTATTGTCTGTTATTTTTAAATTTGTTTAGAAATATATAATATTTTGATTAAATTAACAAAATATTTGTCTTTTATTAGGCGAGTGTCTCGACGCGAATCTCCCGACGGACTCCAAAACCCTACTTTCAGGGACAACAACGCATAGAATTTGTGCGAATGAAAGGTCCGGCCGGGAAAGGGATCGCTGAAATGGCTGTCGCCAAACAAAAGGGTGCCAATTGTGAGACTCCTACCTCAGAGCCCGGCTATTCACTGAGTAGTTTCGAGTTTGACGATGAAATGGAGGTAATTATTGGTTGATATATTGCTCCTTACATTTGAGTCTATCGTTTATACCATTGAAAAGGTCATTCCAGACCCCGTGTATCCAATGTTATCTATATTTACTCATTGTGTCACATCTGATGATAACCAGGAAAACGATTACACACAGAGACGTATGTCTGATCCCAGTTCTAACCTAAAGAACTATATCAGAGGTTGGCAGCAGAAGAGACAGATCAAGAAAGCCATTTCTGAACAGGAAATCAATAATTGTGGACTCAATGGGATCAATGAGATTGAAGCCGGAGATGTTAGGGATGGTAAGCAAATGATTTAATTTTATTAATTATTTTGAAGTTTTAATGTTTTTTTTATTAAATTCATGAAATTTTGAATAATTTAAATATTAGGAAAAGTAGTTTTTATTAATTTTATAACTAAAAAGTCGAGTGAATTCAAAAGTATGTTTAAGATTTAAGATGAAGTTCAAAAATCCTAAATTATATATTTTTTAAATTATAAATAACATTTGCTTTTTAATAACTACCGTAATTGAATCTTATTGATAATAATTATCTTTTTGTATAAATATTTTAAAATAGAAATATAATATTAATATATTGTTTGTTTTTCTAAATTTTTTTTCAAATTACTTATTTTAGTTCTATTTTTAAATTAAAATATTTTATGTTTACTCCTAAAAAGTGATAATTATTAATTATTTTAATTATTTATAATGTGCAAATTGTTTTTGTAATTAAATTTTCTGTAAATGTTTACATTTTACATTATTTTATTTATCTTTAAGTTTTCAAAGTTTGTTAAACAATATCAGGATTTTTAAAAACAAAAATAATTTATTTATATAATGCTATTGTGTTGTTAAAAACACTACAAACAGTGTATTAATTTTAACTATCTCGACATTATTGGCAAACAAAATAATACTTTACATTTTATTTTAATTAAGTATTTTTATTATAAGTAATACTTATAATACACTGTAAATAAACGAAACTTTAAATTTAAATGATATGCATTAGATATAAAAATATTAATTTACTCTAAAAGCTTTAGGCAATTATTTTGTTTGGTTTATTCTGTAATATTAAAACTTATAATTTTATTGTTTTTTACAATTAAATACTTAAAATAACATATTCTTAATAATTGTAAACCATGAAAATTATTTGACAATCGATTTCAAAAATCTAAACTTTAATATTAAACTTTATTACTCTATAATTCCTGTATTCATGTAATATATTTTTATGATAAAATTATATTTATAAAATATATTGTCGAAGGTTTATAAATATAGTTTAGTTTTTATGAATATATTTATTCCGGTATTACGAGAGGCAGAGAGAGAGAGAGAGAGAGAGAGAGAGAGAGAGAGAGAGAGAGAAAAGATATTACGGTAATGTTGTTTAAATGGATAGTGATGAAACATAAATTCTATTTATTTATTATTAATTATAAAACATTTTTATTTATTTATATAATATATTAGTTAATTGAAAAAACTGAGCCACAATTTTATTATTATTTATTAATAGTAAATGATTTATATTATTATTAATATGAATATCTAATACAAAAACTTGTTATATAATGACCATAGAGTTGGACGACTCGGCGTATAACAAGATGTGGTCAATGCGTGGCTTCCGTCAGGCGTATCACTTCTGGAAGGAGAATAAGAGGGCCTCATCTCCAGCTCTTCACTCATTTATCACTTATATAACGCTTCCGTGGCATCACATCGTTGCCGATCTCTTCTCTAATAGACAGCCATCAATACTCACATTTGAATTGAATGATAATTGATTTTTAATAAATCATTTATCTTTTAATTTAAGCATTTATAATATATTATAATATAATATGACATTCCTTTTTAATTGATGAATATATCAATATTTTTAAATAATATGAAGATTATCCTATCATTAACTATTTATACATATATTAATATATTTTGTGAGATTTTTTTATTTCTATAATGAAATTAATTAAAATATTTGTATATAAAATTTATTTCAGATATATTTATTAGTCATTGTATTATTCCTTTTATATATATATACTGTACCGTGATACTTTAATTATTAAAATTTTAGATTAGAATTAATTAAATTAAAAATATTTATGTATATATATATAGTATTAATATTAAACGTTTTCAAAATTACATTTAATTTTATTTTTTAATATATAAATAGATATGTATAGTATATGAAAATGAAAAATAAAATGAATGTTAAGTTAACAGTATATTAAAAACATTGATTTTATAATATTCTGTATTAATTATGTACTCAATTTTTAATATAACTTTTGCTTTATTTATTTATTACTGTGAGTTTTCAATGATAACATCAGTTTTAAAAAGATTATAATTAGTATTGAAATAAAATCATAATTAAATTATAATTAGGAGTATAAAGAATTTTATTAATTTCTTTTTTAAATTACTACAAAATTAGTGTAAACACAAAAAATTCATTTTTAAAAAGTATTCATTTCATAATCTTTAAAAATGTGAGTTATTTTTTGTAACAAAAGTTTAAAGCATTTTCTGTATTTAATACAATATTTAAATGTTTTTTAATAGAGTCAACAACTACTCTGAAAAAAATTTTATTAATATACAAATCACAGCAAATTATTATTAATTTTTATAAGCATTAGTTAAAAATATTCGACTAAATAATTTAGTTATATTTAATTTTTTAAAAATAATTTTGATTCAATCAATTTTTTTGCTATTGTAAAATAGCATTTATCACAATCAAATTTTGATAATCAGTTATTATATAGAATTTTTAATTTACATATTTTTAATTGCACTGTTTTTCAAAGTTTTATAATAAAACAAACATTTTTTGATAAATAAAAATTAATTTTGTTTAAAATAAATTTGCATTTTTATATTATGTGTTTTTATAAATATGTATAATATTGTGCTAATAGACTACTCGACCTTTTGATTGTCAACCAAAACGGTGACAGTCTTTGGTTTATTGAAAAGTTCAGACACTTTATTCATTGCATTGATTTTCTTCTTTCTCATTATAATCCAAATGACGACAACAATGATTATGAGGACAACAACGATGACAACTATTATAAGGATAATCATTGCCGCAGACAAACCATTATCGCTAAGAAGCGGACCGTTATATTCCATGTCATAGACAGCCGAACTGTGATAATAGTTGGCTAGAGTTGCCGTACAGACAATGTTTATACGATTGTTGAGCACTGACTGCTTTGTTGCCTTAATTCTGATTTCTTCGACATTAGTAATCACTTCAATGCCATCACCGAAATCACTTGTATTTGAATCTTTGATTGGTTGCAATCGATGAATGTTTTCATGATGTACTGGCTCTGCATTGACAAAGAAGTTGATTGAACTCATAGGATTAGATGCCGGAGCCATACATTTAAAATGAATATGACTGTCCTGATTCTTAGTTATATTAACTATTGGTTTAGTTTCATCAATTGGTTTGTAAATCACTTTCATCTCTTGAATTCTTTGGTCGGATCCGATACTACTCCTAACCGTGCATTTATAGAGTCCGGCGTGAATTTGTGCCACTTTTGGGATTTCAATATTACTGTCTTCACTGTCTTTGTTCAATCCATTCAATGTAAACAACTTTTCTTGTGTTTCCCGTTTAGGCGGCGCTTCCATTGGTTTTTCAGTATTTTCATTTGCAGTCGATTTCGGTGATGCGGTCGTCGGCGCCGTTGTTTCAACAGTTTCCGGCTCTGCTGTTGTTTGTGCGACCGTTTCTTTTGGTTGTATTGTTGTTGTTGTTGTTGTTGTCTCAATTGGTGCTACCGTTTCATCTGAAAAATTATTTAGGTATTTATAGATTTTAAGATTTAAATTAACAAATTATATTCACTATCATATTATATATAATAAAATAGTATATTTTAATTCATTTAAAATATTTAGTCTGACATTGATTAATAAATGCAATAAAATTATTTAATTTAAACTATTTATAATTTTTATAATTTTAGATGAATAATTAATTTTTATAATTATAAAAAACTATATGTAAAAGCTAATTTCATAAACAGAAAATTCATTTATATAGTAAATAAATAAATTATTATTATTGAGCTATCTAATAAAATATTACAGTATTTATATAATAATAAGTAATTAAATAAAAATTAATAATTCATGTTTTATAGTTTTTAAAAAATAAAACAATTCAAATTTATATACTGTATTTATTTTTGATAATTTGTCAAATTTATATATTTTATAAATTAATTATTTTATTCTTTCAAAATATATTGATAATACAATCATCAATTTAGATATTTTTAACCCCTATACTTTTCATTACAAATATTAAACATTTTTGACTAATGTAAAATAATTGTATTAATATATTTTAGACATTGAGATATTTATTTATAAATATATTGATAATATGCAATAACATTGTATATTATAATCAATAAAATCAAGACTCGAATTTATATAATAATTTATAAAAAATAGTTTATAATGATAATTAAAACTTTTTACTAAATGTTTTACTAAAAAATTGAATTAACAATAGGTTTAAATTTTTATTCATGTTTTTAAATTTATATTAATTTAATAATAAATTTTTATATTTAATCTATAAGCATTTAACTATATTTAGTTTTATTGATTGTTTTTGAACTATTATTAGTTATCATTTTTTGTTAAAGCCTCAAAATATACATTAATAAATTAATTGAAATATATCAACAAAAAAATAGTTATTTATTTAAAAAATAATTTTAAGTAAAAAGTTGCAATTTCCTGAAATACTATATAAAATGTGATATATTTGAGATAATTGTTAAAGAATGTGATGACCAAAATTTAGCCCATTTTCATTTTAATTAAAATTTATATTATTGATACATTTTAATTGATTTATCAATCGGGGAGTTAACCTTTATTTTAAACAAATCGCATCAAAATTTGTCAATTATTTTAAGAGATGTTAACATTTTTCCAGAACCATAAATATATCAATAGTAGATTTGATGTCTGTATAACCAGTTTAGAGTATAATATAGATTGTAATATAGTATAATATTTACATTAAATTTAATTTCTAAACACATTGTACTGTATATGATTTAATATATTTATACTATAATAATTTTTTAATGAATTATTATTTTATATATATTATCTATAATAAATAATTTTTAATTAATTAAAAAATTACCATTATTAGGTGTCTCGGGTGACAGTTTAGGGAATACCTTAATGAGTTGCCATTTATTATCAACCAATTTATGCCATTTAATATCAATGAATGTCTCATTTTCATTGACTGCTTTGTTGGTACACTTAAGTACAGCATTTTCTCCGTTTAACAATATCGACGGCACAGTCATCTCATTGATCTCAATACACCAGATATAAGATATTATGAGCAATAAAGTTATGAAATGACTAAATATCGAGAGATTGGATAAATTTTTGCTCATTATTTTTTTAATTAATTTATTTTCTTAAGAAAGTTAAATGAAATTTATTTAAGCGTATAAAATGTTAAAATTTTTTCATAACAAAATCATAAACAAATTTGCATATCATAACACTTTGATTGCATTGGAAATGCAATGCAATTATGTTGAAAGCAATAATAATTTGTCTGACGTTTGTGCCGACAACTAAACAAATGTCAAGAAATATAATATAAATCAATATAACGGTAACTGAATTGAATACGATATATATATATATATATATAAACTTATATATACCGGTATATATATATATATATATGTATATATATATATATTATAAATATAGTATATATAAAAGTGAGTTATATTTTTATTACAACTATATAAATATTATAGCGTATAAACATTTATAGACCACAAGAAAACAATTATTCTTGTCAACAGTTTATATATATATATATATATTCAATATTTTATTCATTGAGAGTTTCAACTAAAAAATCAATGAATTTGGACTGAAAAGAGGTTTGCATTTTATATTCATAATGAATAATATGTTGTATAGGATTTTATATATATGTGTTGTTACTGTATTCAAAAGAAATTGTGTCATTTATATTAGTTAGAAAACAGATTAATGTTTTTAAAATATTATTTTGTACTAAATTATTGTTGAATATCAAAATCTATATTTATCATTATATTTTTTAAATAAATTCTTGCCTTATATTTATGTAATATTGAGTAATGGATATATAAATTGCATTATTAAAAATTTTATTATATACTCAAAATAAGTACTTTTTACAGTATCATTTAATTTTAACTAAAATATGAATTAAAAATATTCTTTTAGAATAATTAAATTAAGTATATTATAATAACTAAAAATATATAAATTTACTAATTTACCAATTTAACTCTAAAAATTAATTATTTATAAATAAAGTTCAGTTTAATTATAATTATTAAGTTAATCTAATCTTTAGAAAATTAAATAAATATAAATGTTAAAATATATATTATACAGGCATAGACATTATAAAAACAGACTAATAAATAATTATCTATTTATATTATTTATATTGATTTGTAATATATTAACTTAAATATTAAATAATAAACAATAGTGTACCATAGACTATAATAGTACGTTAAACTAATGTTATTATACAACCTAAAAACAAATTTACTATCATATAAATTAAATATATAAATGGTAAGGAAAAAATATAATAACACTGTTATATACTAACAATATATTTATTATCATTAAATAAATTTATTGATTCTTATTATATTCTATGAATTAGGTTAAAGATTTAAGATATTCTACAGTACAGTAAAATAATTTTATTAAAAATCTAATGAATTTGAAAATAAATCAGTTATCATATAAAGATAAAATAAAATAAAACTTTGATTTCACATAATTCAAATCATTGAAAACAAATATTTTCTACGACACACGAAATACTACCAATGATCTACTTTTTACTTAAATTATATACAGTTTATACACTATATACTGTATTATACAGTTTTTATTTTTTATAATAAATATCTTTAATAAAATAGTTTCTGTTATTAAGTAACTATTTTATTGAATATATTTATAATATTTTTTTATATTATCAAATCACTAATTAAAAATTTAAGATAAATGAGATAATTTTTAAATACAAAACTTAAGATAATAAAATAAGGTATTTATTAATAATTTTATTTTCATTTTTTTTATTGTCTGTTAAAAAATAAATAACTATAATTTTATTAATAAAAATATGTAAGAAATATCGACTAACTTTTAAGTTAACATAAAGTTTTTTATAATCCATTTTTATCTATTTTTTGTTTTTAAATTCAAAGAAAACAATATTTTTATAATCTTAACTTAATAATATTGCCTCAAAGATACCAAAGTTTACAATGCAAACAATAAATTAATCTTCAAATAATAACTATTGCCTAAACTCTATAATTTAGTAGTCAATTGTAATAGTATTTCAAATAATATAATAGTAATCCTATATTTCAGAATATATAGAAATACAGTCATATTTATAGACTATTGTTAAACCAATAAATTCTGTACTATTATTAAGTATAGAATATTCTTTTGCTATAAATATGGTATTAAAATATTTAGTATAAAAATAGTATTTATTATAACTAATATTTTTACTATTGTTATTACTTATAAATTTAACTTATCTATCAATATTTTTTTAAACATTATTTATATCAATAATTAACTAAATAAATAAATATAAATAATAAACACTATTATTATTATTATTATAAAGCTTCACTTCGCTTATACGTAACTTACAATCTATACTATAAAATTTATATTATTTTATATTTATATATATATAATAAATTATATATTTAGTGAAAATAATTGTTGAGCACTTGTATACAAATCAAGACTACCAGTGCGTTAACATCGGGTCGATCGCACAGACTTGAGATCAATGACTGGTAAGAATGTCCGTTCAGACACAGGAAATGGTAAGTTTATGACTCAATATATACAAACATATGCTATGTATATATAATATATACAAATATATAATAATATGTCTTAAATTATTGTTTGCATTAATACATAATTTAATTGATTTATTGTAAGGTATTGTATTCATCACAATAGTCCCGTTTTTCTATTAAAAGCTAAAATATCTTAAAATAACTTATAATTAAAAATAATGTTTTACATTAATATAAATTAAATAATTTAGATTTTATTGAATTAAATATAAAATTGCAATAAATAATATTTTTTAACTATAATATATTGATAAGTATAGTAAGTTTGTATGTTGTCATGTCAAGTATGTAGTAGTCATAAAGTATCATAAAGTAAATAATGTATAATTTAAATTTTATATAATTATTATCTAAAGTCAATATCGATAATACTTTTGTTACAATTTTAGTTACAATTGAAAGTTACTGTACTATATTATACAGTATTATACTGAAAATTAACTTTGAATTAATTTTAACAAAAATTAATATAAATTTAGTTTACATATTAATGTTTCCATTAATTGATTTATTAAGTACAGACAATAGAAAATATATTACTGTTTAGAGTCTAACTTTAGACAATAGTTATTTAGTTGATTGCTCAGTGACATTTTTAATAACCTATGGTTTTGGTTAAATAAAATTAGTAAAAATAGTTAATTATAGATTTCAGATAATAACGCCAACCAATTAAATTATTTAATTAATCATTTTGCTATTTATATCCTATGTCATAACTTTATAATTTTAATAATATTGTATTATATAAATTTTTATTAAATTTTTAAAAAATCAATAATGATAATAAAATACATAATTTATCAAAACAAATTTTAAAATATTGTGATTAGTATATTTAAACTGCTACCATTTTATTTCTAAACAATTTATATTATATTATCTATATATTCAACAGATTTAAAGAAAAATAATTTTAAAAAATAAGTGTTGATAAGTTGTTAGAAATTGAATAATACAATAAAACAATGATGTAAATTAAAATTATAAGCTTAATATTTTGTATTAAAAAATTAGTCACTTAAACTTAGTAAAATTTATAATTTACTTTAATTGGACAGTAATTTAAATAATGTTAGGTTAGATTAATTAAAATAAATTAGAAACTGTTAGTTAAATTAGTAAAATATCATTAAAAAATATTTTTAACATATTTTATCATTCAATTGACTAAAATGAATAAATTAAATTCATGAGAATTATTGATATTAGAGATATATATTAAATTAATTTACAAATAAAACAATGTTTTAATTATGTTTATTTTTAAGTGTTATATACAAGTTATTTAATACTATAAATATGATAATATATTAGCAAAAATAATTTTTTCATAATCATATTTAATATGTTTAAATTAATTCTAATAAATCAAAATTTAATTAAATACAATATATCTAAGTGTAATCTAGATTATCATAATTGTTTGTTGAATAAATGCTTATCCATTAATATAATATTTATGTATTTTTAAAATTTATACAAAAAAATGATTAGACATTAATGAGATTATTATTAGTCAATTTGATTAACAAAATTGTTGCTTAATATGAATAGAAATGTTAATAAAATAAATATAATGTTTATTATTATTATTATTATAAGTGTGTCGTGTGTTTGGTTTCATGTTTCTTGAGTGATGACTTCTGGACCGCCTGATAACCACAGTTATGATATTGACATTTGTATGGTTTTTCTCCAGTATCTGTTAAAACAACAATAATAATAATCAATCGATTAGTTTAAGTGTTTATCCATAATATTTTGTTAAGTTATCTAATCTCTTACGAGTTCTCATATGTCGATTGATGGCATCAGATCTGACTGTTCCGTACTTACACTTAGGATACTTACACTCAAACCAATTCATATTACGCTTTTTGATCAACTCTTTCATATGTTTGGGATCAATGTGTGGATCGATAGTAATGGAACAGGAGTTCAGATGATTCTTTTGGATATGTTGACGAAGTTTAGTCCGCTTAATGCTCTTATAATTACAGAACTCACACTTATACCTCTGTCCTGTGTGCCACATCAAGTGCTCGTTTAGGGCTGACCTCTGAACTGTCTTATAGTCACAGCCCTCGTAATGACATTTATATGGTTTGTCTCCAGTATGGCATCTCATATGTCTACACCCAACGCAAACAAATTACCGATATTTTAATAGAGAGCTATAGATCTCAATGGACATTAATAGCTCATACCTTACAATACAGTCAGATCTCATTGAGTCATATTTACATTCAGGACTGTATCGACAATAATAGATAATTTTACCGTCAATTTCACGCCTTTCCACATATTGTGCTATATTTTTAATGCTGTTTTCAACGAGTGCCACTTCGTTCATGTGATCAATAGATGAAGACTTATCGGAACCAACATCGGGAACGTCGACATCAACTATAAAAATAATTGACAATTTTATCTCTTGTTTTAGAAATAATAATCATTGAAAATATAAACCTTGAATGTCCTCAGTGGCTGTCGTCGCAAATGCATTGAAAAGATTGATTGGAACTAATTGTGTTGTCTTGAAATATGAACTACTGGTGCATCTGTTTGGACTGTTATGAATAGTCGGCCGAATAATTCCGTGGGTTTTCTTCAAGTGAATCGATAGTTTGCTTCTCTCAATACAAGCATAACTACATTCGTCACACTTGAATGGCTTATGGCCGGTGTGTGTCCTCTCATGGATCAGTAGTGTACCCAAAACGGTAAACCGTTTGCCACAACCAGGATATTGACATTTGTAGGGCTTTTCGCCAGTGTCTACACAAAGACAACGATAATAAGTGTTTGAGAAAAATAATCTTAAAAATAATATCTTTAGTGTCAATCAATATATCATACGTCTTCTGATATGTATTTTAAGAGCCGATGATTGAATGGTAGCGTAAGTACAGCCTTCAAATGAGCACCGATACGGTCGGATACCTGTCTCAATCAAACTTCATAAGTAATCTTCTAATAATACATATTATTATCACACAATATACCCGTATGTTTCCGTAGATGTCGATGAATTGAATCGGATCTAATAAATAACAATAAAAATGTTTATTTCTTGTTAATTAAGTATTGCGTGGGATATATGGTATGTGTAGGCAGTGGTCGACATTTTGATGCCGTTTTTAATACATATTGTTGTTTACTGAGCGGCCAATTACCTGTTTGTTGTGTAGTCGCAGCCCATCCACAGACATCTGTACCATATTTTGCCGTCGATTTGGTTCTTCTCGATGTAATCCTCGATATTCTTGTGTCCAATCATATGGTGATTGTTATTAACGGTCGCTCTTTTGTGGTTAACATTCATTGTTCTTGAGTTTGTTTCTAACAAATAACTCCCTATTGTTGTCACCAATTGTTATACAGATTTCTCTCTAAACTTAAGACATTAAGTCAATGGATATAAATATTATCAAATCAATTGATCGGTTGATACTAACCATCGATGAAAACAATGGTTTTATTGAAAACAATAATCAGTTGAAAACAACAGATATATTGAGTGTTATATCGAAACAACAGTCACTTCACACTTACATTTAGGGACCGATCAGTAATTGCCGTTTGACTCATACAGTACTATACTATACTAAAGCCGTTATAGCGTTATATGCATTGAAAGCAATTCATAGCAAACAAATGCAGTATTTATTTGAAGCCAAATAACACACACACATAACACACACGCATTTGACACACACACGCACACAATGACACACACACACGCACTACTCTATTCAATATAGGCCTACACATACATACTATATATACTACACACACACACACACACACACACACACACACACACACACACACACACACACACACACACACACACACACACCATATATTTAATATAACTAAAATATAAGTTTATTTATATAGTATACTGTAGTATATACTGTACAAATACCAAACACACACACATATAATTTATATTCGTGTGTGTGTTGTGTGAAAGAGAGTATCTATTATACTCTCTCTCTCTCTCTCTCTCTCTCTCTCTCTCTCTCTCTCTCTCTCTCTCTCACACACACACACACACACACACACACACACACACACACACACCTACAGTATATATACTGAATATAAATTATATTTTGCTTATATTTTAGGAAATATTATATACAGTATATGCATCCACACACACACACACGCAAAGTACAGACACACACACACGCAAACACACACTCACACACACACACACACACACCTGCTTTAGTAGGCATTGATTGGCCAAAAATAGTTTGCTTTAATGCACTTTAGTATCGGGCAATCATTTATTTTTTTTTTTTAAAACATTTGGTATCTGTTTTTATATAACATAAATTTAGTTTATCATGGTAGTATTTCTATGATTATTTATTAAAACATTTACTTAATAAACTATGAACATATATCTGGATAATATTTCAATATAAAAATTTATTATATGTAAAACATTAAAAATAATAAAATTTATATATTGTATCATAGACTAATAAATTTTGTTTATTTATTTATATAAATTTATTATTTGATTATAACTTTAGAAAATTGATAATATTTTTATGACTTAAAAATACAACTATAAGTAATATAAATTTATATACATATATAGTATATATTAATTTTATAAATAAGAAAAATTTTCATTAATATTTTTTTGTAAAACACAAAAAAAATGTAAATTAATAAAAATAAAATCATGAAAAAATTAGATGACATAAAATAAATAGTAAATTCAATGCACAGTATTTTTAAATAATTAATGAGTAAAAACTAATTATAATAACTATTTATAAGGAGATAATTTTTTTTAAAAATCATTATAAATAAAAAATGATTGTATGACATACTGTAGAAATAAGTGCAATAAGTTTTATGATGAACAATAAAATGAGTTTAAACTAAGATAGCAAGGTGATTTGAAACCATTGGGATCAGCCATATCCCTTATAGCTGAATATGTGCTGGCTATACCAGCTATTATACCAATTAATATTATTATTATCAACAATATTTTCACTTTCAATGTAATCTCTCTGTAAATATAAATTGTAATTAAAAAATAATAATATTTTATTTCTACTGTTTCTTCACTACTAGTGATTAAAATATGTTAAGCAAACAAACAAATAAATATAATTACCTTTTAGGCCATTCCTTGTTTTGATTTTGTTGTGAAACTAAGCTCAGGTAGAAAATCGGTGGCAAAACAAATGTCATTAAAGTTACTGAAGAACCACCGATTAAGCTCAAGATTTTACCAAATTGTGGCACTGATAGGGCTGTAAAACATACCAATGCCATCAATACGGTTCGGGTTATACATCGTTTATATGTAAAATCTATTAATTAATTTATTTTTGTTGTTGAAAATATTAATAATAAAATTTAAAATTAATTAATTGTTTTAAATGATCAAATAATTAGTTTTTATACACACATTGAGGTATTCCAACTAAATCTTCAAATTCTTGTGCCACAGGATTTAGTATAATAAGAAACGCCAAAAACAAATGGATTGCAAATAACAAAGTTATTGTTGTCCGGAGTCCACCAATTGATACGGAGTTCAATATATCAGAGCTGACACTACTGCCAAATACCGTAAAACCAGCAATACTTACGGGTAAATACAGTATAATTAAAACTATAAAAACATAATAATTGTCAAACAATTTATGTGAATTAGTTTAATAATATTTTTTGCAATAAAAAAATATCTAATAATTACTGATAAATCCGACGACAACAGCAATAGGAAATTTAGTCCTGTCTTTCATATCATTTTGAAAAGTGGGAAAAGCGGCGGCGCCTCCAAAGGCAAATACAATGGTACCGAAGCCAAGAAAAAAGTTGCTAAATGTTGGCGAATCGTGATTTGCCTTATCTTTAAATGTTGGCGCGTCTATTATTATTTGGACAATCAATAATATGAGTCCCAAAATTGTTGTGCCAATTGCACCGAAAGCGAGTGGCCAGAAATCGGCGGGCGATCCCAACCACGACAGAGGTATTAATAGTAGGGTTAATATAAGAATCCAATCACAAAGGGTTATGTGTTTTATAAAAGAGTGGGTAAGAGATTCAAGTAATTCAGAGCACAATAGTATATATACAACGTTTCCTCCAAAGAATGTCACATCCATTACCACTGAACAGACATAACTATATTTAAAATACAATTTTTTAAATAAATTATATTTTTTTAATTATTGACTTTAGTTTGTATACCTCATCCACTTTCCATTGGCTCGAAAACCGATTGATGCGAAAGGGTTTCGGGTATTACCTCTATATTCAGGCCATCGTTCTTCAAGCATAAGCCAACAACGGGCTAAACATACGCCAGAATACGATGCTATGAGTCCGGCAATTATAATCAGAGCTATTCCTGTCCATCCTATTTAACAATTATTTAATTTATATAAATATTTATTATAATTATTTAATTTTAAAAAACACAAACATTTACTGTACTGTATCGTAATTGTATATTTTAATCTATACTATTAGATTATGCTAATAAATAAAAATTGATATAAAAATAATAAAATAAATTAAGATAAATGATATGCACATATTATGCAGTACAGTATATTACTGTATTTATATATGATATACATAAATACAACATATATAAAATCATTTACTATAATAATACTGTAAAATTCCTATATATTAAATAAAAATAATTTATAAATATAAATTTAACAGTTTTATTAGTTTATAAATAATTTCTAAAAATTTATTACCTGTATTAGCCAATGCCTCTGGTAAGGCTAACACACCACTACCGGCTAATTCACCGGAGATAAACACAATAGCAGTCAATACAGATAATCCTTTTTTATGGCCATCAATTGCAGCACCCGGTACTTCCAAATCAATGGTCGACTTTCCCATAATGAGTATTTTGCTTTTAATGTATTACAAACAAACAAAAACTAAAACTTTTAATAACAAATTTATTGTTTCAAATGAAATAAAAATGTTTGATATACTAATAAACACTTCGACCAATTAAATATGTAATTATTATCAGTTTAATAAACTCATTGAAAACAATTGTCGAGTGAAATATTTTTCTATACGTTTGTCATCATATCTATCACAAGCGTAAGGATTCAATAAAAAATTTGATTAAATGTGTCTAACCTTATCATTCAGCTATTATAGTAATTACTAATCATTATTACAATTATGACATACCGATAAATTTTTAGATAATTGTTTTTTTATTAAAAAATTTAAGTAAAATTATATTTTTTTAGATTTTTAAAATTTTTTTATTAAATCATCACTTCTCAGCAAATTTAAAATAAACATGAATTACCTGTTATAATACACTATTATTATACACTGTAATTCAATACAATATTATTATATAATAATTTTCATTGGCCTCTTAACATCTTAAATAAAAATTTATACATAAATATTTATAATATCAATATTTTTTCAAAAAGTACAACATATTATATAAGTTTTTAAAGTTCATTATTAAACATGAATATGCAATATAACAGTAAATTTTTAAACAAAAGTATCATATAAATTAAGTCCAATAAAAGTTTTAGTATTTTCATATTAAATTAATATCAAACTATCAGTTATTATATCGATAATTACAAATCAAATATCAATTGACTTTTGATATTAAATTACTTAACACCTGCAATATGTAACAGTCTTGTGTTTAATGTTTCAAATTTTTCAAGTGATTTCATTGATGCACTTGACTATCATATAAAATAATTTATATAAAAATGCACTTTAATGTATTGTAAATTATAATATACAGTATTATTATCTCTGCTAATTGAAAAAATTATTGTAAATTTATTGTCTACTGTATACAGTATAATAAAAAGTGTTAATTATTTATCATTTATTTGAATAAATCATTGTTAATATCGTCGATTGTTATGCGTTATCAAATCACACAATTATTATTACTGTTATTATTGAAAATGATCAATATACTTTTTTTTTAATTATACAGTAATAAATGTATCAGTCCTTAAAATAATATAGTATTAAATTATTGAAAATTGAAAATAAACTATTGTTAAAACAATATTTAATATTAATAAAAATAACCAATTTATCCACACATTAATTTGCAATAAATACTACTCTTAGTCTAACGAATTATTCTTATTTTAGTATTTAAATTGTTTTTTATAATAAAATAAAATATTTAAGCTAATATAAAATAAATATAAATTAAACGTCATTTAAATATCATACGAATTAATAAATGTAAAGTATGTAATAATATAATAGTAATGTTTATTTCAATTGTTATATATGTCTATTTCATAATTAAATGTTAAATATTTTAAATTGATAATAAATGACACACTTTTAAATTAGATGCCATTTTTACATTTGGAAACAAAATATATTTATTCAATATATTTTGTATCTGTATTGTAAAATTACTCTAATATTATTATACCGTATATTAAATACTGTACTAAAAAGTTAATATTTTAATTTATTAGTATTGAACAATATTTAAAACATTAATTAAGTTAACAATATAATACTATTAAAATGCCATTAATAGTATGGATAGTTTTAAACAATTTTATAAGTTATAATTTATTAAATATAGTATTGTATAATATAAAATTACGTATAGAATATATAATAGTACAGTATACAGTACATTTTATATTTTATCATTAATAATAAATATTATTATTAAATTTATATTCAATCAAATAAAAACTATTTTAAATAATATTTTGATTACAGTATATCTATTATATGTATTTTGAAAATCGATGTACAGTACAAAAACTGTTTTATTATATAGTATAAATTTTATATATGTTTATTTAATTTCATACTGTAGTTAACATTTAATATAACAGATTATATAAAATTTAATTGATATGAAGTAATTAAATAAATATGCTAATAAATCAACAATTTTATTATTAATTAAAACTCCACTTTCAAGCAATTAAGTCTATATTTAATATATTGAATAGAAAATAATTATCTGCATTCAATAAATAGTTGAAATCATTTGATAAGTTATAAAACTTATAATGATTCATCAATACTTATAATTAAATCTTTCAATATTTATTGTAATAAATTAATGTCAGAATTATCATTTTATAATTAGATAAGGAAATAGTGAATTCAAAATTAAATTTTAATTATTAAATATAATACAGTGTGATATTATTAAAATATATTTATTATGAATATCAATAAATTACCGGTAAGATTGTGCAGCAATCAAAATAATTATAATATTCAGGTTATCAGTAAAGTATTTGGTATTTTAATAGAAAAAAAACTCAGACATGAAAACCATTGATATTGTAAAACATCTAAACTAAAGAAGATATTACGCGAACAACAGTTTGATAGTATTAAATGTTATGATAAATACCACCAAATTTACAAAAAAATGCTAAATTAACTCTTCATTAATCCAATCAAAAAGAAAATTCAATATAAAATTATTGTTTTTGTAGTCAATGAAGTTGGCTGTAGTTATCTTTCATTGTCAAAATCAGTCAAATCTATCATTGAATTAATTAATAAACGCAAAAATATACTAAGACACAATTTTAATGAAAACAATTTTAATGAAAAATATCATTTTTTAACTAAACTAATAGGATACGAAATTAATAAATATGAAAATAATAAATTTAAATCATTGATAACTAAATCAAATAATTTTAATAAATTTTATAAATATGTTAAATGTATTTCTAGTGATGTAACTAATAAATGTTTTATTAATGATAAAAACGAGACAATAACTGATAATCAGTTAATAGTAGAAAATTTCAAGAATGAATTCATAAAATCATATAATAATAACACTAATAATAATTTTCAGAATATTGTCACAAATTTAAATAATAATTTATTTGAATTTGATTTATCTATGAATGATGTAATAAAAAGTTTTCAGAAATATAATTATAATTCATCACAAGGATTAACATTTATTGATAATATTGTACTAAAAAACTGTTTAAATGGTACTTCAAAATTAATTTATTTTTTATTTAACAAAATTTTATTTCATCAGCATTTTCCACAAAAATTAAAAATAATTGAAATTACACCTATAATTAAAAGTAATAAAAATAAGCAATTATTTAACTCTTACAGAGCTATTGGGGTTCAATCAAATTTATTTAGGATTTTTGAAAATATTATTAATCAAAAATTAATACCGTATATTGAATTTAATAATATTTTACCCAATTGTCAATATGCTTATAGAACCAAAATAGGTCTAAAAAATTTTCATATAGATATGCAACAAGTAATTTGTAATGCTTTTAATAACAATATTGTTGGTATAGATATTATATTTTTAGACTTTTCTAATGCTTTCAATACTGTATCTCATGATATTTTAATGAAAAAACTTAAAAGTTATAATATACATGGTAAATTTTATAATATTTTATGTGATATTTTTAAAGATAGATACCAATATGTTAAATATAATAATCATAAATCAGATTTATTTAGTGTACAATCTGGTGTAATACAGGGTGGAGTTACATCAAGTGTTTTATTTAATCTATACATTTCAGATATTATACAAAATTTAAATAGTTATATTTTTAAATATGCGGATGATATTACATTAATCAAAATAATTAATAATAATAATGACTGTCATAAGTTACAATCTGATTTAAATTGCATTTCAAATTTTTGTATTATAAATCAGTTACAATTAAATATTAGTAAATGTGAATTTATGCGAATTTCAACTAAATCTACTGAAATAAATGATTACTTTATAAATTCTACTAAAATTAAAAATATAGATAATAACAAAAATGTAGGTATATTTTATGATAAAAATTTTAATTTTAATATTCACGTAAACTATATATACAACAAATGTATTAAAAAATTTGCAATTTTAAAAAATATTTGTAAAAAAGCTAGTGGTAATACCTTTTTAAAAGCATATCAAACTTATATTATACCCATAATTGAATATTGTAACCTATGTTTAGTATATAATTCAACACAATCTGAAAAAATTGAAAAAATTCAGAAAAAAGTGACAAAATATATCTGTATGCTAATGAATAAATTTAATTTATCATATTATGAAAGATTAAAATTTTTAGATTTAGAATCATTAGGTAAACGCAGAATTTTACAAAATTTGAAGTTATTTTTTAAAATAAAACTTAAAAACATTGATATTCCTAACAATTGGATAAACTGTGTTGAATTCTATAATACAACTAGACATGGGATAAAATGTAGAAAAACTGTTAATAGATTAAAAAGGTTTGATAAAAACTTTTTTGATTATAATGTAAATTTATTTAACAATTTACCACAAAATATTAGGGATGAAACAAATTATAACAAAATAATTAATTTACTTAATTGTTATTTTAAATAAATATGTAATTTTAAAATAATTTTAACATATTTTATTGTCAAATATTATTGTATATTATTATGAGAATATTGTATTTCATAACAAGTATGTGAAATAAAGATTATTATTATTATTATTATTATTATGGCTAAAAATGGTCACAAATTTTATGTCCATCACAACACTACAAAAGATTAGGTACTTTTCAAACCCAAATCATGTTTTGGTCACATATTATAAATACTTGATATTTTATTTTGTTATAATAACTACCATAAATAAATAAGATAAAATTTAACCATAATTTTTATAAACATTTTATTTACAACTAACATCAACATTCAAATCAAAATCATTGTCATTAATATCTAAATCATAAATTTGATTTATTTTTTGTTGTTTTAAGGTCTCGAAAGCAATTTGATTACAACTTTTAAGTTTATGATTTGGTATATGTTTTCGGACTCTTTTCTCTAAATAAGACATTTCATTGTTAGCCAATTGTAAGCCAAAAGCCTTAAAATCACACAAAAGTCTGAATACAGAATCAAGTGATTGAATATTCGTTTTGTTGACCAAAGAGTCTATCGGCAAACGCATTGACCGAATGCCATCTTTCGTGGCCTTCGGTAAAGACAATTCAATCACTTGGTTTCGATCAACAATACCGCCGATTATGAATACAGCGTTGCGATCGTATTCGGTCATCACTTGAGTCGCGTGTGGCGACAAAAATATCAGATCTCGTTTGTCGAAGAGGTCTAAATAGGATTTAGATGTGATATTGACATACGATTTACTGGACACAAGTTGTGGATATAAAAAGTTCATAAATCCAATGGTTTTGTCGTCGGTGTTGACGTTACATAAGTTAAGACAAAACGGCAGTTCATTTGAATAGTCGTATGTCTTGTATTTGTTGAACTCATAGATACGATGCAACTGTTCCGCTAAGTTCTTGCACTCATTGGTCGACATATGTCTGTCAAATGATATATCAAAGCAAACATTTTGTCCATAAAGTGTACTATTCTTCAGTCCATTCATATAAAACTTTTCTAACTTTTGATTGCAAAATAAAAAAAAACATTTTTTATAAATGAATATAATTATTGAAGTATCAATGGATTCGTTACCTCGTATGGCATGAATGGTATAATGAGGTGATTGTGACCATCGATGTCATCTAATTTCTTCATCAAACCTAACAAATGTCTCCTTTTGGCTGAACTCAAGTCTCGCCATATTCTTCCGTATCGACTGATATGATAACAATCCATAAGATGTTTCATGTGGTTAACCGAAAGTCCATCAGGTATTGAATGTTTATGTGTATCACTATTGCTGTACAACCGAAACTCATTCAGTATAATCTTAATCAGTGCTTCCGTCCGTTTATTTGTGGCCAATGTCTTGAAGCGATCGTAACACAGGTCGTCGTCTTCGCAATCATTGTTAACACTTCCGGTGATGCGATTGGATATACACGACAAGTATCGGCCAATACATCTGTTGTTTGGCCACTGGTTGGCAATGAATTTATGTGTCAAATGTAAGCGATTCAATGCAAACATCACTGCAATTGATCCACAATTTCTATGAATGTATTGATCACATGGGTTGGTAGAGCTCTTTAAGGAATTAAAAATCCCGAATAGTGATGGTAGCTCAGACCGCTCTGAGTCTAACCATATCACCCACATAGCTGTCCGACCTCCGCAATTCGAGATATTCAACTTTAAAGTCGAAATTTTTTGACGTTATTTATGAATATGATACATAATTTCTATGTATTTTTCAATGCTGATTATGAATATGAAATCTAAATCTCATTATGTCAAATAGTTTTCGAGATATTCGACTTTAAAGTCAAAATAAATATTTGTGACAAAATAATTTAAGTACTGTATGTAAGGACAGGGGTTTTAGCCATGTCCACTTCAAGGAACTATAGCTCAAATAGATGAACTTCTGGTATCGGGGTATCTTCGGAAAATATATCCGGTCTATAGATATTCTTCTTAGAAATATAGGTCTCTGGGCTTCTCTATGTCAATCAATTCAATGCCAACACTACTTCTATCACAGCACTCATAATCAATTTAACACTCATTTTATATAAAAATCACATTTCATTAACAAATAACCACTTTATTTATAATAAATTAGATTAAATAGTTAACAAAATGATTATATATATATAAATAATGATGTTTTCTTATATATGGGCTCTCTGTCCCTCTCTCTCTCTCTCTCTCTCTCTCTCTCTTTTAGGTCGGACCCCCCTTAGGCCACCTTCTCTGAGTCCTCACGCTCTTAGACTACCTTTTATGACTTCTCTCTTATGACTAACTCTAGGACTGAATTTACATTTCAATAATCAAGTGCTTATATAGACATAAATACATAATTGCATTAATCATTAGATTAGGAAATTTACAATAAATATTAGAAATCTGATTCAATATATTTTAAATAATACTAATTATCATATCTTTATCATTGAATTACTCGATATTAGACTTATATCATATGAATAGTTGAGTACTAATTATAACTGAATATTGAATTATTAAACTTATAAATCATATAAAATATATTATAAACTCTTAATTTTAACTGAAATATGAATATTGATTGCTATTTGAATATTGAATAATCTCTTTGAATAGCATTTGACTCATTCATACTAAAAATAACCTCTAATTTTCAAATATCCATTACATGTATCTTATGTAACGATAGTTGTTTGTTGGGTTAGTTGGTAGGGTAGGTTAGTTTATTAAAATACACAAATATAGGTAAATTTTATTTATTACTTAATATTAAGATTATACATTAGTGTTTTAAAGGTAAAAGTAGAATAAAAAAACTAGTGTGTGTTTGTAATTATTTTTTTAGACATTTTCGTTAAATATACTATCATTTACCTCAAATGAACGCAAATATTCTGTCGGATCACTTGTCGTATAGCGGTTCAAGAAGGTATAAGTTAGTTCTTCCAAAAATGTATATTCGGCAATTTAAATTGTTCCTCTAATAAAATTCTTAAAATTTAAAAAAATAAAAAAATACGTAAAAATATTGTTGTGAATGTATAATTGTTCTTATAATAGATTGCCTCCATATCTCTTTAAATAAATGTTCCTGAAGCCGATTTATTAAGTGTGTGTGCCATTGTAATAAAATTATGCTAAACTTTGAATAATTCTTACAAACTTAAATCAAATGATTTTTTTTTATTTTTCACATAATACTCCTCTTTCTTTTCTTTAGTGACAACTTTAAAAATAAATGTTAACTAAGAAATAATTACATTTACTAGCATTATTATAGTTACGCCAAAAGAAATTGATTAAGTCGAATATCTCGAAAACTGTGACATAATGTATATTAATTTTCATATTCATAATTAATATTAGAAAAATCATAAATATCTCATATTCATAAATAATGTGAAATAATATTTTTGACTTTAAAGTCGAATATCTCGAAAACTATTTGACATAGTGAGATTTAGTTTTCATATTCATAATTAGTATTGAAAAATGCATAGAAAGTATGTATCATATTCATAAATAACGTCAAAAAAAATTTCGACTTTAAAGTCGAATATCTCGAATTGCGGAGGTCGGACAGCTATGTGGGTGATATGGTTAGACTCAGGGCGGTCTGAGCTACCATCACTATTCGGGATTTTTAATTCCTTAAATCACTCTATCAGCCGATCACATGTTTGTGTTGACAATCACTGCTATTATTGACTGTCAATGTATGCCATCTCTCGATCTCTTTAATTGTAATTATAATATAATATATTTATATATCTATTCATAAATTCTTTAATTTTAACTAAATTTCTTATATAATGTTTGTAACAATTTTTTTATTTAAAAAATCAAAAAATCTAATATTATTTACAATTTTCTAATATAATTTAATTATATTCTTTAAATGTTATAAATTAAAACATATTTATACTAACAGATATCATTCATATATAAATTTTTCAATATAACTTTTAAGACTACAAAAATATTTTATATTTACGGTATAACAATTTTTTATAAATTAAAATATTGTATTTTATAATACATTATTGCTTTATCTGTAACTTTAATATATATAACATTTTTTTTAAAAATATTATATTATAGTAAATGTTGTATAAAAATAGTTACCAATATTTTTAACTAATATAACATTAATTAATAAAAATGCAATATTCCATCAAATATTGATATAATATTACTGGAAATACTTATTAATTTTAGGTATTAAGCGCTACAATAAAAAGCTAACGTAAAAACACCGCTAAGAGTTGTAATACAAAAACACATTAAGGAATATCTGTCTCTTTCATGAATATTCTTAACCACAACGGTATCACTCCAGGCATGACTTCGACGACTTTTATATTTATTTAATGGTATTGTTTGTGGATTTAGTATTAGTTCCGTTGAGGCCAGAGATGACTGTTCCGATAGATGTGGTGATGAACTATTAGATGGTTGATCCGTAATCACAGTTTGTTTATTATGTCTTTGTTGTTCAATTGCTTTGGTAACTGTTTGTCTAAATATAGCCAAAGCATAGCTCGGCGGCAGATCGTCGACAACACCGGAATTGTAGTTATCGTTGGCCTCGGAAGCTGTGATGGACTTCGGATGTATCCTATTGTCTGCAGACATGTTGTAAACATTATTGTAAACTGAGTGTCATTTTAAAATTATTTTTAAACTTATATATAAATAAATATTTTATTTTAAAAATTATGTTTTATTATATTTACAGACAAACATAATAAAGATATTGATTTTCAACAGAATTGAATAATACAGTTAAATAGTGTATTTAAAATATATATACAACTACTGTACATAAATTCATATGAAAAGCTAAACAATTATATCGAGAAAAAATATATAAAAATTATTATTTTATATATTAATATTATATTTTATGTGTATTTGTATTTGTATTGTATTATATACAGTATACCTTTACACAATTAAATATGTCATGCGATATGACTATTAAATTATATTTCATAAATATTTTTGAGTTTAATATCATTTTCATTTGAAAAATAATATGCTGTAAGAAGTCTACATTTTTTTTATTCATATAATATTGCTTATTTGTAATAAATCATAAATCATATTTATTATTGTAATACAATTATATTTTAATTTTATTTATTTATAAATTATTTAACAAAATTTTTTAAATAAATTAGTTATATTTGACAATTCAAATAAAATTTAATTTAATATTTTATTATAGTGATTTTATGAAAATAATTATTTATATAATATTATTATAAACAAAAACAATGTGAATGCCTTTATTATATAATTATATTATTATTTAAATACAAGTCTAATTTGTTTGTTAAGATAATAATTATTGTTAACTATATAAGTATAAATATATAGCATTATAAGTTTAAATGTCAAAAATTTAATTATTTTTATTATTATATATTTAATGAAAGAGGAATATAAAAACATAATTATTATACAAAAAATATATATAAATTAATTATATTGTTAAACAATAACTTTGTTTATTATATAAAAATATATTTAAAAACAACTATTTATTTAATTGTAATTTAAGTAAGACAATTTAATTAAAACTTTATTATTAAATAAATACATTTAAATAATTAATCTATAAATTTAATTATTATAATTTTTAATTTTTGGAAAATTTTTTGTAAAATTATATAATATTTTATTAAAAAATCTTTTTAACTTTTAATAATTTCTAAATTTACTATTATTAAATTAAACTATTATATGCATAACTTTTTATTAATTGCTAAATTTAATTACAACATTTTGAATTAAATAAATATATGAATATTATGTTAAAATGAATTTAAAATTAGGTATTAGCAATTTATTAAATGTTAATATTAAAATCATTAACAAATTTTATTTCTAAACAAAAAATTTTTATAACAACAAAAACTTAATCAACAGTTGTTTCAAAAAAATAAAATAATTAATTAAATTAGAAAAAAGTTAATATTTATAGTTTGAAATTCATGACTACTTAACACATCATTCATACATAACTGTTATGAATAGAAATTTAATACTTTTATTTTAATGAATACTGACTTAATAGTTAAATGATTGCAATTTAATAAATAATTGCAATTAATCGCAAATATTAGTGTAACACAAACAACACCATCGGAAACAACACGTGTCTTCAGACTGATCCACAAGACTAGGATTTGATACAATTAACTGTTGATTAGATTGGGTCGGAGTCGTCACAAATGATGGTCCGATTGAATCGACACTAGGAATGGTATGCAATGCTATTATATCACATGTGTTGGTGTGAGTCATCAATTGTGTGACATCCAGACCAGTCGTCCATCCATTAAACGTCCTTTTATTTTGATTGTTATTACAAACATTATTATTAATAAACTTATTATTATTATTACTTTTGATGGGCTGTTTGGCAATCATATGACTGACATTACCACAACTGGTCTTTTCGGTGATACTTTTATTGTGAGGCAATGAACCGTTTGTCTCACTAATAACTGATGAATCCATTGCTTGACTGTAAGAATACGTACGAATTGGTCTCATATTTATTGGTTTTTAAAATTATAATATATTTTTACGAGTTTTAAAAATTAATATATTTTTTGTTTTTGTAAACTTGAGACAAACTCGGAAAAAGTTTTTTATTAAACTTTTAATAATTTCATTTCAATGTCAATCGTAATCATATGACATAAAACAATATTTTACACTAATTTAATTATTATTATTATATCATATTTGGTAGCATATATAATATTATAATAGTAACATAATTTAGCATACATATATTAATTAAAGATTTTATATTTTGGATATTTAGTAACAAAAGTTTATTTTTAATTGTAAAAAATAGTTAATTAATTTGTAAATAATAATAAATATATAAGTATAATATTATAATGGAATTTAAATAATAAAATTATTATATTTTGAAAACAATCACATTAAGTAAACGTTGTTAAATAAATACAAAACAACAAATTAGATTTTAAAATAAGCATTTTTAACCAAAATATTAGTTATTTTTTTAAAACTTTCATGAAATTTATATGATTTCAAAAGTTATTGCAAAGCATTTCAATTGAATTCATTATATTAATAACAGAAACAACACATGTATTGAAAAATATATTTATTTTATGGACTAATGGTTTGCTTTTGAAAGTTGAAGGAAAGTAAAGCCCATTAGTATTGTTGTTTGGGTTTTGTTGTTGTTATTCCTGTTTTTTTTTCTCGAAGACAACTTGTTTTTGGTGGTGACTTACAACTAGTCTTAAAGAGAGTCAAATAGAAAAGGAGTGGAAAATGTATGTGAATTTACTGTGAAATGTGGATCAAAAAAGAGGTTAAGTTTGTGTACTTTTATTTTTAATACCAATTTTTGATATGACGTGTGTTTGTTTGTAAAGTTATATTAACGCAAAAATTCAAATATATCAGTAATTTTAGTCTAAATATCGCCTCTCATATCGTGTTTCTTACAGTTGTTTCATTCAATATAATAGTATAATGCCATCAATTGTGATGTCATTTAGTAGTGTCTCCTCTAAATAAATGTTATATAAAAAAATATTTGATTTAAAAAAATTATTTGTAAAATTTTTAAAAAACTTATGAAAATAATTAACGACAAAACTGCTTATTATCACCACTTAAGAAACCAAATATGACATCGACTTCATTGACATCTCTAAACAAAGTAAACACCGAAACAATACTATCATCTCAAGCAAAGAGATCTCAATCTGATCCAGACTTTCAAGTAATCGATATCACTATTGAGTATGTGTTCAAAGTGCCGATGAATAACAATAAGCCCAGTGATAGTCAACAAACAATTGCCGACGATATGAAAATAAAATTCATTGATTCAGTTGATAATGAAGTACCAAATATTAGTGATAATGATTGCCATCAAACTAATGACAATCAGTTTATAACAGACAACAAGTTTGGTCAGAAAAGACTAGGCGTGTGTTGTCTCTCGCCTTTTGATTTAATCAATCAATTGTTGCTATACTTGTGTCAGATTCCGGTCTGTCTTTGCATGTCTTCAGTGTTATGTCTGGTCTGCTGTTGTGCCGCAAGATTTAGATTTAGATGACATCTTATAATTTAATTGTAATGTTTTAATGTTATATATAATGATAATAAGTGTTTGTTATAATAAAATGTTTTAATTAGTAATATATAAAATAATAAAATAGTAATTTTTGTATATTTTATTAGTTTTAATACATATAAAGTTGTATTTTCGACTTTAGACTCGAATACTTATTGTTGTTAACCACTTAACAAAAAATATAATATCTCTTTGAACTTTAAATTATAAAACCAAACTTTGCTACAAATATTATATACATTTAATTAAATTCACAATAAATAATAATTGTATTATTTTACATAATAGTCAATTATGGATAATTCAATATTAGTTTATATTTAACTATTAAATATTTTGTACAATAACTTTGTAATAAAAACAAATCAAATAATTTAAATATACATTAGATTGAAGAAATTAAAATTAATTAATTATTTAATATTTTGCTTAATAATTAAATGCAATAAATAAATTTTTAACAATTAAATATTATATTTATTTTATTAATATTTTTATCAATATTTGCATTTTGTAAAATAATTTTATTCTACAAAAAATACATATAAATTATTGGTATGATGTAAATTGTTTAAACAGATTAAAACATTATTAGGCTAATTATAACTTAGCTCTCAATAACATTAATAATTGAAATGATATATCAATATGAAAATAATGAAACTTTTTATAGACAAATAATTTGCTTAAATCATGCCTTTTATGAAATAGCAAATAATAGAATAATTCATTAGAAACTAAATATTTTATTTTTATTCATTAAATGTCTATTAGTTTATGCAATCATACATTTTTATTGATACAACTGTTACTGATTATACTGTACTTTAAAAGTGATTAAAATTTTACCACAATTTATAGTAATATATAAATTTATATGATATGAGACAATAGCTAAATATTTGTCTGTGTAGTGTAATTGTGATATTATCTCAAACAATAAATATAGTAAATTAGTGGATATCCTTATCAGTGACTCAGTTGGTTACCAAAAATGACAATTTCATATGAAATTATCAATTAATTACACCATTGATTATAAAAATTTTGTTGGCTTAGTGTTTGACTTGCATTCAGTCGTCAATCACTATTGGTTTTTGTTTTATTGTAATACAATATATATCTAAGTATCCAACAAACCCTAAAATCCAAGTATTATTTTAAGTGATTAACAATTAATATTAAAGTAAACGAAATGTCGGGACCACCGCCTCCTTATAACCCAAATCCAGGTATTATTATTGTAAATCATTATAACTTTGTGTATAATTCTCACAGAAAACAATCATATCGTTGATTATAAACCGTATATTATGCCATAATTTTTTAAGGTCCATACTATCAAAGTGCACCCCCACCGCCACAACAAGGACCACCATACCCGGGACAGCCTTACCAAACCTATAATCAGCCCTACCAACCGGGCACATACACCCAACCACAACCCCAACCACCGCCACAACAAACTATTATAATCCATGAAAGAGAAGAACAGAGAAGAGATGGTATATCTAATGAGCAGTGCTGTTGTATCGCACTGTTAGCCGGATGTTGTCTCGGATGTTGTTTGGAGTCGCTGTAGGAGTCGATCTGGAGTTACCAATCAATTGATAATTAATTAATTATGGATTATCTAAAAAATGTGAAATTTGTGTAAATTTGAGTCCTGTAGACAATTTTGTGATTATTTATTAAAAAAATAAGTGCCATTTTGATAATTTTAATAAAGTTTATTATTCAACGATCAAAATATTCATTATTTATATTTAGTGTAACTATATTTTTTAGTCACCAAATCGGTAATTATCTAAACGTTAAATCACGTAATGGTTTCAAAAGTTATTGAATTCACTAAATAAACTCTTCAATTGTTATCAAATATCAAATACCGGTAATTGTTTTTTCAAGTTTCCAATAGAGATAATCAATTGATTAGTTTCAACTCAAAATGTATCAATTTCTCTATGCGTTACCATTAGTTTAGTTAATGATTAAAATTAAAACAATAATAGCATTAATATAGATATTTATATTTTGTGATATTTTTGTTATACTACACACAAAAACAGTGTAATGTCTACAAATATGTACTTTTTTGTGTATAGTATAATCCCATTGATTTATCAAAAAAATATATAAATATTTATTTTATCGAAAACAACATTTTCATTCAACACTGATATATTGATCGTTAGTCAATGTCTATAAATTTCAATGATTTTTAAAAACATATAAATAGATTAATTCACATTTAATGCGTGAATAAGTTTATTGTATACAAAATTAGATTTCAGTACATTTTCATTCAATAATTTAAATACATATTCTTAATCATTAACAGTATATTTTTAAAAATCAAAAGTGGGAACAAATGAGATTTTTTTTTAATTATAAACACTGATTTTGTTAAACACTATATAAGTTAACTAAATTATAAAATATATCCAATTTTAATGTTTTTATTGCATATATCGACAACAAATAAAATAAATATTTTATTGATAATCAAAAACATTTAAATGAGTAAATCTTTGGACCACTTTATACAGCTGTGTTAGTCTTGATCTCGATTACATTATTTGAAATTATTTAACATAAATGAGTAATTAATTTTAATTGATAAATAATAATTTAATTAAAAAAATACATTTGCAAATTAAACTATTTAAAATATACATCTACGGTACAATAAATTTTATTGTGCATATTTTTACATAATCATCTATAAAAGACAATTACTGTAATCAAATTTGATATTTCAATTATAACTGAGCAATAAATATGTAATATTTTAATTATCATAAAACATTATTTTGAGAAATATAAATTCAATAAAAATTTTGTATGAAAAAGTATTTTTTGTAACGTTTAATATAAAAAATGTCATAATTTACTAAATGGCCGTTTTCTTCATCAAAAGCTTCAAATTTAAGATAATTATTGGAAATAAGTTTTTAATTAGCAGTTTCTTTCTCACTGTAGGTCTGTTCCCAAACTTATGTCTCACTACTTGGCTGTGAAAGTTAATAATAATTTCAAAATTAATATTTAAAAAAATAAATTTTTAGATTAGCTTTGTTTCATATAACGAGAAACTTTATTCTGATATATAAAATTAAATTTTAAAAATTGTTATAATGATAGTTTGTTATAACTAAAATAATTAAATAAATCGTTGAACAAAACGATTTCATCAGTAATTTATAAACAGTTGATCTCTTATTGTTTGATAAATTCATTATAATTATTATAACTAATAGCTATTTAATTACTGTTGTTTACATTCGGGTGGTTTGTCTCCACTATTGGCCGACTTCTTTGAAGGCTTACCTCCTTTTTTGTTGCCTTTCAATGGCGAGAAGTCTTCATCTTCGTCGGAATCCTCCTCCTCGTCTTCCTCTGACTCTTCATCTTCATCGTAATCCTCGTCATAATCATCGAGAGCTTCACCAGTAAAAAACAGAACAGCGCGCGGAACTATATTTTGACGAAGCAGTTCTCCCATTTCCCAATCGGCCTGAAGTAAGGCATGTGTTTCGTCTTCTAAGTCTTCAAGCTTTTCGGGAACTATTTATAGAATTAATTATTATTTATATTTTATACATTTTAATTAAATATAGTTATATAACCTTCTGGTGGATCAAAGAAATTGAAAAACGAGTCATTTTTGACGGTTTTTGAGACAGTCCTGATCTGTCCCTTAGATTTATGCTTTTGCTTCTTTGTCACAGTCTTTTCAGTCACATTCTTGCCTTTATTCCAATTGATTTGACAACTAATTGTAATAATGAATTGTCAAACTATTTACTATAAAAACTGGATCTAATGTCATACCCTTTACACTTGACAATAGCTATACCGTCATAACTCCACGGATCCTCAAAATCTGGAGTACATCTCAATTCGTATTCTTTGGTGAGAATCTCATTCGTGAAGTAATCATTAGGACTGAAGACAAAGTCAAGTTTGAAGCCCTAAATAAGATTTCCGTAAAATAATAACATTAATAAAACAAATATATTATTAAAAATCTTAGTAATACCGCCGGCTCTTTGATAAGTGTAACTCTAATGTCAATCAAATGCTTAAGTATGTCTTCGTCGTGCTCTTGAATATTCTCGGCAAATGTGTCCACATTCTTCAATATAGTCAACCAAAACTCGGGAATACCCTTAATGTTTTTATCTTCTGGTTTGTCCTCAACTTTCACTTTCTCTTTGACGCCATCGCTCAACTCGTTCTCTTCTTCCTCCTCCTCTTCATCAGATGGATAGTTGGCCTCTTCATCGTTAGGTTCATAGCTTCCGTTCACAATTTGTGTTCGTTTCTCAAAAAGTGGTACATATTTGGCCGCATATCTGACTTCTAATTCGTGTAACTCTTTGTAAAAGTCGCCCTCAATCTTGATCTTCTCTATCTGTACGTTCTTGAGTGCCTTTACTCGTCTTTTAACAATATTTGGCAGTGAATCGTAATATCCGGACGACATGCCTATCATTCCGGCCAACTTTGACTGCATTGCTGCCAACACTTCGGGATTATTCATGACTTGTGCGGTCAATGCGTTTACTATATAATACATTAAGTTTGAAAACATATTACAAGTGATTATTTAGTGGTCACAAACCTTGCTTCGGGTCGAGTTCTCCTCCTTCGGGATCAGCGTTTGGATTGGCAATGACTCCTCTGTGAACATCAATTGGTTAAGTGATTGTAAAACTCATGTCTTATTAATTGAAACTTACTTATCACCAGACATTGTCTTACGATTATTCTTCACTCAAACGAGTCTCGACTAAAATGACTAAATCAGCTCTAAATCAAAGAAACATAAAAATGTGTCATTAATTTGATGGACATATCAGAGTCAAGCCGTTGTCAATGGCTATAAATGGCGCCAATCAGTGCCGACAACACGTGATTCGGTAATCGGTGTCCGCTAACTGGTCACTGATTAAGTGTCATTCATACCACAACTGGCCAGACATCAAATGGTCACAAATGATGACAACACGTGTGACAAAACTATTTAATCAATTTATATATAATTAGATTTAAATATTTTTTAAATACCTATTCAAGTGTTTTGGAGAAGCAGTGAACACACTATAAGTCAATTGAATTAATCAATCAATGAATGCAAAGCACAACAAATTGTGTGAAAACGGAAGCGGAAAACATAACATATATTCAATCATTTGGTGGCACACATTAACGACGTCCACATATAGCCTATTGTATAGTCATATTCAATTGAATTTATTGATTCAATGCTATTTAAAAATTACAAATAAATTATAATATTAGTAATTCACAATCAATATCAATGTTTTAATCAATCTATGATTCAAATATAGTCATTAAGTAATAGTTTCCTATAGTTTTTTTAGGAGACGATTACTATTTGTTAATAACACATATTTGGTTTCAAAATAACAATATAACATATATTTGTATTAAATTTTCAATCAATACTCAATTGTAGTTAAATTACTTTATTAATAATTAATGTAATATTCTTCTTAAATAACATTAATTACAAAAACATAAATGAAATTATTGATTACTGTTTTTTACTGTACAATACATTGAATACAAACTTTGCAATACTCTAAATAGTTTACCTTAAAATATAAAATACAGGTATTATTTGTATGTTAACAATATATTAATACTGTAGTTATAAATGCCTTTTATTAAAATATTATTGAATTATAAAATTTAAACCATTATTTTATATTATTATATACTATAAGTTTTTAAAATATACCCGTATATTGTTGATAGATGACTATAGTCTATGGCTAAACAGTATTTTATTGATGACTTTCAATTAAATTTTCATAATTACCGTTAATATACAGTATTTTTTATTTAACAAATACAGTAAAAATATTTAATATGAGTAGCAATTAATGTAAATTTAGAAATGTTCATACAGTACATAAGTATATAACCTAATTAAGTGTATAATTTAGTTAATTAAGTTATATTAATTAAATCAAAACATTATTAAAGAATTTACGGTAATTGCGATAATAAACTTCTTTTAAAGAATTATTAAAAACTTATTTATATATTACTGTTTATCACTTCAATATAACATCATTTTAATTTAGAAATCAATTGGAAATACTAAAAGTTTTTTATATAGATTTTTATAAACTTTTTTTTTATCAAACGATACAAATTTATTGATAAATATAAATATAGTCACAAAAAAATTAATCAGTTATGACTCTGAGTTGTTTAGTACCGGACCAATTGATACCATCAATATTGCGGCGAATATGGTCACTGGCGGCAAATAGACGAACCCGAATAATACGATTGGATTTCGTTGCCAACATTAACAATGTGTTTAATACGACAATTAAAAACTTTGAACTCACTTTAGACGCTATTAATGTGTAGTCTGTAATTTGATCCACGAGTGACAGCCATTCATAATAATGAGTTGTGTTAGGATTAGCCATATGTAGAGATCGTAAGTTCTTGAGATGAGATAAATACATGAAACACGACTGAACACAACAATGACAGCCACCGGTTGTGTTGCGAAGACAAATACAGTCAAACCTAGTGTCCAATGATAGGTCTCGTAGGTTCGGCAATATCTTTAGCCATTTTGATAATACCAATGGTGTTAATGAAATATTTGTCAATTTCAGTGACAATAATGATGGCATCGGTTGAGCAAAATAGCCAAACGGAAGGGGAAAATATACTCTGAAATTAATATTAGGAGCTTGAGTTGGAAGATGTCCACTGAAGTTATAGTTGAATGTCTTCAATTGGTTCAGATTGTCGATTATCTTCATTGAGTCAATTTTCATGAAATGATTAAATTTCAGTGTCTTTAGATCCGTCAGGTTTTGGCAAATGCAATCAAAAATATCTTCGTGACACCGACTCATCAGCGGTTGAAACCAAATAACTAGTTTTTCCAATGACTTATCTTTTAATACCATTATCTCGGGTACTGTTAATTTCCAACAATACTTTAGCTCAAGTTTGACAACTTTTGGACCCAAATTGTTAAACACTTTCTCCATATGTCTGTTGCCAACTATCTTAAGCTCTTGAAGATTGACCAGTTGTGACACCAAATGAGATAATTCTTTATCAGATATTTGTTGATTCATTCGGCATTCAATTTCTAATGAAATCAGTTTATCAGCCAATTGTTTACCCAATCGTTTCCAATCAAATACGTGGTAATTGAGACGATAGTCCATTAAAGATAGTGAATCCAATTGTGGACTACGATTGAAGATAAACTCTAACATTTGGTTAGTGATCGTAATATTGTTGTCAAATGATACGTGTTTTAAATTTGGTAATTTGGCCAACAATTGTACCAAACAATGGTTGTTATCGTTAAAATTGCCGCCAATTCGGTAAATTTGGACCAAATGTTTCGGATCGTATTTATGCATTGTGTCGCATGACTGGCCATATGTGTTGATAAATGTAATGCACTTTTGTTTGGCTAACAATCGATCCACACATGTCTTCACTTTATTGTTAACCGATCTGATGGACAGTTTGTTGACGAGAGACAAGTCGGACAAAATCAGTTCAACCACTTCGTCGTCCAAATTCATGAAATTACCACTCATTTTCATCTTCTTTGACAACAAACTATCTGATGATTGTTGTTGACTGGATCTCGTCTTTGGCATTACTCAAGAGCTGATCCAATGGTCGACAAATTCTTGGCTAAAAAAACTACAATTAAATCAATGTTTGTGTCAATCAATAGTCGAATGCATTCATCGATTCATTTAATGCTTTATTATTTGACTTACAGTTTATGTCATAAAGTATTCAAATGATTCAATCAATGAATACTTTTTAAAAATATATTTTTAAATTGTTTGTAAACTTATATCACGTTATGATTAAGTTAATTGAATACAAAACAATATACAATACAGTAATGTAGTGTTTGATATGTAAATTAATAGTTCAATCAATGCTTTTAATTAATTTTTTTGTGATATTATTAAATAAAATTGAAATCATAAATACTTAGAAAACAATACTGTTATATACAGTATATTTCTATTCGTAATTACTTACAATAGTATTAACAATTTGAACTTAGATTTTATAAAATTTGAATTTTTCAAAATGTATAAAATAATTTCACATTTGCATAAATTTCTAATACTGTACTATAAATTATTATAAGTTTTGTATAATATTATTTATAAAATCTAAGTTTAAATTGTTATTATTATTGTATTGATATTGATATTGCATTTACTAAAAGTTTAGATGAGATTTTGTTATTTTAATAAATAAATTATGAAGTCTTAATTTTTAATGGTTGTAATTTTTAAATAGTTTTGTAATCCTAATATTTAAATATTATACTTTATTATATAATTTTATTTTTAGAAAAAAATATTATTATTACTTGTTTATATTGTTAATTTTTTATTGAATAATACAGATCAATTTTATTAAATAAAATATTAACTTATCAAAAACAAACAATTTAAATCAGTACTTTATAAATAGGTACAAACAATAATATAAAAATTAATATTAATTATAAATATTTAATGATATTAGTTAAGAACATTTATTTTTATAAAAGTTAATATATTTTATTTAGTATAGTTTATAAAATCTACAATATTAAATATATAGATTATATTTAACTCAAAGTATTATAACTTAACAATACTTTATCAAATACTTTCACTAAATGATAAGTACTATACACTGTATAGTATACAGTATATCTAAAGTTTCAAATAATTAATTGTTAAGTAAATTATTAAATGTATTTAAGTCAAGGTATAAAAACTGAAAAAAATATAACAGTTATACAACTATTATAAGTTGAATATTAAAAATAATTTTAAACAAAATGTTTAGCAAACTTTTGATAGTATGTACTGTTTTAACATTAAGTGAATCACTTCCCACAACCATTACTCTAAGTAATGGCCAGAAAATGCCGATCGTAGGTCTGGGAACATATCAGGCAACAGGAGATGTCATCTATGAATCTGTATTGAATGCATTAGATGTCGGTTTCAGACACATTGACACCGCCTATCTCTACGATAATGAGAAAGACATTGGAAGGGCTCTTAAGAAGGTGTTCAGCGAAGGAAAGTTGAAACGTGAAGATGTATTTGTTGTAACCAAACTGTGGCACACATTTCACAGTCGACCGCTTGTTATGGAGGGCATGAAGAAGTCTTTAAACAACTTAGGTCTCGATTATGTCGACCTATTTTTAGTTCATTTTCCGTTTGGTCTCAAAGAAGGTACTAATATGACGACACCCGTTGATGATAAAGGAAATGTGCTTTTCTCGGATGTCGATTATGTGGAGACCTGGCAGGGGATGCAAGATGTCTATGACAAAGGATTTACCAAATCAATTGGTTTGTCTAACTTTAATCACCAACAGGTCGACCGTATCCTAAGTATGGCTCGAGTCAAACCTATGGTCAATCAAGTGGAATGTCATCCATATCTTAATCAAAAACAATTGCTGGACTACAGTACTAAACATGACATTGTATTGACAGCATACAGTCCATTGGGAACCGGGAGAATGTTGAATGAAACCAAACTAATAGAGATCGCCGATAAACACAACGTATCGGCCGCTCAGGTACTCATCAGATATCAGGCACAGAGAGGTATTGTCGTCATTCCGAAGGCCACGAGTAAGAAGTATATTGCAGAAGACTATGAAATATTTAATCTAAATCTTAGTGACAGTGATATGACAGCTATTGATAGTCTAAACAAAAATTTAAGATATAATGTCGTAGATTATGCCAAAAAACATAAGTACTATCCGTTTAATATACCCTATTAATTATAATTTTATATTAATATTAATTTATGCAATATATTATAATTAGAGTTGTATTGTATTGTAATATTGTATAGTAAAATAAATTATAAATATATTTTTTGCCCATTTTATAAAATATATTATAAAACAAATGATACAAATTATATTAAAAGATATTATCTGTAATATTATACGATAAATATTATTTTAAATATTACCGGTAATATTTTTTATATAAATTAATCCAAATAATAAATAAATAATTTTTTAATGAATATTAGAAAATAAAATACAATTACAGGTAATAGTAAAAAGTTTAATAAACAGATGTTTTTTCACTAAAATAAAGACTAAAATTTTGATATGAAATATGAAAATGAATGAGAAGAGCAATGACTGAGAAAATTTTGTCTAAGCATTCAAACCAATCAAAAGATGGACTATTTATTGACCAATTTTGACAATACTTCCAATAAAGTGTTTTTCAGGTCTGACTGCATCTCTTTGATGGCATCGACCACTCGTTTGTTGTTTTCTTCGTTCAACTGTTTGTGTTCTTTGCGCGACTCTTTTAGCTCATCGATCAATAAGTTGTTGTTGTGTCTCAACTGTTCCACAATTTCAGTGCAATAATCATCAGACTCTTCTTGAACAGTGATAGCTCGTCGTCCACTTCGAGCAGATTTCGATTGTCGACTGTTGAGTAACGATTCATCCAATGATGACCTCCTCTTTGCCGAGCCCTTGGGTTCACCCTTTGAATTCTTAAATAAAGCCATAAACAGATTGTCTTCTTCTCCATCTGTGTCCTGACCACGACCTTTGGTGGGAGTCTTGGAGTTGCGGAGTCCCAGCATCAGGATATTGTGGTCCTGACTGTGACCGTCGCTTTCGTCGGAACTATTGGTCATTGAAAATCTCCGCATTTGCGACTTCTTGTTGCTGTTGTCGGAGCTATTGGTCATTGAATTTCTCCGCATTTGCGACTTCTTGTTGCTGTTATCGGCATCACCTTTGGATTTGGATCCACTTCTGTTTTGTCTATTGAATGGCATTAGTTTGCAAAATAAAGTACAAATACTTTGGATGAGTCTATATGTGATTGATGTGAATAATCTTAAATCAAAACTATTGAAGTAGAAGAAAGAATTGTCACCAAATATATTGTGTGAAACCAATCAATTGATTTAAACGTTATATTTTTCAAACACTTAATTCTTTACTTTTTTGATACACTTTTTTCACGCGATTCAACAGTTTATCAAAATTATAACTCAATATCAATCAGTTGTGAATATAATATTGTTTTGCAGATAAAAATAATCTAAAAAAAGTTATTGAAGTATATAAAAGTGTATAAAACAAATGAAAAGCAAAAACAATAAATATTAAGAAAATATTATACTGTACTGTACTATACAGTATAATAATATACAAGTTATCTATTTATTTTAATTAAATAAAAAATATATAATTAAAAAGCTTTCGACAACATTAATGGCCAATAAAATATGCAAATAATTGCAAATGTCATCGGAAACAATATCCGTGAAACGGCATCGATGCGCATCGGTAGGTATTCAGACTTATCAGGTCCTACCGGTACTGATAATAATTTACCCATTATTTTGGATAATTTGTTAACAATCAAGTTATTGTTGTTGTCATTGTTAGGCGGCTTATAAACTGCTGCTTTAGTTTTGAACATATCGTCCCAAGAGTTTGGCTTTCGGTTTGCATTAACTTTTAAATTAAGCCATTTTTTAGCCTAAAAAATATTATTAATTAAGATATGATTTATTTAATTCAATAAAATTAAAAACCTCTTTTGAATTATTATTATTATGATAATCATGATTATGACTATCAATATTAGAAATATCAACTTTTAGTCCTTTGCCACCGATTTGTTTGTTTTGCGCTGATTTCCTAAATCGATTGATAACATCAATCTGTGTTTTCTTGACCTTAAGTTGATGTTGTTGTCGATGATAGACAAAGTCAACAATAGTGCATTGGACCAGCTGTGCGGCCACCATAACAATACACATTATCATCCAGTGATCAATTTCCTGTTTAATGAAATGGTCATAAATAAAAGTTAACAAATATTTAACTCTTTGTTATTTAAATGAGAACCGTTGTGTAAGAAGTGGGTGGCAGTGATTGTCGCACTTCGTTAAACTGTGTGACCAATGCTAACAAAGCTGTGATACCAATGGTAACTCTTTCAGATACAGCAGTGATTCCCAACCAAAACGTGCAAAATGTGATCAAAACAATGATAAAACTTGGAGTATATATTCCAACTAATTTGTTGGCTATTTTTCGCTGAAATTCTATTTTAATTTTTAACAGCGAATAGGTTTCTAATCAAATAATAATCAAATTATAATCAAATTTTAATAATTAATACATTTTATATTAAAATAGGTTTAAATTATTTGTTAAAACCTTTAAATATTTCGGTAGTTATTCTTTCTTGAGTTATCTCAAAATCGTGCTCAAGAAGTCTAAGATCGGGATTGAATTCAACATTTCGGGACCAATTAAGTTGTATTCTGTCCTCATTGAATGCAACTAATTATTTTTAACAAATATTTTTAAAATATATATTAATAAAAAATAAAAAAAAGTTGACTAAATAAATGGATAATATTAGACAAACAGCTCCTCATTTGAATGGAGCACTTCTGGAGATCAATGGGTACGTCACGAAAGTCCATCGGACACGAGACTATCGAGTAATATCGGCCCAAATACTCCATATAACAGTCTTCTGTTGTATTTTTTATACAATTTAATTATAATTATTGTAATATTCAACTGATCCACTCATACTAACCATTATTATTGCCGACAAAATGTATTTGCAAAAGAATTGTTTCAATGAGTTCTGATTGTTGTTTGACTTCTTTAGCATTTGAGATCATAATATCTGGAATCCAGAATAGCGTGAAGTACTCCTTATTGATAATCAGTTTATCACTTTGACTGACATTTACAAGACTTATATTTCTACCAATCATTGAATTCTTATACATTTGACAATCGGGTTTCATTGCCAGCCATTGTTGCTTATAATAGAAGTCAACCCTATAATCCTTTGTATAAATGTATAGATTTATATAATTTTTCAAAAAACTATTGTCTTTTATAATTTTGGATTTACATACCATATTAATATCTGATATTGAATTAATATCATCAATGTAAAAAGTCATATTTATATTTAAAGGTTTTCCATCATCTATTAAAAATGTCTTATATTTAATTATACCGTATATATCACTGACTAAATCAATGTCTACAATGACTTACAAATAGGTATTCTTTTAATCTGTTCCTTATCTACACTCAACTCTTCAGCAGTTTTGGGAACTATTATTAATTTAATTGAATTTCAATTATAATTATCTGATTATGTTTTTAAAAATAAATAAATACCATCTTCGGTACCATTGATACCATTTTTGTTGTCCTCCGAGTTATCTTTGCTTTGACTGTAACTCTTTAGAGTACTTTTCAATGCACTTTCAAATCTATCATAGTTTACACATTCATTACTTTCAGTATAATTTATATTCAAAATGATTGAAACAACTATTAATAAGACAAGATTCACATAAAAAATATATAATATCATTATTTTAATAACAACAAAATGTTATTCAAAAATATATATTTTTATATAATAAAATCTATGATTGTAAAAGTTAAACTTACAATAATCAACAATAATCTAAATTCTAGAAATTGTAGGAAATATTGTATATTATTTTTTACATATCAAAGTATACTATTTTCTATTAAATTATTGATTTTCTTGATTATATAAAATTTAGAAACTCGTAAACAAAATATGTATGTTTTAATGTATTGTTAAATGATTTTTGAAACAACTATTATTGGCATTTATAACAAATGCAAAATAGCACCTATAAGTCTAATAAAGTATATTTGCCTAAAATTGTTTTTATTTTTTTGTTGGTATTATTAGTACAAATTAATATTGTCGGATAATTAGTTGTTTGCGTGATTTAAACATATAATTGCTTTTTCAATCATACGCTTTTGATTTTAATAATATATAATATATATATATATACTATATATAAATTAATGTATTCAATATATACTAATTTATTTTTCAATATTCCGTGTAATATTTCATGTTATACTTTATACTAAACTACTTTATAACTATTGATATATAAATATTAAACATAGTATTGGTATAACTTTTGCCAAAATCCCGTTTTGTCACTTCATGTGTTGGTCTACTCTATCACTTGACGTCTTGGTTTAAGACATGACAAACATCTTGTTTTACATCATTAATACAGAGTATATAATATACAAAATAAGACAAAACTAATGTTTAGTTATATTAAGTATAAAAGTTTACAGATATTTAACAAAAACATTAAAATCTTTATCTATTTGTTATATTATGTTAAAACTATTTACGATATATTCTAACAAATAGTTAATACTATCAAAAATATTTTTGTTTTAATTATTAAATTAAAAATTTAAATTATTTTCTTTATAAGTAATAAAAGTTTTATAAAACAATTATTGATTTAAAGCAATAAAATACTATACAAAAAAAGTTATTAACTTAACATTTACCTAAAATTAACATTTTATTATTCAATATAAAATAGTATTGAACTGTCTATACATTACATTAAATGATACATTTATTTTTGTAAATTTATTCAATATAATTGATGTATTTATTTGTTTAAATATTATTGAAAAACATTAAAGACATGACTTATATCTAAATTATGACAATTAATACATTGATTGAGTGATTGAGTGATGAATAGACTCTAGAGTTGTAAACGGATTGCAGTTATCAATAGAAACCAATAATCAGTTTATAATTTAAAGTTTAAACTTTGGTTTAGATTTCATTAGAATTACTGACTAATTGAGTGATGCTTTCACTGCAATATACTCTACAATACATACACTCATTGACTATACCTTTAGTGCATTGAATCACTCACTGAGTCATACATTGACTCTTCAAACGATACAATCATTCGATTAATTGATTGATTCATCAAATGTTGACATCATTTCAATACAAGTGAAGACATTTGAAGACATTTTTTGGATGTAATGGAGACACAAATGGATTCAATGGATGACAAATCGGCTAATGATTCGACCAAAAGACCAAAGAAACAAGTGATACATCAATACCAACATTTGGTGGACAAAGAGTTGGACCAAAAGTATCCACACTTGGATTCAATAGACAAATATTGCAATCATTTTCATAAAGTCTTTCAAAATGGTCGCTACTATTATCACTGTAACGACCAATCGTGTCATTTCTCGACCAACAAGTCGTCGATAGCTGTCCGACATATCCGAAGACGTAAGTGTGGTGTCAAATGAAACGAGTGGTACGACCTATAGATTGATTGATCCATTGTTTTCTTCAGATATCAATGAAAAGCCATACAAGTGTTGGCTCAACAACTGTGGCCAACAATTCTACCAGAAGTGTGAACTACGCGTTCATGTGATCCGACATATGGAAGACAAACCGTACGAATTGATGGCAAACATAGTCTAAACCTAAATCTAATATTTTTATTAACCATTAAAATACAGATTCAAATGCACTCAAAATAATTGCATAAAGAGTTATACGAATCGCAAAGCACTGTCTCTCCATCTGAAGAGTCATTCGACACTTGAGTATCACTTTGATTGTAATCTATGCCCCAAACGATTTGTCACCAAATGGTTACTCAATAAACATCTCAAAGACAGACATTCCAACAATGAAATGATTGGTTCCAAACCATTGAGTGTCACCGATGCCAATAGTCATCCAATTGCCAAAACAATTGATATGATTAAGAAAATAAAATTAGATATAAAGCCTAAACCGGTGACCAATAATAAGGTGATTATAACGAAGTCGAAACAAGAGATCCGATCCAAAGAGAATATTTCTACCAATTTGTCGGATTATGGTTTTGAGGAAGTGATCAAATATGTCATCAAAAATAAACGCAATAATAAGCCATTAGTTAATGAGATAAATCATCAGAATTTAGTTGAAAATTGTCATCAATTGAGTTCTAACCACAATAACGATCATTTGCCACATGAATCGCCACTCGACATGACATTCAAATGTTGCCAATCAATGCAAATGTCAAAACAGTCTTTAAATGAAAACTCAAATCAAAAGTCAGTGAATTTGTCGAACAAAATACAGAAAGAGATGTCTGAGCTTTTGTTTGGTACGTGTGTTGATAGTATTGAATCACTTATCGAAATAAAGAGCTCAAAGAAGTTATTTCGTTCAGAGAATCGCTTTATCTTTCAATGCTTTGTCTGTGAATTTAATTCTGTATTCACTAATGATATCATTGAACACATTAGTCAACACTTAAGTCATAAATTAACAGAATGTCTAACAAAAAGATGTCAAGAGATTACCAATGATTTTATAATAGCTATCGAACAGCAATTCATAACAAGTGTTTCAAAATTTAACAAATTTATTGAAAACATCAAACATTGATTTGACATCTGAATTGACAAACAAATCGACAAATTGTTATTTTGATATTTTTAATCAAATTTTGTTTCTATTTATTTTTAAAACCTATACCATATTATTCTACAGTAAATGTTGTTTCTGTTTTGTTTTTTTTTTTATAAAATGTTATTCTTTATCTATACATACATTTATTTTTTAATAATTTTTTTAAAGGTTAAGCAAATAAAATTGTTTATAGAAAATTTATTGTTTTTATTTAATTATTTTACCATTAATTATTGATAGCATTAATAAATTTATTTATGAAATGAGTACAATTCTATACAATTTGCATATTTTATGGACAAATAAAAGATTAATATTGAGATAAATTATTAAAATACTAACTATGAATCAATAGATTAACATTTTGATAACAGATTTTATTACATTATAGATAAAAAATATTGAATCACCTGTTTTTCTATTAATAATTCAATAAACTTTTTTTATTATATAAAACTTTCTAAAAAAATGATTTAAACAAATTAAAAGTTCATTTCTTCGTTTACTATTAGAAATTAATATATAAATATAAAAATTATTCTTTAAAAATAGCAAATTTAATATTTTTTTCCAAAATGTTAGCAAACATTTTATTAAAATATTTAATTTATATCTATAGTATTCATATAATAATAATATTTTCAATGATTCAAAATAAGGATGAAGAATGGAGTTACGAAAGTAAGAAATTTTGAAAATTGATTTTAAAAATTGTTTAATTAATAAATAAAACTAATTTTTTAAAAAAAATATGCAATTTTAAGATCAGGATCACTGGAATAGAAAATTTAAATTATGTCACGGAAAACATGGATCACCAATAAATATAGATACGACTAAAGTTAAAATTAATAACAATTTACAAATCAAATTTTACAAATATGATATACAGTTTGATAGGTATAGGGTTGAAAATAATGGACACACAGGTATTATAAATTTATACATTATTTCCAAATTCACAATTAATTGTATTTTATTTTAATCTCAAAGTTCGTGTATTTTTATCGTCAAATCATAAGAAGGAGAGAATGCCATACATTACTGGTAGAGCTGTCGACTACAAGAAGTATATTCTGGATTCGTTTCATTTTCATTGGGGAAACAATGATTTTAATGGTTCAGAGCATTCAATAAATGGTGTTTTTAGATCAGCTGAGGTGATGACAATATTTCATTATTATAATTGATTGCTATATTAAGGTATAGTATTAATAAAAATATTTTTTATTTTCACTAAAAAAGGTTCATTTGGTTCATTACAATGAATTATACGGTAATATAAGTAACGCTATCAATAAAACTGATGGTTTGGTTGTAATCACTATTTTTATTGAGACAAAAGTCATCACAGATTTTGGATTCATTGAAGTCAATGATATCAACAATCAAGTGATTACACCGATAACTAAAGAGTTGTATCGCATAAAGAAATTTGATTCATATGTCAACCTTAATCTACCCATCAGTTTGAAAGACTTATTACCCAAAAACAAGAACTTGTTTTACCGATACTCCGGTTCTTTGACAACACCGCCGTGTAGTCAAAGCGTTGTGTTCATCATATTTGTTGATCCACTCTATATTAGCTCATCGCAGGTAACAAATAATAATTGTTGTTAACGACCAATAAATAATATAATGCTAACAAAACTTTATTTTATTGTTTTGCATTGTTATCATCAAAGTTGGATCAATTTCGACACATTTTTGGACAGTCAAACACTAAAAGTGCAATGAGATTAACAAATAATATCAGACAACAACAGTCTATTAATGATCGTATTGTTTGGGTTTCAAATCCATTTGTAACTAATAATACAAAAGTAATAAATTCCGGGAATAAAAATTAGTAAATGAAGGAAATATTTATATATATATTATTAAAGTAATTAAGTAAAAGTGATTTCTTTTTACTTATTGTTTTTATTCTAAATAACTTCACTTAAGATGTAAATTCAAAAAAATATATAAAACAAAAATAAATGATAATAATATAGTATAAAAATATAAGTCATTTTTACAATTATTAGAATTTTATAAAAAATATGAGATTTTTATTAAATTTTATGACTTTTTAAAAGAAATTGTTTCTAATGTTTAGGTCTATTGAGACAAATATGTCGATTGTGGACATGCATTAAACACATGTTTTTGTCTTCAGTAATATAAGAACAGTGTTTCCAAAGACACGAATAAAGTAGTTGATTGTTAAACACTTTTTCTTCTCTAAATTTGCGAATATTATTGAGAGCACAAACACCCGTCGGTTTCATGCCTTTAATACCGAAACCGCACTTATGATTACGTTTGTGGACATCCAACAGATTTTGATTCTTGAATTCTTTGGTACAGTTGTTGATATCGCAGCAAAACGCTAAATGTTTGTCACGAATATGTTCCTCAATCTCTTGTAAATCAAATCCATAGTATCGACATCTTTTGATATCGTATTTACAGAAAAAGTTTGACAATGAATCCACTAATTTAATCTCATAATTATTTTTTATGAAATCATTGCTTATTGTTTTGACATTTTTATCATTATTTATGTTATCATTCTCTTGTGATAACATATCTTCACATTTGTTATGATTATGACTATTATCAGTAATCTTAATCAAAGTGGACTCATCTTTATTGACATCACTTACCGACACTTTCTTTAATTTATCGGCTGTCCTCTTGATCTTTGACCTCAATTCTCTATTTACTGTCTCTTGTGGTTTGTTTATTGGATTATTTTTATTACAAATCTTTTGTCTCTTTACTTTATAATCGTTTTTATTTTCGTGTAATGAATGGATTCTCTTCAATGGAATGGTTAGGCTTTTAAAGTTAAATGACTTCCTATTGTTATCACTTGTGTGACCACAGCTCAGATCCAATTGATTTGAAGATTCTTCAGGTGTCATGTTATTCGCTTGTTTTCTAAGTCGGAGATTCATCTCATTATTGGGAATACGATTTAATCCCAAATGAAGACGAATAATATGTTCATTAATTTTGGAAACAATTTTTGTTGAAAACTTGCAGTCATAGTATTTACATAAAAAATAATCGTCTCCTTTAAAAGTCATAAAATTAAAAAACATTTAAAATTAATTAAATGATAATTAAAAATATATACATATTTAGAGTTTACCATTAAATATACTAATATCCACATATTTCTGGCATTTGGGATCAATATCTTTGTTATTAATTAACTGATTAATTTGATGATAATTAGTTGTTATGTCATTTACTTGTGTTTTACTAGTTTGACAATCATTGATATTGTTTAAAGATTTCGTTATCTTAGATTCATTTTTAGTAACATTTTTAGACAATTTTTGCTTTTGTTTGACTATATTTAAACTGTTTTTATTTGTTTTAACAATCGATTTATAGTTACCATACCCTTCATTATTCTTGTTATTTTTGTTTTTAGTAAAACCTCTTTTATTATTAATTGCAGATTTTTGGGAGAATTTTCTTAACTCACAAAACAATTTTTCGTGTCTTCTGAGTTCAACTTCATTATAAAAAGACAATTTACACCCATTATTGTGACATAAGTATTGTTTTTGTTGTTGTTTTGGTTTAATAATATAATCGTTGGATATGTTATTGTTGTTATCATCACAACTCTGTAGAGATTCATTAAACTTGTCTTTCCAAACATCGCTATTATAATAGGGACAGATATGTGTGTTATGAATATGTCTCTGAAATAAATAACAAATCAAATTAATTACCGGTAATCACTAAATTATTGCATATAATGTAAATTTTTAATCAATTAAATGTTATATAACTATACAATTACCCGAATACCCGATGAATGGACTGTTGTAGTGTTACAGTCGGACCATTTGCATCGATAGGCCTTTATGTTTGTGTCTGTGACCACCTTTTCTCGATATTTGTTAATATTTCTATTACTACAAACACCAGTAACTCCTTTGCATCCAAAGTTGCAGACATGACATTTCTGGTGTTCACGCCATGAGGTAGCCGTGCGGAAAATTTTACCGCAATTGGTTTGAAAGCACTTGAGATAGACGCCAATATGAGCCGTATGGATATGAATACAAAGTGCTTGTCCGCGTTTAGACCGATAGTTACACTTATCATTGTAACGACAGTAATACCATTTGACGCCATCCACTACTTTGCAGTCAATGTGATCCTTCAATTTCTTAACACTTGCCATACCTTTGAGACTTAACCGACCGTTTTGGCCGACACTGACATCAATCAAATTGCTTACAAATGACTCAAACTTTGAATTATCGTTATTTTTCATTTCAATTGGCATATCATTCAATTTATTCATATCTTTCGCTGCAGTTTTACTTTTCTCATACTTTGCTGTATTTCTTGAAATTTCTGAATTGCATTCAAACTTAACGACTGACTCGTTATGATTGAATATTTGATGACAAATACTATCTGTTTTCTGAATATTTGTGTCAGTCTTGTCATTCAAATGCTTATTCATAATATGTCGTTTCAATTTGATTCTCAGATCAGTCTCGAAGTGACAGTCACTCCAATTGCAGAAATGTATGTCTTTGCTATCAATTTGTTTCCTTTGAATCCATTGTTCCCAACCGTTATTCAATGAGTTTATATCGACTTTAGGTAATAAATTGTCGGTATTTTCGCAATCATTAGAATTATTGGATTCTTCTGACAAATCGATAACAACTCGAAAATCAATTTGTTTTTCTTCTTCTTCCTGACATTGAATGTCTAAAAAACAAAACATAAATTATTAGTAAAACCGTAACAAAATTGCTATAAATGTTTTGCATACCATTGATATCATTGTCATTATCAACCAAATCTTGGACCAAATGTAGACTTAGATGATTAATCATAACTGATTCATCAATTTCTGTTTGTTCACAGTTTTCATATTTACAGACAAACCGTTTGTTGTGGCCATCGATGACTAGACATTCATAAAACTGGTTATCAAGTGTTTTATTACCGTCGCAGTCGTCTTCATCGATGGTCTCAATGTTATCCATTGGTGTTGTGTTGTGTTAATACAAGTTTGTATTAATAATAATAAGACCACATGTTTGTAGTCAACTGTGACAACACATTACATCAATTTTTTTAATCCCAAAAAATAAATGTTTACTTATTTAATATAATATTAATATTATTTAACATTTAATATATGATAACAAAAACAAAACTTTTCGATAATTACAGTAAAAATAGTTTTAAATTTAGTTTTAAATATTCTATTAATACTCTATTACTGTTAGGGTTAGATCAGATTCCATCCCTCGTCTTATTTTCCATAAGTTCCTTATATTCCCTGTTCCCTGGGAATTCCCTGGGAAGACATTTCCTTGTGGTACCACCTATCGTACCCTAACTCACTTTACATAATGTTTAATTAAAAACACGTTTGTATAGTAAATGTCTACAAAATGTATTTAATGTTTTTACTAAATATTTAATAATATTTGAATCATATTTTGATTGAGTTATTACTAACATACTGGTCCCAATTGAAGCACATAGTCATTGAGATTAGGTATTTTTTAATGCATGACAAATTATATATTCCCTTTCTAACGATCAAGGGAGGGAATATAATATATTTTCCATATTTTCCGGGAAAATTGGAGGGATTTTATTTGGGAACTTCCCTCCCTGGGAATCTCAATCTAACCCTAATTACTGTATAGTATTGACAAATGCATTGAAAAGTTTATGATATTTAATACAATTCTAGGGACCATTCAATAAATGCAAAATTGTTTACTACAGTATGTAAACGTATAAATTGGACAGTAATACCTTGGTGCAACAACTTTATCCAATAGATGTCTATCTAATGCAAGTCTATGCAAATACAATGATATCATAGTATTGTCTAAATGCATATGTAGTCTATGAATAGCATAAAAACACATATTTTCAACTATTATTTTTTTAATCAAATCTAATATTATAATTGAAATTTTTTATTTAAAAAGTGTTATTACTATAAATAAATAAAATATAAATAAAAAATTTCAATTATAATATTAGATTTGATTAAAAAAATAATAGTTGAAAATATGTGTTTTTATGCTATTCATAGACTACATATGCATTTAGACAATACTATGATATCATTGTATTTGCATAGACTTGCATTAGATAGACATCTATTGGATAAAGTTGTTGCACCAAGGTATTACTGTCCAATTTATACGTTTACATACTGTATATCAACATTTATTATAGTAACCGTAATTATAAAAATTAATATAAAGTACATTGATCATTTTACTAAATAATATACATTTTATATTAATATAATTTTTTTGTAATAATTGTACAAATGTCACAAATTTATCCAAATTGTTTTTTTGTTGAATAATAATTATTGTTAAAATTGAATTACTTTACAATGAATATGTTATTCAAAACAAAATATCATTTATAATAACAATATTTATAACTTATTACTTATAAATTATAAGCCAAAGTACAGCAAAATATTATTATTATTATTAGTTTAGTTATCAGTGATTATCGTATACTAAGTATACTATACAGTAGTATTCAAATATTCTGTAGTATACTATACTGTATGCTAATTGTATACAAAGTTTGTGCAAATATAACAAATGATAAGTTTATCATTAAATCCCTTTAGTGAACAACATTTACATTTGTCATACAGACTGTCATCACTGATCATCAGTTGTTGGCAAAGACAAAGTGTATGTATAATACAATGTAAACTATATGACAATTTTGGATTACAAACAAATTTTAGCGCCACTTAATAACAAAAATACTAAAATTCACAAACAAACACAAGTTTTGTAATAATAATTATTTTGAAAAAATTTGAAAATAACTTCAATTTAATTCTGGTAATGAAATATATTAATAAAATAATTAATATTAATTTTTATTAGTTTTAGAAAACAACTATTCTAATAATGATATTAAAATTATGTAATTTGTAATATTTTATAATTATTAATGTAATTTTTCTATAATTGTAAAATACATTGTATTTTACAAATCCAAAACTGAAAACCTTGTATTTTTCCAACCCATGTGATCACTATTTCATAATCAATTGTAACGTATACTACATTATCTTAAGCTAATTTAGTTATAAAGTATTTTTGTATTTAAATTCTCAGTAATTTTGTATATATTTATTTTGTATCCTATTTTGTGCTCAATTCCTAGTATTGATTTCACACAATATCCCTAATACTTACCGTTCCCTATACTAACCGTTTGTTGATCTCAAACCACTGACACCAAACTACCCGTTCAACGGTTCCAATATTCAAACTATCCAATGATAGCTAACCTATCCCTACACCTACCAGTTCTCTCTCATAAAACTATAAATAGTGTGTTGTGGTTAGTAAGTTAAACTTATGGATCAGTTGTCTAGCGTGGGTCGGTATGAGACCAATAACAGATAGTTTCCCTCAATTCCCACAACGGTATCAATTGATCGGTCAAAGACTTCTCAATTGATTTAGTGATCACTTGAAAGGCACTTTATGTGTCAATCAAAATGATGTACAGATCTGCAGTAGTGGTGACCGGAGTGTAGGCCAGGGATCGATCCGTTAGTACTATTGATAACTTCGATAACTTGTATGGATGGCCAGCGAAATGGTAGACTTGAAGTGGTAATCGATCAAACAATGCTTGAGATGAATGATAGTGTGGATGTGATGATGGATCCAGTGATTAGGTGCAGACAATAACTTAGACACAGTTTAGTTACAATACTTTATTATACTTAAGACAATTAAAATAGTAGTTAAAACAATGGTTATAAAAGTAGTATAATTTAAGAGCACATGTATGTGAATGCAATGGTGTGTACAGTATAATGACTGATAGTAATGGTGTTTAGGATTGCACTGCCTGTCTGGTGTGTCAGTACTGGTATTTATAAGAGAGGAATGTATAGGTATTTGGTGTACGGCTATTGGTTTGTTTGAATATAAGGACAGTTGTATTGATCGATCACTTGGCGCCAGTTATTGGTGTCATTGATCGATCATTCATAGGAAAAGGTAGGTATAGAGCGATCAAATCAATAAATGAATTAAAAATAAGGGATTAAATGCACAAAAATAGGTATCAATAAAATAATACAAAAGATAAACATTAAAATTAAGGCTAAATAAAATATAAAATATGAGTTTCTCAACAAGTGTATTACTTACACCTACTTTAGTACAGTGCCAGCCGTCATACACAACAGTCATACCTGACTCTCATACCATACTGTACTCACATCATACATGTGCTCCACTGATAGCACCATTTTAACCATACAATCCATTGTATCCTCAATTGTCTTAAACTAATCAATAAATTGTTATAATTATCTTATACTTGTGTTAATCATACCATTCATAGCCATCGCTGTTATCATTATTGTAACTATCATCTAAAGAGTCCAACCGGTTGTACACATCATTCAAGACATACATACAACCCGGTTGTCCATCAACTCTAACCTACCGTTCCGTATCGCGTGATATCAAGAGATAGGACAGACATCCAGATTGGGATCAGCTCTAGCTTTACGCTTGGCCACCACTACTGCAAGTGATCAACCCTTTTATCATCCGATAGGTCTCACACCGACCCTTCAGGTGATAATCTATAAGCAATTGGTTGATAATCGGTTGTAGGTCTCATACCGACCCACGCATAACAACCGGTGCTCTCCTATTCCTCTAAGTTGTGTATCAAACATCAAACCGCAGTTCAACACAATATAATATGATATGCCTGTGATATACGATATCATATAAATATATGTATTATTAGTAAATTATATTTTACTCAACAATAATTGGGTTGTTATATAGTATAGCTCCCACTTGTTGTAACGACATTAATATTTAATATATTTAATTAAAAAGTTTATAGTCTCGCGTGTTCTAATTGTTTTATTTAATATCGGTATAAATAAATATGTTTATATAACAAATAAGTAAAAAATAATAATATGTATTAATAATTAATTTTTAATTTATAATTAAATTTATAATTTTTTATATAATAAATGAAGAAATACTGTATAAAATAGTAATATCATTAAAAAATAGGTTAGGTTTCAAGGCGAACACCATGTTAGGTAACGGAGCGAACACTAATACATTAGGTTAGGTTAAGTTAACATTTGTGTAATACCATTATAATTAGGTTAAGGTTGCGGATCGAACACCAGGTTAGGTAACGGAGCGAACACTAATACATTAGGTTAGGTTAAGTTAACATTTGTGTAATACCATTATAATTAGGTTAAGGTTGCGGATCGAACACCAGGTTAGGTAACGGAGCGAACACTAATACATTAGGTTAGGTTAAGTTAACATTTGTGTAATACCATTATAATTAGGTTAAGGTTGCGGATCGAACACCAGGTTAGGTAACGGAGCGAACACTAATACATTAGGTTAGGTTAAGTTAACATTTGTGTAATACCATTATAATTAGGTTAAGGTTGCGGATCGAACACCAGGTTAGGTAACGGAGCGAACACTAATACATTAGGTTAGGTTAAGTTAACATTTGTGTAATACCATTATAATTAGGTTAAGGTTGCGGATCGAACACCAGGTTAGGTAACGGAGCAAACACTAATACGTTAGGTTAAGTTAACAATAAATCATTAAATAATAATGATTTTTTGCCACATTTGAGTTTCAATTGAGATCAATTAACAAAATAATAAACTTTTATTTATCTATAAAAATTAATTGTAATTCACGCGACAATAATATTAGAATTAAAATATATAATTAAATAATAAACTCGTGAACAACAAGTGGGAGCTATACTATATAATCCCCAATAATTGAAACAAAACATTTAAAAAATAAGTTTTTATGTATTTTTGATTAAAAAGTATTGCTTATTATAATTCAACAAATATTTCTTGTATTAAATACAGTATAAAATATAAAATTTTGTTATCAATATCAATATAAAGTTTATATTGTTGCTGTATTACTGTATATAGTTTTAAACTATAAATAGTAAAACTATATAGAGTATTATTGTTTTAAAAACAAATATGATTTCATACCTTTAAACTAATATTAAGACAATGACTTATGTATTAATACAATATATATAATATTTTTTGGAACAAATCTATATTATAGACAGCCAGTAGAAAATTTTTTGCTGGCTGTCTATAATATAGATTTAAGCCTATTTTTTATCTAAATATGATAAAACGGAACAAATCTAGATTATAGACAGCCAGTAGACAATTAATTGCTCCAAACCTATACCCACCCACCCAACCACTTCCTAACCTCACACTCACCCCAAACTAACCTAACTAATTAATAATTAAGTAATAAAACTATCATTTTATATATGAATAACTGCATAAAAACAATACTTTTTTTGCTGGCTGTCTATAATATAGATTTAAGCCGATAAAACTATTAATATCTCTAAAACTACCATTTTAATGCTAATTTAATTTATAGATAGACTCCCCGATTGATGAATCATAAAAATTATTTTAAATTTTATATGTAATTATTAATAGTTAGATCCATGTAATAAAATGTGTATAAATAGTTAACACGTGCAACAATACTCTCTCTCTCTCTCAATCTATCTCTTTACTAAACAATGCTTTCACGCGCTATATATAATATACAGTGTATTATAAAAAGTATATTTTATTTAATTTTTTTTTATTTAATAAATTAAAATAATTAATAATCGCCGACACATCAAAAGTAATTGTTTGTGTGACAGAAAATGGCACAAACATTGAACAAATTATATAGTAGTATAGATTATGAAAAATATTTTTTATTTAAAAACTAAATGTTAAAAAATTTAAATTTAATTTTTACAAATTTAGATAAATTATAAAATATTATTTTTAATTTACAAATCGGGGGTGAATTTATAAAATAAAAGAAATCTGATTAAAATTTGTCAAATATTAAGAGTTTTCGAGATATTAATAGATATTAAAATCTTATACTTATAAAAAAACTGTATATAAGATGTTAAATATATAATTATTAATATATAAATTTTGATACAGATTTGGTTTTAAATTAAAACTTAATGAAAGGACACTTTTATTAATATATTTCATATTATATGTTTGATTATTAAAAGAGTATATAAGTATAATATATGATATTAAATCATTTTTATATCAAACTAATTGCTAGTTTCAAATATTTCAAATTATAACATGAATTAACTCAAAGCCATAATTGAATAAAATTTATATTTTGCTTATAATTAAAATAGTTGTCATAAATATATAAAATATTTAAGTATTAATATTATATAGTATTATACGCTGTACTGTATATACTGTATATAAATGTAAGTTTAGTGACCAAAGTATTCATACAAAACATTTGAATTATTATAAAAAGTTATATAATATTTGATACCTATTATAGAGACCGACCTCTATATTCATCCCATATTAAGCACTAAAACTTATAAATTAATGTAAAATACAATATTTAATGTATAGTACAGTATATAAGTTATATAATACTTTATAACCAAACATATTATATGAGTCATAATAATTACATTTTTTAAACAAACAAAAAATAAATGTTTTCAAGTTATGATAATTAAATGGTTATAATTAAAATAAAATTAATAAAACTAAATAACAGATATTGTATTCAATATACAGTGTATACTGTTTTCAAATGATTTAATTGAAATCATTTTTTTTATTAAATACTTTATAATATTTTGATGTATTATAGAGTGAGTTATGTATTGAATACAGTATTTACAGTGAAGTTGACTAACGATTGTTGAGTTCAATAGAATGTCAATACAATGATTGCGTGAATGCATTGCATTGACTCACAGTTTAATATATGTTTATGTGTTGTCAATGAACTCTATATGAGTGACAAATGGGAAGCACTTGAGGGCACACTATCTGAGACATTGACATCAATGACACCAATGATACACCAATTCCTACTAATTATCAACAAAAGTGACCTAATTTGGTGATGTCTTAACACAAGACAATGTCATTACCATAAGATGCCTAAAAGTGACAGTAAAGTCGGTACACAACTGACACAAGAAAGTCGACTCATCATACAAGACATGGATCAGTTGGATGAGTATATTGATGTACGAATCAATAATAATAAACAACGGTTTGCCTGCAAATGGACTGATTGTCACTTTGAGTCCAATCAGAAGAGTTGCATTCAAAGACATATCCGCAATAAACATCTAAATGATATCATTACTGATGATCAACAAAGTGGTGAATCAAAGTATTGGGAAAAGATTGAGAACTCAAGTAAAAGTTGGTTCAAGAAGTCAAAGAATAACAAACAAATAGATATCATCAATGAAGAAGTGACACAAAAAGTTAATAACGATAACGAAGAAGATTTAGTTAATGAACGACAAGTTTTGGTGTCATTTACCGGTGATGACGATGTAAAGCCAACTTTAAAAGATTTTTTTGTTAATGATAATCAATGGTTTGAGAGATTATCATCGATGGCCGAAATGCAATCGTTTCAATCATTAAGTAGTAACGAAATTAAACAAAACATAGATGAAGAAGAATCGATTAAGACTCACTTGAATATCAGTAATAATGAAGAAAATATTCTTCTGAGTTGTAAAGGATTGGTAAGTAATGATTGATAACTTGAATTGATTTTAATTAGTTTTAATTTATTGAATTATAGGCTTCGATGTCGAAAGTGAGACAATATTATGAGAGTCAAGTGATAAACGGAGAGAAATTCTTTTTGTGTAAATGGCAGAGATGTGAGTTCAAGACTAAGAAGAGTCAAAAGATAGCACAACATATAAATCTGTCTCACATTGGAGTCGAGTTTAAGTGCAATAAACCTAATTGTAATAAAGTATTTAAGAATCCAAACACATATCGAGAACACCAGAAGAATCACATTTGCGGGTTCGGTATATTTGGTTACGGATCTAAAGGAGTGATCGGTGTTTGTCGTAATGAAAATTTGAATAGATATCGGGAGAGAGTGATCATCGACTCGAAGAAGTTTTATCGATGCAAATGGGAAGACTGTAATGCTATTACTCGATATCATATGGCAATGAAACGTCATCTTCACGGGTATTATATCAGATATTTTTAAAAAAAATGATGGAATGGTATAAAGATTATAATATTTGTATGTATTTTGTATAGTCATGTGTGTCCTTATCGGGTAAATCTGAAGCTAAAACAGAACCAACAGGTGATAAGTGATATGAAATCAGATAATTGGAATCTGGATTTGGGTTTGGGTTCGGGTTCAATACCGTCGACTTCAACGACATCGATGAATGAGATGACCGGTGCCGAAGACATGAGCTCATCATCGTTGTCAGTGTCATCTGATTCTAACAGTGATGCCATACATCATACAAATAAAAATACAATTAAGAATAATAAGACAACATATCAATGTCGAAGACCGAAATGTGGCCAAAGTTTTGTGTCAAATGAAGATCTAATAAAACACGAAAACTTTTTGTGTGAATTGATTAAAAAACAAAATAACAATTCGATGAATGAAAATAATTTGATGGAAAATATGTTAGGAATGAGTCCGAAAAGTATGGATATGAATGAAACTAATGGTTACACAAGTATTATGCAAAACACATCGATTGCAAACATTGAAATGATGGCAAATGTGGACAAATATATTAGCAAAACAATGACCAATGGAGTTATGTATTACTTATGTATTTATGATAATTGTCAATACAATTCAAAGTTATTGGATAAAACAATTGAACACATCCAGAGTCAACATTTATCTGAAATTAACTTAAAGCTTAATAAAAATCAAAATATAGCCAACAGTGAAATAAATGATAATTTTTGTGTTCAGCAAAATGGCACAAAAAGATCTGCTATTTCATTGAAAACAGAATCTCAGGAATCAGAAAATTTAGCCAAAAAATCTAAAAATAATATCATTATAGATGTAAGTACTTCATCATCAAATCAATCATCACTTTCATCAACAACATTGGGTACAAAAATAGCTAAAGTCATGTTTGAAAAACATACTATCAATGGACAGACATTAATATTCTGTTCATACAATAGCTGTGAGTTTTTTACAAAAGCAATGAATGAAATGGAAAGACATGCGAATGAAATGCACACTCAGTTGTATGTTTGCGATGTGACCGACACTTGCGGTAAACAGTTTAGGACAGCAATTGCCTTAACTCAACACAAATTGAATCATATCTGCGGCTTCAATATAAAGGGTCGCAAACCAACCGGTGTTTGTGATTTGGATAACATTAGGAAATATAGAGATGAAGTGGTTGTCGACAATCGACTGATATATCCGTGCAGATGGTGTCCGGACGTAACATTTGATAACCGATTGATAGCTTTAGCGCACATTCATAACCGACATATCTGTCCCAATAGATTGTCCACTTTAAACAATAAACATTTATCAAAACTAAGTGCAAATAATGAAACAAATTAATTGACAAATATTTATACAACAAAATGCAATACTGTTTAACTTATTTCGGATTATTTTATTGTTATTTCATAACTTGATATGATTATTATAAATATATTTATTTATTTTAAATATAAAACATAATTAACCAGTAATAATAATATTGAAATTTATTGACGAAACAATAATATGAATTTTTAGTTTAATTAAATAATAGAAGAATTCGTATCATTAATTAATTAGTAAATTTTAATAATATTTTGATTTATTACTAATCGTTAGTTTTTTAAAACAATTCACAAATTTCCTGCAAGTCTTCAAAATAACAGTTATTAACAAAATTTAAGAATAATTATAACAAAAATTGATATTTTTTTATATAATTATATCAAACAATATTAATGTTTGATTGTTTTATTCATATATTTTTAGCCATTTGTTTTTACTTTTTTTAAATATATCTTTTTTCGTATATTTTTAAAATTATTTCTATACTGAAACATGTAATTGTGTTGTTTTTATTAAAGAATTTTAATTAAAAAATCTGACAATAAATAATAATTAACTATTAATAAATTGTTTAATTTATTTAAAAATGTATAAATATATTTATTTATTAACTATATACAAGTATTAGTAAAAAAATCAACATGATTTATTTTTAAATAAAAATTTACAAGGTGATATGTCTTAAAATGATAAAATCAAATAATGTCTATTATTACTACATTGATTATGATAACAATTTATAATAATAATAATATTTATGCTTTAATGTAATAGAAAATATGCGGCAAATATAACAAAATGTAGAATTGTTTACTAAAAAAATGATGTGGGTCATATTTATAATATTGTTAATGTTTAATTATAGCTTATGATATCAATGCAATACATCTACCGTATATATACAGTATAATTGCATAATAAAATCAATGTTAACTCAATTCCTAATATAAAACTCATACAAATTATATATATATTTATATGATATAATACATTAGCTCTCACTTGATATTACCCCTCGAACTCCCATTTTAGTGGATGTGTTTGATGTCGACCTCTCCCTAAGCAGCCTTTCCACTATCTATTCAATATACAGTATATGCATACAATAAATTTACTTAAAAGAAACCATTCAATTAATGAGTCGACCCTAATATAAGACACGACTTCTCCAATTATATACAATTTTGTGGTAAATGTATTAAAACTACATCTTTTAAGAGGTAAGGGATTTAAAATTGAAATGGCATTCAAATAATATTTATCACGAATTTCTAGAAAAAAGTTTTTACAGAAAATATGTGAAACAAAACAAAAAGTCAAATATTAAAAGCAGTGTAAAGTACTGTACAGTATATCACTAAATAATAACAATATCATTGTAATAGTGCTTAAAATATTGCAAATTTCAATCTACCAGTGCTTAGGAATACCAGGAATACTGTATAGAAATACTGTATAGAAATAGTTTTGTAAATTTTAGTCAAAATTGAGACTCAATGACAATACAATCCCTAATATATTATTGCATACTATTATACCTTTCAATATACTGTATAATAGTATTATGTATTGTGTTATGAAATTGAATGCATTATTAAATTGATTGCAATGTCTTTGTGTTAAATGTCTTGTATTTTGACCACAAAAGTCTTGATTCATGTCTACCATCACTTGATTTGGTCGACAATTGTTTAACCGCCGCCATAGTGGCCATCTATTGTCAGTGACACCAATTGAATCATCGGAACAATTAGTGTCCCGCAGATAATGGACACCGACATCACCTGTCACTCAATGTATGCTAAAGACACCGATAAAGACGTGTTTGTCTGTCGACATAAGGACTGTCACTACGAGACAGCAGATGAAAATGATGTTCAAATACATTGTACACGACATACACATCGAGACAACACCGATGACAACAAAACCGGTATTTTTACTCAACTTTTCCTATAATTCTTTTTTTGTTTGAATTTGCTGTTGAATGTGATTAATAGATGCACTTGAAGTGACCACGGCTGAGAACGGCAACGATTTGATGACAATGAGGAAAACGGGTCGATATGTCTGTGAGGTTCCTGATTGTGGCAAACATTTCTCGTATTTAAAATGTTTTGAAAGTCATAAACGTAACGAACATTCGGTGAACGAAAATAATGGTACAAACAGTAGGGATCAGTTGGTTAAGAGTGACAATAGTTGGGAATTATATGTCGATTGCAGGGAAACGGACGGCACTAACAAATTATTCTGCAAATGGCCGGACTGTCTGTTTGGGTCTAACTTACGAATGGTTCTCAAACAACATATTATAAATAATCATTTGACACAAAAGCGGATCAGATGTCCTCCAAAGACACACAATGAATACGAATATTGGGATAAATTATTATTTGACAAAAAGGGAGTCAGACTTTCCAGTGAAAAACAAACTACCGGTAAATCACCCGTTCAGACAAATAATGGGACAAAGGTTGCGACCAACAAACCAAACAATACAACACCGCGACAACAAAAAGAAATTAAAAAATCAGTTTCTTCTGTTAAACAACAGAAACGACAACAACAATCACAATCAAAGACTCAAATGAAAAGTCAATTGAAAATTCGATCTAAACTTCATTTAAAAACTCAATTAAAAGCTCAACCGAAAAGTCAAATTAGACCTCATTTACCAAAACTTGCGCCTAATTTACAAATTATTAACTTAAATACAACAGAATCTGTTTGTCCGGATTCGGACAGTAAGCTGTTAGAGAAAAGACGTATCAGTATTGATAAAAACAGAAGTGATGTTTTGTTGAGCTGTAAAGGATTGGCGAGTATGGCGAGTGTTACCCAATATTTTAACAAACGTTTAATCAATGGAGAGAAGATCTATTGGTGCAAATGGGGTGGTTGTCAGTTCAAGACCAAAAAGAGCCAGAAGATTGCCGAACATATAAATCTGTCACACATTGGTGTCGACTTTAAGTGTAATAAACCTAATTGTAATAAAGTGTTTAAAAACCCGCATTCGTATCGCGAACACCAAAAGAATCACATTTGCGGATTCGGCAGTTTTGGCTATGGATCTAAAGGAGTGATCGGTGTCTGTCGTAATGAAAATCTTTTCAAATACAGGGAACGAATTATAGTAAAGGGGAAAAAATACTACAGATGTAAGTGTTGTCACGCAATCACTAAATACTTCACCGGAATGAAGAGGTAATGCAATTAAGTTACCGGTAATTACGGTAATGTTTTTCTAAACTATTTATTTGTAATAATTTTTATACATTCAGACACATTCATTCTCAACATATCTGTCCCTTTCGTATGAATCTTCATCTGACTAGACATCAGACACCAATGGCTATAAAACAAGAGATTATGGATTTGGATATTGATTTTGATTTATTCAATAATCAACAATTCATTTGTTGTCTCAAATGCAACGAATTTTTCGATTCTAAAGAGCAGTTAAAACAACACCAGACGTTGTTTTGTCAGTTCAAAGACAGGACTGTTAGTGATATTAAAATCGAAAATTCAGATGATTTTAATTCAAATGATCAATTAAGTGATAACTTTGATGGCAATAATGATACTAATAATATAACTAATAATTGTAATAATAATAAAAATAATAATTCTCAAAATAATAGACTTAAACTTAGCGAACAAATTAGACGTAACGTCAATGCAATTAACGAAAGCATTGCTAAAAACTTATCACTAAATAATCAAATAAAGAGAAAACAGAATTCTCAACAAAACAACCAATCGATTGATATTTATATTCAAATTAAAGAATTTGAAAATACAATCTATTATTGCTGTCAATACGATGACGACTGTAAATATGTTACACCACTTAAGGACAAAATAAATGATCATATATTACACCATTTGAATAGTGGATCGACTTTCGGTCATTCCGGTGAATCTTACGATTACTTAAATCCTATTTCAATATTTGAGCCCCAGATTAAAGTTGAACCAATTGATTATGAAGACAGCGATGGCTTTACTGGTTTGACTGATAACTTAGATGTAAAGCCGTCGACATCGGGTTTACAGAGTATTCAAACAAATTATACGAATATCGAAAAATTTATAGAAATCAAGTGTATAGACGGCGATCCAAATTATTTTTGCGTTTATAATACACTTAAATGCAAATATTATACTAAAGAATTTGTTGATATTAAGAATCACATTAAGGAATCGCATGTTTTATTTGAATGTGATATTAAAGATTGTGGCAAACATTTTAAGAATTTGATTGCTTTGAACGCTCATAAAGTTAACCACATTTGCGGATTTGGTATCAAAGGTCGCAAATCCAATGGTGTCTGCAGTTTGGATAATATCAAGAAGTATTGCGACGAAAAATTGTTTAATAATAATATAGTCTATGCGTGTAAATGGACGGACTGTAAGTTTGTGTCCAAAACTCGTAATAATGTTCTCAGTCATAGCCATCACAAGCATATCTGTCCCAATCGCATGTTAGCTAACAATCAAAAGAAACCGATAATTAATTTTCGCAAAACTAAAGCATTTAACGATCGGACATCTCCTCCGACAGCATTGCCATTGATTGATGAGTCGCACTGTGAGAGCAATTCATCACTGGATTCAATGGGCAAAACAGAACCCGAAGTTTTGGGAACATTTGGCACTCAAGAAAGTCTCGACAATTTTGTTAAATATAGTGAAGAAATTATGGTCGACAATAAAACAGTATTTGTATGCCATTATCCCAACTGTTTTGTTACCGTTCCTCGAAATCGATCGTATTCTCCGGGAATTCTCGATAAATACACCTCTTATGTCACCGATTTTAAAGTATGTCAACCTATTTATGTCTTTAAAAATGTCAATTTTATAGTTATGTATTTAAATAAATAATTTTTTTGTTCATTTTATAGCATAATATGATTCGACATATTAGACGTCATTGTAAGTACTTATATTTATATTTAAGTTTTTAATTTCAAAGTTTGAATAATTTTTATTTTTTCTTCTAAATATTTTGCAATTATTTAGGTAACGACAAGCCGTTTGTTTGCGGTATAAATGGTTGCGAAAAGCGGTTTAGTTGTTCGTCACAACATAAGAGCCATCAGTCGAGTCATTCTTTACGTTAAAACAAATCTTAATCTAATCCATCAAAACTATGGCTTAACTTATTTATTATTATTTGTCAAAATATTTATATACAGTATTTATAATTTATAATATCAACAAAAAAAAATAAAAACAATTCATGTCTTCGAGTGTTTCATCATTTGTTTTACGGTAAAAATAGTATTGTTTTTCTAAATTATTTAATTTGCATTATAATAATCTGTTTAATGATTCTTATTATTTTACAATTATTTATTGAAAACAAAGTTTTAACTTATAATGTGTTATTAAAACTTTCTTTTTATTTGATGAGTAGTTGCTTTTAAATAATATTTAGAAATAAAAATGAAATTATTATACAAATTTTGTTCCTTAAGAGAGTTATGCTCTAAAAACATTTATTTTTCAAACTTTTTGTCGAAATTTATTTTTAATAAAAATGCGTTTAACAAAAATATAACAAAATTTATTCATTTGTATAATTATCTAATTGTAATACTACAGTATTATCACCAAAAACACTATATTCTGTACATTATATAAGTTAAAGGTATATAACATTGTGTTAAAATGTGGACAAAGTCTACCAACAACTTATAATTGTGTGTTAGAATAGATGTGTAAATGGAAAAGGGATGACAAGGAAAGGTATGGCAGGGAAAGTGATGACTGGAAAAGGGATGACAGGGAAAGGGGTGGCAGAGAAAGGAATGACAGAGAAATAGATGACAGGGAAAGGGATGACACTATTTCTCTAAACTATTATTTGTTTCTTCATTTGTACACAATTGCTTTACAAATTTTAGATATTATTTTTTCATAAAATTGTGTAAAATTAAAGGATTTTAGTCAACAATTAACCAAAAGTTGACTAAAAGTTGATAAAAGTTAATAACAAATTAAAAAGTTATTTATAGGTAATATAAAATTTTGTAACAATTTTTGCTTATTTTATTTGATAAACTCATATATTTAATATGAGCTTATTCTCCGATATCGGTAAAAATAGTTGAATAACTTCAAATGCAAAGCCTATTAATAATATATATATATATATGTATGTATAATATTTGATTTAACAATAAATATATAAATATTTTTGATATATACTGTATATGTTTACTGTTTAAACAAATATACTGTACAGTAGTTCCGGTAAATATTTGATATTTATTAGGCAAACGATTCTTTAGAATTATTATTTTTAATATTTCACATAAACTGATATATTCTATATTAAAAAAAATTATTTTAATTTTTAAAATATTTAGTATTAATTTTCAAAATTTTCAGTCACTCTCATTCTTAATTTATTGACATAAATGTGAAATATTTTGAATAATTAAATATTAATTTAATAAATTTATTGAATTTAAATTTATTTTTAAATATTTCAATATTTTTTTGCAAAATATTTAAGTTTTTATAATTTATTATAATATTAATAATAATATAAAATATATTTTCCATTCCAACGATCAAGGGATGGAAAATATAATATTTTCCGAGAAAATTGAAGGGATTTTTTAAAGCAATTCCCTCCCATTGAATGTTTATCGAACTCTAATTATGATATACTTTACAATGTATAATAAATTGCCAGTTTGTCACTTATAATATGCATATAAAAACTATAAATATATTAATTATTTGTTAATCCATTTAAGATAAAAGCAAACTATTATGGATTATATTGTAATACTATATAAAGTTTATTATTATAATACAATACTTACGAATTTGCCTGAAAATTGCTATAAAATTATCCATTCATTTGATTGTTTCACTTAAATATGGTTTTTGTGAAACCAGTGTCTGTTGTATTAGAAATAATTTTATATAATTTATAAATGAACGATAACTAAATGTTTTGTAAATATTTCATTTAATTTATTATCCATAAATACATTAATATATTAGCTCATAAATAATAAAATGAATAATAAATAATTTAAGTGACAATAAATAATTAATAATTCATATATAATGTGCATAACTATTAATAATTAAATAATATGTATATTTTTAAAATTAGTAAAATTTAAGGAATAATCCAAATAATAAATCCAAAAAATAAAATAAAAACAAATATTAGCATTTTTCTATATAAATAAATATTAAATATATATTTAAACTAATAATTATGGTTTAAAGACTAAAAAACAAATATATTTCAATAAATTATAATAACATTTGTTTGCTGTTTGTTAAACTTTTTGTTGTTGTTTATATAGTTATCTTCAAAATTGGTAGAAAAATGAGTATTAAATAAATTGCTTTAAACATTATGCAGTTTTATATTGTATGTATATATATATATAATTGCATTAAATATATGAATGTATATATTATATATTATATTAATATATTAGCTATTTATAAGAAGACTTAACTTAAGGAAGAAATTATATTTAAGAATATATATTATATTTGATATATATTTGCAAACATTTAGACAAACAATAAATTATATTAAATATCATTTTGTTTTTTTAAAAATTGCATTCAATTTTACAATTAAATTAATTGTAAATCTGGTGTCAAAAGAGAAGACTTTATATCAATATGAATGGTATGTGAATGGCGTCTAAAAAAAGAAGTACTTTAAAGCTTTTCTGCATTTGTTTCAAATACTTCGATTGTTTTGATTGTATTGACAGATGTTATCATAATTTGGTTCAATTGATTTGGCTTTTTGCGGTTCGAATCGACAATTCTCTGATCAATATTACGATTAAAAGATTGTATATTTTGAGTACCAGTGGACAGTCGGTTAGGGCACAAGTGTTTGTTATGAATGTGTGCCAAAGCAACTGATCGGTTATCAAATGTTACGTCCGGACACCATCTGCACGGATATATCAGTCGATTGTCGACAACCACTTCATCTCTATATTTCCTAATGTTATCCAAATCACAAACACCGGTTGGTTTGCGACCCTTTATATTGAAGCCGCAGATATGATTCAATTTGTGTTGAGTTAAGGCAATTGCTGTCCTAAACTGTTTACCGCAAGTGTCGGTCACATCGCAAACATACAACTGAGTGTGCATTTCATTCGCATGTCTTTCCATTTCATTCATTGCTTTTGTGAAGAACTCGCAGCCGTCGTGAGCACAGAATAATAATATCTGTCCATTGATGGTATGCTTTGAATATTGAATAGAATTTATGCCAATTCCTGTTGGTTTACCCGTTATAGTTGCTGTCGGTGTAGACAATGGTATAGAAGTGGTAATAACTGGAGACTGATTGCTATCATTAACTATGATTTCTATAGTTTTAGATCTTTTGTTAGAATTTTCTTTTAAGTTCTCCGATTCCTGAGATTCAGTTTCAGAACAATTAACGGAAATTCTTCGTTTAGTACCATTGCTTTGGATACAAGTGTTTTTTATATGCATATTGTTATTGTTGGCCCCGTTTAGAGATAAGTTAAGCTCTGAGTCGAAATGTTGACTCTGGATGTGTTCAATTGTTTTATCCAATAACTTTGAATTGTATTGACAATTATCATAAATACATAAGTAATACATAACTCCATTGGTCATTGTTTTGCTAATATATTTGTCCACATTTGCCATCATTTCAATGTTTGCAATCGATGTGTTTTGCATAATACTTGTGTAACCATTAGTTTCATTCATATCCATACTTTTCGGACTCATTCCTAACATATTTTCCATCAAATTATTTTCATTCATCGAATTGTTATTTTGTTTTTTAATCAATTCACACAAAAAGTTTTCGTGTTTTATTAGATCTTCATTTGACACAAAACTTTGGCCACATTTCGGTCTTCGACATTGATATGTTGTCTTATTATTCTTAATTGTATTTTTATTTGTATGATGTATGGCATCACTGTTAGAATCAGATGACACTGACAACGATGATGAGCTCATGTCTTCGGCACCGGTCATCTCATTCATCGATGTCGTTGAAGTCGACGGTATTGAACCCGAACCCAAACCCAAATCCAGATTCCAATTATCTGATTTCATATCACTTATCACCTGTTGGTTCTGTTTTAGCTTCAGATTTACCCGATAAGGACACACATGACTATACAAAATACATACAAATATTATAATCTTTATACCATTCCATCATTTTTTTTTTTAAATATCTGATATAATACCCGTGAAGATGACGTTTCATTGCCATATGATATCGAGTAATAGCATTACAGTCTTCCCATTTGCATCGATAAAACTTCTTCGAGTCGATGATCACTCTCTCCCGATATCTATTCAAATTTTCATTACGACAAACACCGATCACTCCTTTAGATCCGTAACCAAATATACCGAACCCGCAAATGTGATTCTTCTGGTGTTCTCGATATGTGTTTGGATTCTTAAATACTTTATTACAATTAGGTTTATTGCACTTAAACTCGACTCCAATGTGAGACAGATTTATATGTTGTGCTATCTTTTGACTCTTCTTAGTCTTGAACTCACATCTCTGCCATTTACACAAAAAGAATTTCTCTCCGTTTATCACTTGACTCTCATAATATTGTCTCACTTTCGACATCGAAGCCTATAATTCAATAAATTAAAACTAATTAAAATCAATTCAAGTTATCAATCATTACTTACCAATCCTTTACAACTCAGAAGAATATTTTCTTCATTATTACTGATATTCAAGTGTTTTTTCATTAAAGACGAATCCTTGTCATCAAAGCTTTTATTTAATCCATTATTTGCCGAACCATCGCCACTATTATGAGATTTAAATGATTGCTTTGCTGCCATTGATGACATCTTTTCCAACCACTGGCTATTATCCATAAAGACCTGATTTAGCGCTTGAGATGACTCAATAGAAAAAGGAGTTAAAATGGGTGGCGGGAAGTCCAGTAGCGATGCCTCCTTAGAATGAGATCCAATTTGTAACCAATTTTTATTTGAACTAAAAAGCTTTTCCCAATATTTAGATTCATTATAACTGTCTATCGGCTCAATAGGAGTCGTTTCTTTAAGATTCAAGTGTTTGTTCAATATATGCCGCGAAATGCCACTCTTCGTAGTGCTTTCGACTCCACAGTCGTTCCACTTACAGGCGAACCTGTCTTTTCCGTCCACAACCCGTACTTCGACTAACAGATCCAAATTTGTGTCATTGTTGTTGACATTATTGTTCATTTGTAAATTTGTTTCTGATTTTGTATTCATATGTAAGATCTCTCCCTCAATATTGTTTGGAAGATTCAATTCGTTTTCATTAAAAAATAAGCTTAAGTTTGGCTCCAATTTAACTAAAATTATATTTAAAATGAATTAATAAAGTAAATCAAAATATTAATAATATAATTATCGACAATCAATACCTTTAGCTGTGCATTGGTTTTGTTCATCCACTAAGTGTCGACTCAAGTGTTCAATAATATCGGTCTCTTGTGGTTCTGTATGTTCACAGTCTTTATATTTGCAAACAAACCATTCATTATTATTACTGATAACTGATTCGTAAAATTCTCTAAAATTTAATCCATTAATAGATTGCTCAGACTTTTGTGTCTTTTGTTTAACAAAAGAACTGTTAATTGAATCATTAATTGCATATTTAATGTCATTTTCAGACTTTGAAGATATTAAAGAAGTTTCCATCGATAAGTTGGAGATGTGATCAAACTTTTTGTGTTTAAAAAGAGCTGACTCGTCATCAAACTGAGCGCTGCACTGATCACAAGTGTAACCATAAATGCCTTTATGGGCGTTCAGTATGTGTTTGGTTAGTGTGGCCATGGATTTAGTGGACAGGTGTCCACATTTGCACTCATATATCAACTCATTATTGACTAATCTTTTTATGAAATATCGACTAAAATTTTCGAGTTTAATGTTTACAGATTTCATATCTGATTCCATTCCGTTATAAATATTGCCTAAAGAGTTGCCATTCATTTGTGATACGGGACTATCACTTCGGGAAAGACCTTTATGTATGTCTTTAACTGCTAATGAGTTACTGTGATAGCTGTTATGAAAATTCTGCATTTGTTGATGTTTACCATTACCGGTAGTATCATTGCGACAACTGGTCAAACCATTTGAATCCTGGTTGTGATCACTTTTTCGGTGTTTATAAAGACTAAACTCGTTATCAAACTTTGCGTCACAATCGTTGACATTACAGTCAAACTCATTGCGTCCGATGTCTGTCCAAATATGTCGCACAAGACTTATCTGACTTTTTGTGGTAAACTGATTGCAATTGCATTTGAAATACACTTCGCCATCGATTTTGACTTTTCTATAGAGATCTGAATAATTCTTCAAAGAATATAAACCACCAGTTGTTGTACTATCGATGTTGGCTTCAATATCAGAGTCAATATCAATAGGCTTAGCGTTATTATCATAAGAGTTGTCATCATTTGCATCAATTATTGCATCATTCGTGTAGTCTATCTTTGGTATAATTGATTGTGGATCCAGTTCTATGATCTCAACCATTGGCTGATCTACATCTGCATCACTAATATTGCCATCATTTAGAGAACTAGTGTTATCAATGCTATCATCATTAACTGATTCATCCAGAAAACTCTTATCTGAAGAACTATTGTTGGTGTTGGCCACTGAATGCGGACATAAATGCTAATAAAAAATTTAAAGAATCATAAATTAATTTAAACTGTTTATTAAAAAAAATATTTACTATAAATTAATTTATTATAATATATACTATATATTCTATTAATTATACAAAAGTAATTAAAATATTATTAAAAAATCAATTATTAATGATAAGCAATAAGTTAAATCACTGAACAGATAAACAATTATATCTATATATAAGTTACAGGATATTAATAAAATATAGTATCTGTAATAAAATACCTGATTGTGAACATGTCTTCTAATACTACCCGAGTTATTGGTCACGAACTCACAGGCCGTCCATTTGCATCCAAATACATAGTAGTCGTTATCCAACTCTCGGAAGTAGTATTTCTTAATATTCTTAACTCCGCACACATTGTTCGGGTCTTTCATCTTCAGTGAATCGATACCAAAGCCACACAAATGATTCTTCTGGTGCTGAACCAGACTTTCCGGTCTCTTAAATGTCTTTTCACATCCCTTTTCATCGCATTTCAATTCTTTAATACCGATGTGTTTCAAATGAATATGTCTTGCGATATGTTGTGAGTACTTCCATGTCTTGAAGTCACAGTCGCCCCACAAACAGATATACAGAGGTTTTCCGTTAACAAACTCTCTCCGATAATATTGTTTCACTTCTCGTATCGGATAAAGACCTTTATATACGTTGTGATTGACACCACTCTTGACATTGTTGTCCGCCGAAGTCATGATGGCGTCAATCATCCAAATAGATTTACATCCAAATTATGATATCATTGGTCAGACAAGAGTTCATTACTGGTTAGACTTAACTTATGATCTTTTAAATGGGTTAAGAAGTCTGAGATATATATATGATATGATATATAATTATAACAAAACATTTGACACAAAATGACATTCAAAACAGTCGTGTAGTTCAATGTCTTTTCAATAATTCAGATCAGATTGACATTTCAGGTGATGTATTGGTATGAATCAAGTGTTGTGTTGATGACCGTCTGTGACACAGATGTGTTGTTAACAAAAAACCAGAAGATGTAGAAAAAAATAATAACAATTGAAAAAACACTTTTGATTAGCAGCTGATTGTCATTTGGGAGACACAGTTGTGATCATTATTATGACAAACGAGTCATCAATCGATTACTTAATAATAATAATAATTTTGATAACATTTTTGTTAAAAACTTTATATTTATTTGTCAATTGAGTGGACAGTCATTGAGTGACTGTTTGTTTGAACACAAATCAAATGTTTGGTTTGAATATTACATTTAAATTACAGTTAACTCTAATACTATTGACTCGAATGCATATAATATACCGTAAGTCTTATATGTCGTTGCATTCACTGCTCGTATAATGTATTGCATTCACTCCACTACTGCTTATGCCATACACTCTATATATATATATTGATATATACTCTATATTTCATTACTATATATATGTTTTAATATATTATATATGATTGCCTTAATATGTTTATACACTACACTCCCATTATAGTGAACCACACATTATTGAAATATTAAATTCAAATAGTAATTATAATTTATTTTTTAAAACAATCACATCATGTTTTTATGATTAGCATTCAATATATAACTTTTGTAAACTTTTAACTAATCAAGAAAAATGATAAAAATATATGTTATTTTTAAAATCTAAAAAGTGTCCATTATAAATTTCATATAAGAAATTAATTAATAAAATTTCTTTATATATATATATTTTGTCTAAAAAACTTGTTAACACAAACATATAGACAGTGACACCAACACACAAACATATACTGACACAGCTATGTCTGTGAAAAAACAATATATAACTGCAATACTTGATTAGTGTACTGTATATACTGTATATATATATATATATATATATATATATATATTCATATGTAATGCCTATATTATAAAGTTCATCCCACTCTTTAAACTTGCTTATGGAGTATATTGACGTAACTCTAAAAATTTATTTATGTATACAGTGTTATATATGTATGTATGTATGTATGTATGATAGGTCATCTAATGTTGCTGTACCAGCTCAGTGTTCTAGATTAACGCAGCACTTATAGCCCAAACTAGTTTGTATTGGTATTATATGATTGTATGTATGTATGTATGTATGTATGTATGAGTTGCCGTACATTATAAGCGGTGCCAAAGTGTATGCCATATATGTGAGTTCACCCCTAATTAGTCGTCGATCATATCATAAATGCATTGTTTTGCCTCATATTATACTGTATTATACTGTATATACCGTAGATATATAGCAAATATCTTGGTTGATGTGTATATATAGTATATACAGATGCAGTATATATTATATGCCGTATCATATAATTATTATTATATAATGCATATAACATATAATACTAAATATTCTATATATATATTATGTGTTTTTAGGCTCAGGTCAACAAAATTGTGAATTTTTATTATACATACAATTCATATATAATGTAACATTTATTACGGGCTAACTGTTCCCGAAAACAATATTTGTTTTCAAATACTTAATTATTTTACACTACAGTATTGCGAAAGTCTAGACTAGTGTTGCGAAAACTGATGTTTTTATTGATATATATATTATATATATATAAAATACTTGATGTGTTATTAGCCTTTTAATTGAAGTTATGATTGCAATTAAACTAAATTAGGATATTTTATTGTACACATAGTTTGCTAGCTTATCATATATTGTTATTTACTGATAGATAAAAACTAGTTTTTGTTGTAAATACAGACCCTTATTGCTAAATAAGTGTATGCTATGGATGAATGTGATTGAATTATTAAAAGTCACTGTATTATACAATATAATAAATGATCAGTTTTATAGATCATATATTTTTAATATAATATATATACATATTTCATATACTCGTATATCTGTGTATAACTTTTTATGTAATATTATAGTTATGTTACCTTTATATGAGATTTATATTTTTGTGTGTAAAGGTGTTATGACGTCACTGTATTTATTTATAAATTATAATACAGTATAAACTTTATATAATATACTGTAGAATATCTCATATAATAAAGTGTACAGTTTTACTGTACTAATAATATTTTAATAATCCTAATAATAATAATAATAATAATACGCTCTGATAAATACCTTTCTCATAGCAAACATATTAATACAAAATGTATAGTTAGAGGTGTGTCCAACACAGCATAGGTGTGTTCAACATAAGCCTATTTTATGAGCAATTTTTAGTACCTACATGTTATATAGCATTATATAACGCCAAATAAACTACAATATGTATGTATGTATGTATGTATGTATATAAATTAATATATAGTATATTTATTTATATATATATATTATATTACACACACATACTATATATATAATACCTATTATACCTGTATGTTACTGTATATAAATTTATATAACATAACATAGTTTTGTAATATTATATTCAGTCATAGAGTATATCGAGTAAAGCATCGGGACAGGTATGACGTGGTTCATGCAATCCATGAGCTAATTAAACTAACAGTGCAACCCTGCAACTGGTTCATTGCTCACATATTATATTATATACACTTTATATGATATATTAAATTAGTATTACTATTACTATATGACCATAAAACTCATTGATTACTGTTAAGCATTTTATATTCTACATAATACTGTACTTTGCTATACCGTATATACTGTATATATATATATATTACATATTTTATAGTATGATATTAGTTGAATATGTATAATCATAAATCCACACTAAAGTTATGGTTACTACATTAATTAAACTAGATCATATTGATTTTTGTAATCATCAATTACTGTATAGCAGTACTTTTCCTTCAACGTGTTTTTGTACAATTTAACATTTGATATTACTGTATATTCACTATAATTTTACAATTGATGTCATAGATTTATAATGAAAAAATTTATAAATAATTTCTCTTTTTTATATTAAAGTTAGTTAACATTTAAATATTATATACCGTTTACTGTGATGTCAAACAAGAATCTGTTTATTGATTGAGTTTTAAACGAAAACTACAGAATATATAGCAACTAAACTATTTATATTGAAATATAATTAAATATAATAATGTTATTTAGAATATTATATAACAGATTTTTAATGTAAAACATTTATTAAAAATATATTAGTTTGCATTTTATAATTGATGACAAATGTTTATATTAACTAATATTATTATATTCATACATAAATATGTATTGATGTCTATGTTTGCATATTGCACCTGAACTAAGAGGAGGTGTAGGCATTTTAGTGTAGGTTCGATATGTTTGTAATATAACTATAACCGTAATGTTGGTGTTTTCGTCGGTCTTATTGTTATTGTTGTTGTTTTTCTAACATAATTGTCGAGAAAAAAACTTAACCAGCTTTTTATTACACAATATATATATAGTATAGATATACATAATACAGTATATAACACATTAGAGTACGTGTGTGTGTGTGTGTGTGTGTGTGTGTGTGTGTGTATGTATGTCTACCCTATCAAATGATTACTTTGACACACTTTTCTAATCAGAATAACTTTTTCAAAATATTTTTTGCATTACAATCAAATTCATAGTCTAGTTAACACTATTAGGCAATACTATACATAAAAAACTTAAAATTAATTTATTAGCGCTAACATGTACGGGATACCAACAAAAATTGCTAACTGAGTGTGAGTGAGTGAGTGAGTGTATGTTTGGTGGTATGTGTACCTGAGCACTGACATTATAAAAAACTAACTAATATGATATAAGTTATATAACTGAATTTTAGTTGAATAGATAGTAAAAAATAACTTTTATATTAAGAGAAATGTCAGTTAATTTAAGTGAATAACATAGATATTTGTTTGATTATCTGAACCGGATCTACAAATACCTGTTTCAGTAACACTTGTGATACCACAACATGAAACTTGAACTCTAGAGACATACATAGTATTAATACATTATTACACAAACTATACATACTATACATACATACTCTATGACGAGTGAAAGATAGCAAAAATGGCATTTCCTAATAATGGTATTTAACCTTGCTATTTATGGCTTATTTATGTGGCACAACTTGTTATTGTTTTTTTAGTTTGTTTTATTATTAAAAACTTTAATATTAATTTATTAACGATTAAAAATTACAATACTATGAAAAATTACTTTTTTATCTCTTAAATACATTATAATTTAAAATTATGTGTTTTTAACTTTGAATATTTGTTAGCATAATTGTCTAACATATTAACAGTACTGTAGTATATATATTAATAATAAGTTATTTTATAAAAATACAATATAAAATAAAATAGCATTAAAGTAACATTAGACTTGCAAGTTGATAAACTTGTTTATAAAATTTAACCTGAATAAACTTAATATTATTTTTTTAAAGAGATAACATTTTATTATTATTTGGAAAACTCAATTATGGAATGCACTGTAAGATTATAATCTAATATAATTATAAAAATTGCATCTTGATTAAATAACATTGAAAGCTAACATAAGTTTTAATTATTTTGAGAGATAAAAAACAAACAAATAAAATAAACAATAAAATTAAATGACTCAAAACAGTGTGTGTGTGTGTGTGTGTGTTATGTTTATTTCATGCTTAATATATACATTCAATTGTATAACAATATGTATTATGGGGACAAGTATGATTAGATTAAAATTAATTATAAGTAACAGTGACAGTCAACGACAGTCAACCCGTGGGCTACATTCACATTAATGACTAACTAGTATATACTAAAATAGGACAATATTATTATTATTATTGTGTTTCTATAATATATATTTAAAATAAATTATAATAATAAACAGTACAGTATATGTAGTTTAATTAAAAGTTATTTATGTTTCTAAACACAAAAAATAGTATATAATTTTCTATTTGTTTTTTAATCAATATACATGTATCTGATTATACCGTTATATAATAATAAAAATGACTTATTTGTGTGCTATTGTTAAATTAAACTAAAAATTTAATATTATAGTAGCACTTAAATTGTAAATAATTAAATTAATATTGTATTATATGAATATTTATTTTGTGCTAAATTATAGAAACTATTACTAAAATTGATTAATGATATGTTCCTTTAAAAATATTAAATATTTAATTTTTAATATACTAATTTTGTGAGTTTTATACTGTAGTGATATTTATTAGCTTTTTAAATAAATTTTGACAAATATTTTTATTCATAAACAAGGTTTTATAGACGGATACCTTAATTGATTTTATATTAATATAATTCTGAAAATAAAAAAATTATTACATAAAATACTAAAAAATATTTATTAAAAATTAAATATCTGGCAAAACAAAACAGCCTTCAAAAA